AGTCTTATGGAGTGAAAAATATGGTATATTATAATGGAACCAAGATGGGGGAGTGAAGTTGATTGAAAATGATGGTTTAATTTGGCTATGATTTCCTTTCCTCTGTTTTCCCCCCGTTTTGTTATTTTTGGAAAATCAATAAAATGTTATCCAAAACAAAAAAATCCCTGGGCGACCCTCTGCACGCTTGGCAACCCCACACCACCGGGCGAAACAGCAAGACAGGGTGATGGGGGTCAGGGGTGGGAGGCGAGGGGCCCTTCCCAGAGCCCGAGGCCGCCTACCGTGGTCCTCAGCAGCACGACCCAGGCGTCCCTCAGCGGCACGGCGCGGCAGGTCCACTTGACGCTCAGTTCCGGCAGCCAGTAGAGGAAGAGGAGGAGGAAACCTCCGCTGCAAAGGGTGCCCAGCGAGACCAGCGCCAGCTTCCAGCAGCAGGGGCTGTAGCCGGAGATTTCCTGCGCAGAAGGGGGGAAAGGAGGGAGGAAAAGCGAGAAGGTTTTCTCGCGGAGAAACGGGAGACCCTGGGCAACCAGGGAGCAAATGCGGCCCCCAGCACCCCTCTGCGTGGCCCTCAGGACACTTTCCAGGCCATGCCCCCAACTGGCTCTGCTCCGTCACCCTGCTCTGGGCATTTTTGCAATTGGTTAAAATCATTAGAAGGACTGGAATAGCACTTGTAATTTAATGGTGAATTTTGGAAACAATAGAGAGGTAAAAGATTCGGAATATTCTAGAAGATGCAGGAGGAAATGATTGACAATAGGACTCCCATGAAAGCGAGGAGGGAAGTTTCCCTGGAATCTTGTTTTTAGGTTGTACGTTGGATACGTGACTATAAAATTTTAATCTGAAAAAAAACCAAAAAACAAATTTATATATATATAAAAGACATTCAATGCCTTTTAAAAATGTATTTGGGGGGCAGGGCTATTGGGTTGCACCTGTTCGTATTTTGATTATGTATGTTCTGCTTTTGTATCATGATTTCATCCTGTGAAATACGACCTGCGGGTATTAGGGTATAATAAAAGGGACGCGGGTGGCGCTGTGGGTTAAACCACAGTGCCTCGGGCTTGATGATCAGAAGGTCCGCGGTTCGAATCCCCGCGACGGGGTGAGCTCCCGTTGCTCAGTCCCTGCTCCTCCCAACCTAGCAGTTCGGAAGCACGCCAGTGCAAGTAGATAAATAGGTACCGCTCTGGCGGGAAGGTAAACGGCGTTTCCGTGCACTGCTCTGGTTCGCCAGAAGCGGCTTAGTCCTGCTGGCCACATGACCCGGAAGATGTACGCCAGCTCCCTCGGCCAGTAAAGTGAGATGAGCGCCGCAACCCCAGAGCCGGCCACGACTGGACCTAATGGTCAGGGGTCCCTTTACCTTTATAAATACTATAAATCAGCAGCAGCAGCATCAAGAGTCGCCACACTGCAGGGCGGTTGGGCTAGAGCAGGCACCCTCAACCTGCGGCCCTCCAGATGTTTTGGCCTACAACTCCCATGATCCCTAGCTAACAGGACCAGGGGTCAGGGATGATGGGAACTGTAGTCCAAAACATCTGGAGGGCCGAAGGTTGGGGATGCCTGGGCTAGAGGACCCTCCCATTCTTAGGGGAACGCTCTGGAGCGTTTTCCAGGAAGCGCCACCACCCACTGACCATCTCGTCTTCCTCGTGGCGGTTGACGTGCGCCTCGGCCGCTCTCTCCATGTCTCCTTCCTGTGGGTCACGCAATTACTCCACTTCCAGGCTCCTGAGACAGACAGAGAGGGAGAGAACGGGTCAGCAAAGGGCACCCAGGGGCCCTCCTCGCCGCAGTCACGCCGCGCACGTCCCTTCCCCGACTCTCTCGCAAGCTCTGCAAACACCACGTCCCGGCCGGTTCCCCTGTCCGCCCAGTGCCACAGAAGCATCTGTTCAGCGATAAACCACACACACACACACACACACACACACCCTCTCTAGGAGGCCTGGGACAAAGCCCCCCAGTCATCCGATCTCTCTCTGTCCTCGTGGGCAAAACCTCAGCCCAGCCGGCTATTCGCAGCCCCTGGAGGCCTGTGGTTTCGAACTCCTGACCACAATGCCGTGTTCCTGGGTTGGGAGAGCTTGCCTGGAAAGGCAGCTGGTGGAGGAGAGGGAAAGGACAGGGCCGAAGTTCTGCTTTCAGCATTTTCAAGCCCAACGCACACGTCTGGATCCGTCCCCCAGAGCAAACTCACGGCAACTTTTGTCACTGTGTCAGCTGAAGGGTCCCGGGTCGACGGGCCACATCCAGGAGGGAGAGGCAGGCAGCCTGCTGAGGAACTGCAGAAGGGAGAGAAAGAAAGGGAAGGTCAGGATCAAGGCGGCAGACTGATGGGCAGTGCCTGGGGGTGCCAGGGCTGCAGGCAGGAGGAGAGACGGGCGTCCGGGCATTAGGGAAATGCTCAATGTCTCTAGAGGAGGTGGGAAGGTGTGGCTCTGTCGCTGGATCGAGGGCACGGAGGGCTGCTGGATCAGGCCGGCATCCTGCCCTCACAGCAGCCGGCCTGTCGTGCAAGCAGGATCCAAGCACGAGGGCACGTTCTCTGCTCCTGAGGTTTCCAGGAACTGGGGTTGGTACTGCAGAGTCAAAGCAGGACCAGGCCCATCTGATCCAGCCTCCTGCTGCCCTTAGCTTCCCGATGGAAGGCCTGCAGAAGCCAGGAGGAGAAGGACCCCCCAAAAAAAAGTTTGGCCCAGCAGAGCTCTGCTTATCCCCCCAACCGGGCGCCCTCCAAATGTTCTGGAAAGCTCTGCCAGCTGGGAGATGGAGTCACCAAACAATTAAACCCCTGTGTTGCAAACAAATACCAGTAATATCCAAAGGCAGTAAGTACAACAATGTGATGTCAATACAAACTTTATATAATCTATACCGAACATTGAACAATATGAAATATGCACTCTCTGCAAAACCAAATAAACAGAAATCTTCTGTATCTCTGAAAGTCACAAAATATGCACTCTTGATGGATTCTCTTGAAAACCTAGAACCAAATAAACATAAGTCTTATAGGTCTCTGAAAGTCTTTGTGGGCTATGAAAGTCTCTGAGAGAAGCAATGGGTCAGAGTCTTATCTGGTGAAAACAAGCTGTAAAGCTTTGTTTTATAACGTCCAACGCTGCCGAAGTGGTCCGCAAACAGACGTAGAGAACAGTGATTTTGTATATAGCCACTGTTTCGTGGAATTCTTCTTCAGCACAGCAGAAGGATACAGAAATGCTTCATAAACTGCAACTGAATTATTGAAACGACGACCTGCATATACACTGTAACTTACAATAACTAAAATTATTATAAACTATAAAGTAAAGGGACCCCTGACCATTAGGTGCAGTCGTGACTGACTCTGGGGTTGCGGCGCTCATCTCACTTTATTGGCCGGGGGAGCCGGGGTACAGCTTCCGGGTCATGTGGCCAGCATGACTAAGCCGCTTCTGGCGAAACCAGAGCAGCGCACGGAAATGCCGTTCACCTTCCCACCGGAGCAGTACCTATTTATCTACTTGCACTTTGTGCTTTTGAACTGCTATGTTGGCAAGAGCAGGGACTGAGCAACTGGAGCTCACCCCGTCGCGGGGATTTGAACCGCCAACCTTCTGATCGGCAAATCCTAGGCTCTGTGGTTTAACCCACAGCGCCACCCATGTTCCTCAATTATAAACTATACGAATGAACTATAATGTCAATTCAATATGAAATAAAACCAAAAGTACATACCCCATCTATATGGAAGATTTCTGTTTATTTGGTTTTGCAGAGAGTGCATATTTCATATTGTTCAATGTTCTGTATAGATTATATAATGAGTTTATATTGACATCGCATTGTTGTAGCAGGGAGATGGAGCCCAGAGCATCTTCAGGGGTACTTTGCTTGCCCTCTCCCAAGTTCAATTCCTGCAATGAAAGGGGGTTGGACTAGATGGCCCCGTGGGGTCCCCTCCAATTCTGTGATTCTGTGAACAGAGTCCCATGTTCCACATTATTTATTACACTCACGTCCCACATTTTTCCCCTCCAGGGAGCTCACAGTGGGGCACCGTGGTCCTCTGCTCCCCGTTTCATCCCCCACAACAATCCTGCGAGGTTGGCTAGGCAGAGAGAAGGCAGGGGCCGCCCCCCAGGTCAACCAGTGACTTTCAGGGCTGAGTAGGGGGCATTCAAATCCTTTCCACCCATGTCTTAGTCCGACACTCTAGCCATTGCACCACGCTGCCTCTCCCTGCCCTGACATTCTCTGCTTTTCTCTCTCTCTCATGCACACACCTGTGCATGCACCTGCCAAAGCTACTCCGTCCCTGGCCAGGTGAGTGCCAAAGGATTTCATGCACACGGTTTTGGGGAAGGAGATATAAACACCGACATTTCCAGACCGGCAGGTTTAACCAACGGCTGGTTTGCTTTGGCAGAGGAAGGCCGCGATCCAGTTTCGAGCTTCCTGGTGTTGCGGGGAGAAGGTATGTGTTCAAGAGCACCCATGGGTGGGGGTGGGGGGAAGGGCAGCAGCTCAGGTATCCCGGCTCCCAGCCTCTCCCTATCTGGCCTTTTCCAAACTCCTCACACCTGACGGGGAATGTGCGAAAAAGGTTCCCCTCTGTCTTCTTAAAAGAACAAACCTGCTAGATCAGGACATAGCTTACCTAACCCAAACACAATCTGCCTAATCCTCTTTTATAGCCACCTAAATTGGTGGCCACCCCTGTGGCAGGGAGTTCCACAGGTTAACGCTCTCCTCTTTTTTTTTCCTAGAGGGAATTGCTCTGACCTCTCATTTTCCCACGGGTGGGTAGCAGGGATCTTTGCTCCTGATAAAGGAATCCCGCTCCCGTCGAAGCCATTCATTCGAACTAAACGTTAGGAAGAGCTTTCTGAGCGTGAGAGTGGTTTGGCAGCAGAGGGAACACTGCACCTCAAAAGGTGGCGGGCCCTTGAAGGTCCCGTGTGAGTCCCGTGCGAGTCTACTTTTTCTTTGTGGGGTGGGGATAGCTCAGTCGGGAGAGCACGGGACTTTTAATCTCAGGGCTGTGGGTTCAAGCCCTGTGCTGGGCAAAAGATTCCTGCATTGCAAGGGGTTGGACTACAGGACCCTTGGGGGCCCCCTCCCAACTCTCCAGTTCAATAATAATAATAATAATAATAATAATAATAATAATTTGTACCCCACCCATCTGGCTGAGTTTCCCCAGCCACTTTGGGCGGCTTCCAATCAAGTGTTAAAAACAATACAGCATTAAATATTTAAAACTTCCCTAGACAGGGCTGCCTTCAGATGTCTTTTAAAAATAAGATAGCTGCTTATTTCCTTCACATCTGAAGGGAGGGCGTTCCACAGGGCGGGTGCCACCACCGAGAAAGCCCTGCCTGGTTCCCTGTAGCTTGGCTTCTCGCAGGGAGGGAACCACCAGAAGGCCCTCGGTGCTGGACCTCAGTGTCCGGGCTGGACAATAGGGGTGGAGACGCTCCTTCAGGTCTACTGGGCCTTTGGGGCCATTTAGAGTTTTCAAGGTCAGCACCAACACTTTGAATTGTGCTCGGAAATGTACTGGGAGCCAGTGTAGGTCTTTCAGGACCGGTGTTATGTGGTCTTGGCAGCCGCTCCCACTCCCCAGTCTAGCTGCCACATTCTGGATTAGTTGTAGTTTCCGGGTCGCCTTCAAAGGTAGCCCCACGTAGAGCGCATGGCAGTAGTCCAAGCGAGAGATAACCAGAGCATGCACCACTCTGGCCAGACAGTCTGCGGGCAGATAGGGTCTCATCCTGCGTACCAGATGGAGCTGATAAACAACTGCCCTGGACACAGAACTGACCTGCGCCTCCATGGGCAGCGGTGAGTCCAGAATGACTCCCAGGCTGCGCACCTGGTCCTTCAGGGGCACAGTTACCCCATTCAGGACCAGGGAGTCCCCCACACCCACCCGCCTCCTGTCCCCCCAAAACAGTACTTCTGTCTCATCAGGATTCAACCTCAATCTGTTAGCCGCCAATTCTCTGCTCTTGCAGCCGCGTTTCCCAGTCGGATCAGGCACATCAGAGGAAGTTCCCCTCCCACCCCTCCAGAGGAACGGCTCTTCCACAGAACCTGGGAGTGGCGAGGAGACGGGAGTTTTGATTTCGCGAGCGGCTTTTATCGCTCATCTGCAGTGCAACGGCTTTCCCTTGGGGGGCACAGATCCGGCAGTTGGGCTTGGGCTGGGCGCCGGGAGCCCATCTGCACCGCTCTGGGGGCTGAGCTCATCCCCCCCCCTTCTGTTCTGCTGCCAGGACACCTGGGTTCTCTGGGCAGGTCTGAGTGGGCTACAGCAAGGCAGTCGAAGGTGCGCCAAGACACCGGGCAGGTTAAGACAAGATGCGCCGCAGCCCAAGTTGTGCCACCGGAGACTCCAGCCTCTCCCCTGACAGCCCTTTGCAGGAGGAACTAGCAAGAGAGGCCGGGGGAGACTCCGAATATGAAGCTCCCTTATACTGAAACAGACCATTGGACCACATAGTTCAGTACTGACTACTCTGGCTGGCAGCAGTGGCTCTGGACAGTTGGCCTTGGTGAAGACTTGACGTTTTCATCCCCCAAAAAAAGTTCTTGATTTGAGTTCCTACTGAAAGGAGGCTGCATTTTAATGTTGTCTTTTAATCTTGTTTTTAAGTTGTATTTCAATCAATTGTTTTATACTGGTGTTAGCCGCCCTGAGCCCAGTCTTTGCTGGGGAGCGTGGGGTGTAAATAAAATTTAATAATAATAATAATAATAATAATAATAATAATGGGCTTCCCACAGCTAGACCACAAAACACACAGGGGTAGCCAGAGAGCCAACTCCACATTACAAGAAAGGAGGTTCTGACCAAACTTCGGGAAGAACTTTCTGATAGCAAGAGCTGTCCTTCCTTGGAGGTTTTCAAGCAGAGGTTGGATGGCCTGCCGGTCAGGGATTCTTAAGCCGAGGCTCCTGAATCACAGCGGGTTGGGATGGATGACCGCCAGGGTCCCTTCCACCCCTACAATTCTATGATCCTAGGAGTTTTCAGCAGCAGGCAAGTGGGCATGCCTTTACATGACCAGTTCTTCTTAGGAAACACCCAGAGCTTGACAGGGAGCCTGCAAACGGATGTGGTGATGAAGAATGTGAGAAGAGTCGGGTCCAGCATCCGACCAGGTGTCCACTATGGGAAACCCACAAGCAGGATGCTAGCCTTCTCCCCTCCTCTGGCAACTGGCATTGTGGAGGCAGAACACAGCTATCCTGGCTGGGAGCCATCAACAGCCTGCCATGAAATTATCCAATCCTCTTCTAAATCCATCCCGGTTGGTGGTTGCCATTGCGTCCTGTGGCAGGGAGTTCCACAGTTTAACCATGTGCTGCTTTCTGTTATCTGTCCTGAATCTTCCAACATTCAGCGTTCAAATTCTGGTCTTATGAGAGGTGGAGAGAAAACAACAGCCCTCGATCCACTTCAGGGGTCCCCAAACTAAAGCCCGCGGGCCGGATAAGGCCCAAGGGACTCGTTTATCCGGCCCGCGGCGACCCCCGCAACCGCCTGCTCTTACCGGCGCTGCGCGGTTGCCCACTTCCGGGTCGGAGGAGCACCGGAAATAACTTGTGCGCATGAGCAAGCGTTATTTGTGCATGCGCAAGCATTATTTCCGGTGCACATCCGGGTCGGAGGAGGCCCGTGCACATGCGCACAAGCTATTTCCGGTGCTCCTCGGACCCGGAAGTGCGCCGGAAATTGCGTGTGCGCACGCACTCCCCCGTGCGATCAGCGCTGGAGACACTGGCCCGAGGCGCGGTAAGTTTGCTGACCCCTGATCCACTTTCTCCATGCTGTGCAGTTTTGCAAACTTCTATTGTGAAATCCAAGTGACCACGCTCGTGGCGCTAGGGAACAGGCGCCCAAGAACGTGCGCCAGGTCCCCTTCTCCCACTCCGAACTTCACCGGCTCCGTGCAGGGAAGCCTGGTGAGGTTTAAACACGGGAAACACACCTGTTCCAAGAGGGAACGGCAACAGGCAGGGGGCTGAGAGCATCCTTCCGACAGGTAAGGGCGTGGCCTCTGCAGGGCAGTCAGCTGTGCAGTCAAGCCCTCGGGGTTTTGCCAAGCAAGCGAGATTCCATTTGTGGAGGCTCAGCGCAGGCCTGAGGAAAACCCAGCGTATCTCTTGGTCTGAACCCAGGAAGCTGATTTACTGTCCGTATAGTTAAAGCTATGGTTTTTTCCCCAGTAGTGATGTATGGAAGTGAGAGCTGGACCATAAGGAAGGCTGATCGCCGAAGAATGGATGCTTTTGAATTCTGGTGCTGGAGGAGACTCTTGAGAGTCCCATGGACTGCAAGGAGATCAAACCGATCCATTCTGAAGGAAATCAGCCCTGAGTGCTCACTGGAAGGACAGATCCTGAAGCTGAGGCTCCAAGACTTTGGCCACCTCATGAGAAGAGAAGACTCCCTGGAAAAGACCCTGAAGTTGGGAAAGATGGAGGGCACAAGGAGAAGGGGATGACGGAGGACGAGATGGTGGGACAGTGTTCTGGAAGCTACCAGCATGAGTTTGACCAAACTGCGGGAGGCAGTGGAAGACAGGAGTGCCTGGCATGCTCTGGTCCAGGGGGTCACGAAGAGTCGGACACGACTAAACAACAACAAAAGCTAAGTATTGCCAACAGGGCTTCAGGTTCTTCCCAGTTCTATCCAAACATGTCTGTGAACTTCAGGAAGAACTTTCTGACAGTGGAACGGAAAGCAAGGAGGACTTTCATCCCTAGTTTTTTAAGCAGCGGTTGGATGGCCTTCGATCCAGGATGATTTGAGCTGCAATTCGCGCATTGCACTCAGCGTTCGAAATTCCCTGGGTGCCAGGCAGGTTTTGCTACCAGAGGCAAAGACGCACGTCTTGTTTTATGTGCAGCCGTTGAGAATCACGGACCCCTTGCTGGGCATCTCAGTCCTCCACCATCATCACATTGAGGAAAATGAGGACAGGGATGGGTGCAGATCCACACGACTGCGCTGAAGCCATTCCACTCCGAGGGAATCAGATCTCACCTGGAGTACTGTGTCCAGTTCTGGGCACCACAGTTCAAGAAGGACACTGACAAACTGGAACGTGTCCAGAGGAGGGCAACCAAAATGGTCAAAGGCCTGGAAACGATGCCTTATGAGGACCGGCTAAGGGAGCTGGGCATGTTTAGCCTGGAGAAGAGGAGATTAAGGGGCAATATGATAGCCATGTTCAAATATATAAAAGGATGTCACATAGAGGAGGGAGAAAGGTTGTTTTCTGCTGCTCCAGAGAAGCGGACACGGAGCAATGGATCCAAACTACAAGAAAGAAGATTCCACCTAAACATTAGGAAGAACTTCCTGACAGTAAGAGCTGTTCGACAGTGGAATTTGCTGCCAAGGAGTGTGGTGGAGTCTCCTTCTTTGGAGGTCTTTAAGCAGAGGCTTGACAACCATATGTCAGGAGTGCTCTGATGGTGTTTCCTGCTTGGCAGGGGGTTGGACTCGATGGCCCTTGTGGTCTCTTCCAACTCTATGATTCTATGAATCCACAGACCACGGTTTAGGAATCTCTGCCTTAGCCCATAGTTCAAAACCATTTCCATGGTGTGTGTTTCTCCTTCTTGCATGTGGGAACAAGCGAATTGTTGTAAGAGACAGTCAAGCAATGTAGCTGAGGTCATAGAATCGGAGGTCTTTGGCTCTGGAAGGGACCTCGAGGGTCATCTAGCCCAACCCCCTGGAGAACAGACGTCCCGTTGTGGTTTGAGGTGCCATTTGGTGGTTAGCTTATATACCTGAGTTACATTGGCTCCCAGTCCATTTCCGAGCACAATTCAAAGTGTTGGTGCTGACCTTGAAAGTCATAAACGGCCTCAAAGGCCCGGTAGACCTGAAGGAGCGTCTCCACCTCCATTGTTCTACACTGAGGTCCAGCTCCGAGGGCCTTCTGGCAGCTCCCTCCCTGCGAGAAGCCAGGTTACAGGGAACCAGGCAGAGGGCCTTCTCGGTGGTGGCGCCCTCCCTGTGGAACACCCTCCTACCAGATGTCAAAGAGAACAACAACTACCAGACTTTTAGAAGACATCTGAAGGCAGCCCTGTTTAGGGAAGCTTTTAACGTTTAACAGACTACTGTATTTTAATACTTCGCTGGAAGCCGCCCAGAGTGGCTGGGGAGGCCCAGCCAGATGGACAGGGTATAAATAATAACAACAATTATTATTATTATAACGCTATCTGCAAGGAGGGTTGGACTAGATGACCTGTGGTGCCCCCTTCCCCATGCCTGCTTGATGTGTGCTGCCTTGACTTGAGGGCAGGCCGTTCAGGCCCTGGCAACAGCCCCCTTTTCTCAGAGGTGTTCAGACCTCTCACACTGTTCGGGAAGTGGAAATTCACAGCTGCCTTTCCTACCCACGGGGAGCGCCTCTGGAGCAAAGCCTCAAACTAAGCCTCTCTGATGAGCCAGGAGCTCAGAACAAACAGCACAACTTCCTTTTTGGCCCTCGATTTGTGCCACACTTATCAGCCGCCTGGCAAGGAAACTCCAGGTAGAAGTTCCACACCTTGCCAAACACCACAGCTGCAGCGGAGATGATTCTCCCCGCCTCTCACCGGTTTGCACCACATGAACCACGCAATCGGCAAAGGGGTCCCACAAGGGCTTCTCTCCTAGGGGGTCCCACCCAGAACATCCCCACTTCTGCTGCTCCAAGCCTCCTTGGTCCCTCTGCCTCCCTTGTGTGCCGCGGCAGCCTAACACCCCCCCTTGCATTTAAGCACTAGCCTGGTAGCCACAGGTGGTAAGGAGTAGCAGGCAGGCAAGAAAGCGACCTAGCGCAAAGGGGGGTGGGCGCAGCGCAGCGCTCCTTCCTTCCTCTGCTCCCAGCTCAGGAACGCAGCAGGATTCTGCAGCAGTTGGGATGGTGGAGCCATTTGCCCTCCGAAAAACATCAGAATAGCCCCGTTGGACCATGACAACGGCCCACCTGGGAGAGCATCCTCTTCTCAAAGTAGCCAGATGCCACAAGCAGGATTTGAGTGCAAGTAGTAGCCCTTGATTGCCCCCTCTTCCTCCATGAATTTGTCAAATCCTCTCTTTTAAAGCCATAATAATAATAATAATAATAATAATATTTTATTTATATCCCGCCCTCCCCAGCCGAAGCCGGGCTCAGAGCGGCCAACAACAATAAATGCAACACAGTTCACATAAAATCACAATCAATCAATTGAAATAGATTCTAAAATCCTGTGGGAGGGAGTTCCATAGTTTAACCATTTGCTGGTCTTCGGTCCAACGCAAAGCCTGAAAAGTCTTAGGTCTGGGCTGCTGGAAAAAGCCACGTTCCCTCATATGAACCTGCCCAGGTATTGATACTTGGGGTGGAGGGGTTTCTCTCAGTCCCACCCCCCTCTCAGGCCCGCTTGGTGGGGATGCCGGAGAGGGCCTTCTCGATGGCGACTTCTCCAGACGACTTTGGAACTCCCTTCCTGGAGAAGTCAGACCGGCTCCCTCCTCATCCCTTGTCAGCAGGTGAAAACCTTCTTATTCCAAATAGCTTTGAGGAACTCAATGCTTTCAACGCCGTGCTGTGTTTATTGTAATTATCTGTACGTTTCAAATAGGTATTTTATATTTATAAACAATTTTAATTCTATTAGTGCTTAATCGCTTTTTAATGACTCCACCGCCCACAGTAATATTTTTAGCTGTTCCTATTTTTATCTGTAAGCCCACATACATGCGCAATATTTATGTTGTATATAAATATACAATAACAAGTCTTACTCAGAAGCTCTCCAAACACTGCACAACGCACAGGACCGTGCCTACCATGTGACGGCAAAGGTTGAAAATAAGGCTCATTTTGCTGCTTGAACTGCACCTTCTAGCAGCCGGCAAACAGAGTTATTTTGGACAGTCCAGAGATCACCGACTCCCACAGCGGGGGAGAGATCTCCGAAGCGCTTGAGGACCGGCTGTGACCAACTGGCTGCACATTTTGAGGATGAAGCCATTCAGTTTCAGAGCGACCTTGACTCTGAATTTATTGCATTTCCGTTTGATGTGCCCAGTGCTTCAGCAGGTGATGTCCTGCGCGGGTTTTTCTCAGCTCACGCAATCAGCTGAGGCCGCAATACTTCCGAACGTTTGCCCTCAGGGCTTATTAAATCTGGCGGAAGGAGCCTGGTGCCATGAAACAGGTGGTGGTGCAGCCTCTCCTAAAGGGCCTTCTCGGTGGTGGCGCCCGCCCTGTGGAACACCCTCCAACAACATATTAAAATACAGTAATGCATCAAACATTAAAAGCTTCCCTAAACAGGGCTGCCTTCAGATGTCTTCTAAAAGTTTAGTAGTTGTTGTTCTTTGACATCTGGTGGGAGGGTGTTCCACAGGGAGGGCACCACCACCAAGAAGGCCCTCTGCCTGGTTCCCTGTAACTTGGCTTCTCGCAGGGAGGGAACTGCCAGAAGGCCCTTGGCGCTGGACCTCAGTGTCCGGGCAGAACGATGGGCATGGAGATGCTCCTTCAGGTATACTGGACCGAGGCCGTTTAGGGCTTTAAAGGTCAGCACCAACACGTTGAATTGTGCTCGGAAACGTCCTGGGAGCCAAGGTAGGTCTTTCAAGACCGGTGTTATGTGGTCTCGGCGGCCGCTCCCAGTCACCAGTCTAGCTGCCGCATCCTGGATTAGTTATAGTTTCCAGGTCACCTTCAAAGGTAGCCTCACGTAAAGTGAATGGCAGTAGTCCAAGTGGGAGATAACCAGAGCATGCACCACTCTGGCCAGATAGTCTGCGGGCAGGTGGGGTCTCATCCTGCGTACCAGATGGAGCTGATAATCAGCTGCCCTGGACACAGAACTGACCTGCACCTCCATGGACAGCTGTGAGTCCAGAATGACTCCCAGGCTGCACACCTGGTCCATTCAGGACCAGGGAGTCCCCCCACACCTGCCCGCCTCCTGTCCCCCAAAACAGTCCTTCTGTCTTGTCAGGATTCAACCTCAATCTGTTAGCCGCCATCCATCCTCCAACCACCTCCAGACACTCACAGTGTCTTCCTACAGCAAGGCTGTATGCTGACGACACCCAGCTCTATTTCTCAGTAACACATTAATCACGAGAGGCTGTGCAAGCCCTGGGTGCAGTGGTGTAAGACGCAAGGAAAAATAAGCTGAGCTTGACTCCTGGCCAGATGGAGGCACCGTGGGCGAGTGTCCGAGAAATTGACCAATTTCCTTCCCTTGTCACACTCACGCCGAAGGAGTAGGCATGCAGCCTAGGATGCTTCAAGACCCAGCTCTGCCACTGGAGGCCTAGGCAGTCCCAGTAACCTTTACCCGCTGCGACTGGGGCAACACGCACGGCCGTTCCTGGACCACACTAGTTCAGGCGTTGGTGACTTCAGGGCTGGATTACTGCAACATGTTCTGCATGGGGCTGCTCTTTGCGCGATTCAGAAGCTGTAGCTTAGCACAGAATTGTTGTTCTTGTTGTTTAGTGGTGTCCGCCTCTTTGTGACCCCCTGGACCAGACCACGCCAGGCACTCCTGTCTTCCACTGCCTCCCGCAGTTTGGTCAAACTCACGCTGGTAGCTTCGAGAACACTGTCCCACCATCTCGTCCTCTGTCGTCCCCTTCCCTTTGCGCCCTCCATCTTTCCCAACATCAGGGTCTTTTCCAGGGAGTCTTCTCTTCTCATGAGGTGGCCAAAGTCTTGGAGCCTCAGCTTCAGGATCTGTCCTTCCAGTGAGCACTCAGGGCTGATTTCCTTAAGAATGGAGAGGTTGGATCTTCTTGCAGTCCATGGGACTCTCCAGAGTCTCCTCCAGCACCATAATTCAAAACCATCCATTCTTCGGCGATCAGCCTTCTTGACGGTCCAGCTCTCACCTCCATACATCACTACTGGGATGCTATACAGAATGCTGCAGCGCAATTGCTGACGGGAGTGAGGCCTTGTCAGCACCTATGCTCCAAGACCTGTGCTGGTTTCTGGTTTGCTCCGGGGCCAAGTTCGAGGTGTTGCTATTAGCATATAAAGCCCTTTGGCAACCCGGGACCAGTTTACCTGTGAGGTCGCCTGACCCCACATGCACTCGCTTGACTGCTTCGATCAGCACCTAACCTTTGGAACTCCCTGCCTAGAGATATCTGGAAAGGCACCTTCACTGTATTCTCTTTTGGAACCTGCCTAAAGTGTTTTCTGCCTAGGCAAGCGTTTTATCCTTTTTTAGCTACTGTTGGCTTTTGAACGTTGCTACGCGCCTGCTTTTGACTTGTTCTTTTAACGAGCATATGATTTCTTTATATTATCGTAAACTGCCTTACGAGGTTTTCTTATGGCCAGGTAATAAAACAGAGACATCACCTTGCCAACAAAGGTCCGTATAGTTAAAGCCATGGTTTTCCCAGTAGTGATGTATGGACCACAAAGAAGGCTGATCGCCGAAGAATGGATGCTTTTGAATTCTGGTGCTGGAGGAGACTCTTGAGAGTCCCATGGACTGCAAGAAGATCAAACCTCTCCATTCTGAAGGAAATCAGCCCTGAGTGCTCACTGGAAGGACAGATCCTGAAGCTGAGACTCCAAGACTTTGGCCACCTCAGGAGAAGAGAAGACTCCCTGGAAAAGACCCTGATGTTGGGAAAGATGGAGGGCACAAGGAGAAGGGGACGACGGAGGACGAGATGGTGGGACAGTGTTCTCGAAGCTACCAGCATGAGTTTGACCAAACTGCGGGAGGCAGTGAAGACAGGAGTGCCTGGCGTGCTCTGGTCCAGGGGGTCACAAAGCGGCGGACGCGACTAAACGACAACAAATAAAGGAATGGCATCCCCAAAAAACAATCTGCCGCTGGAAATGGAAAACTCATGAAGCAGGAGCGGCAAATGGGCTGAGCTAGAACCTGAGGGGCTACATTTCTACTTGCGGGGAACCACCCCAGCGTAACTTCATGGGGCGGCTTTAGAACCGCTGCTTCGTGGCCACCTGGTTCCTGCGTTGCAGGGGGGGTGGACTGGATGACCCTAAGGGAGGAGCTCCCCTTCCAGCCAGCCCTCCTCTTCCACCCTCCCTCTCTTTGCCATTTCAGGTCTCCCCCACCTCTTCCTGGGACCCCGCACTCCTCCCCCCCGCCCCACTGCTCTTCGAGGTAACGCGTTCCCACGTTACGCATGCAAACACGCGAGGTCGCCTGGCCCGGCCCCCCGGCCCCTCCCACGTGACCGAGCCCCGCCCCGCGCGACTTACCCGCTCCGGACTCATCACATCACCAGCGGCGGGTGGGGGAGGGGTCGCGGAAAAGGGGGCGGGGCCTAGAAAGGGGGGGCGAGACCCGGAAAAGCTTTCGCGGCGGCCTGAGGAGAAGAGAGAGAGAGAGAGAGAGAGAGAGCGCGGCGCCCAAGCCAGGCAAGGAGGAGACCTCCCAAGGGCCGCCGGGAAAAAGCAGCGCGGGGCGGCCGGGCGCATGCGCTCCTCCTTCCTCCTCTTCGTCGCCTCTTTCCCTTCCCAAATCTGGCGCATGCGCCTACGGCTCTTTCCCTCACGCGCAGCCTCCGTCGAGACTTTTCCCGCCCTTTTTTTCCTGCCGCGCTGAGCATCATGGGAAGCGTAGTCCTTCCCCTCACGAGCTTCCCTCAGGGATTTCAGAGGGGGGGTGATTTTTTTGTGGGGGGGCGCGTTGTTTTCAACTGCTGCTGGTTTTCATCGCCTTGAAATGCTATTTCATACCAGCGCCTGACTTGTGAAAAATAATAGAAAATGTAATTTTTATTTTGTTTTATATTCTCTTGAGGGTCAAGAAGAGGTGTAGTGTATAGTTTTGGCCAAGTATAATAACAAGCCCTGTCCAGACCTAAACAGACTAGATTTGTGTGTGTTTGAGGTGCTGCTGATTTTAATCTCTTTTTAAAAAATACTTTTAATACCTGCTTTTAACTCTCTCTGTGTGAATATATGCACACGTATATATAGAGAGAGTATGACACACGCACACAGATATATATATATAGTATATATAGGATAGGAGATGAATGCATTAAATTTTTAATGCCTAATAATAATAATAATTTATTATTTATACCCCGCCCATGTGGCTGAGTTTCCCCAGCCACTCTGGGCGGCTGCCAATCAAGTGTTAAAAACAGTACAGTGTTAAATATATGTTTCAAAATAATGTTTTACTATGTTTTTATATGTGCTGTAAGCTGCCCAGAGTGGCTGGGGAAACCCAGCCTGATGAGCAGGGTATAAATAATAACCTTATTAATATTATTAACTATTAATTATTAAATTCACAGAGCTCAAGCAGCTGTCTGTCAAGGATTCTCCAACTGCGATTCCTGCGTTTGCAGCAGGGGGCTGGACTAGATGTCCCTTGGGAGTTCCTTCCAACACTACAGCCCTATGAAGAGGAAACACAGCCCAGAATAACTAAGGAGATAGTACAAGAATACTTGGCTAGTTTAGATGTATTCAAGTCTCCAGGGCCAGATGAACTGCATCCAAGAGTATTAAAAGAACTGGCAGATGTGATCTCAGAACCACTGGCAGTCATCTTTGAGAATTCCTGGAGAACAGGCGAAGTCCCGGCAGACTGGAGGAGGGCAAATGTTGTCCCTATTTTCAAAAAGGGGAAAAGAGAGGACCCAAATAATTACCGCCCAGTCAGTCTGACATCAATACCAGGGAAGATTCTGGAGCAGATCATTAAGCAAACAGTCTGTGAGCACCTAGAAAGGAATGCTGTGATCACCAATAGTCAGCATGGATTTCTGAAAAATAAGTCATGTCAGACTAACCTGATTTTTGACAGAATTACAAGCCTGGTAGATGAAGGGAACGCAGTGGATGTAGCCTACCTTGATTTCAGCAAGGCATTTGACAAGGTGCCCCATGATATTCTTGTAAAGAAGCTGGTAAAATGCGGTCTTGACTATGCTACCACTCAGTGGATTTGTAACTGGCTGACTGACCGAACCCAAAGGGTGCTCATCAATGGTTCCTCTTCATCCTGGAGAAGAGTGACTAGTGGGGTGCCACAGGGTTCTGTCTTGGGCCCGGTCTTATTCAACATCTTTATCAACGACTTGGATGATGGACTCAAGGGCATCCTGATCAAATTTGCAGATGACACCAAATTGGGAGGGGTGGCTAACACCCCAGAGGACAGGATCACACTTCAAAACGACCTTGACAGATTAGAGAACTGGGCCAAAACAAACAAGATGAATTTTAACAGGGAGAAATGTAAAGTATTGCACTTGGGCAAAAAAAATGAGAGGCACAAATACAAGATGGGTGACACCTGGCTTGAGAGCAGTACATGTGAAAAGGATCTAGGAGTCTTGGTTGACCACAAACTTGACATGAGCCAACAGTGTGACACGGCAGCTAAAAAGCCAATGCAATTCTGGGCCTGCATCAATAGGAGTATAGCATCTAGATCAAGGGAAGTAATAGTGCCACTGTATTCTGCTCTGGTCAGACCTCACCTGGAGTACTGTGTCCAGTTCTGGGCACCACAGTTCAAGAAGGACACTGACAAACTGGAACGTGTCCAGAGGAGGGCAACCAAAATGGTCAAAGGCCTGGAAACGATGCCTTATGAGGAACGGCTAAGGGAGCTGGGCATGTTTAGCCTGGAGAAGAGGAGGTTAAGGGGTGATATGATAGCCATGTTCAAATATAGAAAAGGATGTCACATAGAGGAGGGAGAAAGGTTGTTTTCTGCTGCTCCAGAGAAGCGGACACGGAGCAATGGATCCAAACTACAAGAAAGAAGATTCCACCTAAACATTAGGAAGAACTTCCTGACAGTAAGAGCTGTTGGACAGTGGAATTTGCTGCCAAGGAGTGTGGTGGAGTCTCCTTCTTTGGAGGTCTTTAAGCAGAGGCTTGACAACCATATGTCAGGAGTGCTCTGATGGGGTTTCCTGCTTGGCAGGGGGTTGGATTCGATGGCCCTTGTGGTCTCTTCCAACTCTATGATTCTATGATTCTATGATTCTATGAAGTAATAAGAAACACAACAGAGGCAACACAAGAGGGAAGCCGTTTTTCTCCGGTTCCCGTTTATTCCCCGGCTGCACAACCAGAAGAGACCCTCCTCGCCCCACGTGGCAATAGTGCTTCTGCTCTGGTCTAGCGCTCGGATGCTCTCCGTTTGGGGCTGCGCTGTTTCCTTCTGTCCTGCACAACCTCCCACAGCCGGTGCCGGATAACTTGGAGGATGCTGGAGACCTCGCGCAGCAGGGATTCATCCAGCCGGGCGTCTTGGTCCGCGGCGGCTTCTGCACCCTGCGTGGGGAAGGGGGGCCATTGTGGCTGAGTGGACAGGTCACCTGCCTGGCATGCAGAAGGCCCCCGGTCCATTCCCCAGCAGCACCTCCAGGCAGGGCTGCAAAAGACTCCCTTTCTGAAACCCTGGCGAGCCGCTGCTGCCAGTCAGTGTGGGCACCACCAAGCTGGATGGACCAATGGGTTTGATTGGGAAAGGCCTGCAGCTCGACGAGAGAGCACCTGCTTGGCGTGCAGAAGGACCTGGGTTCAATCCCCAGCAGCACCTCCAGGCAGGGCCGCAAAAGACTCCCTTTCTGAAACCCTGGAGAGCCCCTGCTGCCAGTCAGTGTGGGCACTACCAAGCCGGGTGGACCGACGAGAGCACCTGCTTGGCGTGCAGAAGGACCTGGGTTCAATCCCCAGCAGCACCTCCAGGCAGGGCTGCAAAAGGCTCCCTTTCTGAAACCCTGGAGAGCCCCTGCTGCCTGTCAGTGTGGGCACTACCGAGCCGGATGGACCAATGGGTCTGATTGGGAAAGGTCTGCAGCGCAACGAGAGAGCATCTGCTTGGCATGCAGAAGGACCTGGGTTCAATCCCCAGCAGCGTCACTAGGTAAAGCTGGGAAAGGCGCTCCGGCCTTAAACCCTGGCATGCCAAGCTGCCAGCCAGTGTGGGTAATACTGGCACCAGTATGGACCAAGAAGGCAGCTCTGTTCCCAGGTTTATCCCTAGAGAAGCACAAGGGCTCAGCCTTGGAACACAGGAAATGGGTCATAAAGGGGACGGTACCTTTGACATGGGATGCGGGTGGCGCTGTGGGTTAAACCACAGAGCCTAGGACTTGCCAATCAGAAGGTTGGCAGTTCGAATCCCGGCGACGGGGTGAGCTCCCGTTGCTCAGTCCCTGCTCCTGCCAACCTAGCAGTTCGAAAGCACGTCAAAGTGCAAGTAGATAAATAGGTACCGCTCCAGCGGGAAGGTAAACGGCGTTTCCGTGCGCTGCTCTGGTTTGCCAGAAGTGGCTTACTCCTGCTGGCCACATGACCCGGAAGCTGTGTGCCGGCTCCCTTGGCCAATAAAGCGAGATGAGCGCCGCAACCCCAGAGTCAGTCACGACTGGACCTAACGGTCAAGGGTCCCTTTACCTTTACCTTTGACACGCCTCTGAAGAAGTGTGGGAGGCTTCCATCTTTCAAACAGCAAGGTAGAAATCGAGCCAGGGAATAGAACCTGTTTTTCAGGGCGGCAGCCCAGTCCTGGAACATGCGAGATTAAAAAAGGGATTTTTGTTTCCCCCCTGAGCATAGATACAGTGCCTTGTATGCCCCTGAGCAGCCCTAGACAGACCTCACAGCAGGGAAAGGATTTCCGGGGTGGGGGTCGGGGCAACCTCCAGGGAAGAACATCTCCTTAGAATTGCAGAACTTGAAGGGTTATTTGAGTCCACCTTCCGCAATGCAGAAATCACAGCTATTCAGTGGCACAGCAGTTGCACCCCCTGATTGCGCAAATTTCCCCTCTCCCAGTAAACAGGTGATTTGCTCTCCCTTCCTGTCTTCTGCCTTACTAGAAGTCCCGGAACATCCTGAAGGCAGAGAGGAGGGCGTGAGCCGATTTGGGGGGAAGTGCCTTTCACCCTCCCTGATCCCAACTGAATAAAGGAATAGATAAGAATAATCTTCCTTAATAACATGAGAAGAGCCCAATGGATCAAGCAATAGTAGCTGTTGTGGCTAATAGCTCTCTCCTCCTCCTCCTATAATTTGTGCAGACCTCTTTTAAAGGCATCCAAATTGCTGGCCATTATTGTCCCCCTGCGGGAGTGAGTTCCACACTTCAACTCTGTGTTTTGTGAAGACAGATTTTCTTTTATCTCTCCTGGATCTGCAGCGTTCAGCTCCATGGGATGGCCACGAGTTCTGGTGTTAGGAGAGGAGGAGAAAGACTTTTCTCTGTCTGTTTCCTCCACAGGTGGTTAAAACTTGGTTCCGGCACAGCCTGCGAGGGCATGGAGTAGACATTTAGAACAAAAACAAGGGAGATATATCATTCGCCCTGCCTCTGCGTCTAGCCACACACAAAATTGACAGGCAGATGGTTGAAAGGCAAAACAAAAAGATAAGTACTTCCCCAGACAACGTGCAATTATTCCTGGGGATTCATGGCTGCGATGGTCAGTAGCATAAATAGTTTTCTGAGCAGAGCTAAACAAACACATGGCGGGCCGCTGAGCCTTCCCATGGAGAGCCAACGCTGCTGCAACTTCCCTTTCGGAGATAAGCGAAGGCATGTCTCAACAAGAACAGGAAATCGAGATTGCCGCCATGTTGGCTGCGAGAAGAGGTGTGGACCAGGAATGAAATCGTGGGGTCACAGGCGGAGAGCTCAGCAAAGGTGTCGTCAACCTGGTGTGCGGCAGCCGTGGAAAAGGCAAATTTCATGTCAGGGATGGTTAGGGAAGAAACCGAAAACAAAACTGCCGATTTCATAACGCCGTTATACAAGCCTATGATGTGACCGCATTTGGAATACTCTGTAGAGTTCTGGTTGCCTTGCCTCAAAAAGGATGCTGTCAAGTTGGAAAAGGGTTCAGAAAAGGGCAACCAAAATGATCGAGGGGATGAAGCGACTCGCTTAGAGGGAAAGTTACAGTGTTTGGGGCTTTTCAGTTTAGAGAAAAGGAGAGTAAAGCGGGGAAATGGGTAGAGGCGGAGAAAGAAGAAGAAGAAGAGGAGTTTGGATTTGATATCCCGCCTTTCACTCCCCTTCAGGAGTCTCAAAGCAGCTAGCAATCTCCTTTCCCTTCCTCCCCCACAACAAACACTCTGAGAGGTGAGTGGGGCTGAGAGACTTCAGAGAAGTGTGACTGGCCCAAGGTTACGCAGCAGCTGCATGTGGAGGAGAAGACGCGAACCCGGTTCCCCAGATTACGAGGCTACCGCTCTTAACCACTACACCACACTGGAAAGAAGATAGGGAAAAGTTTTTTCTCTCATAAATCAGGAACATGTGGACATCCAATGAAGCTGAGCATTGGAAGCAGTGTTAGTAATTCAGATGTACAAGCTAGGGACCAGATGGCACCTTGAATCTAGGTTACGGTCACCACAAAGGAATGTCTGTTCACCGGGGGGTTGGACTAGATGACCCTCGGGGTCCCTTCCAGCGCTAAATTTCTACGATTCTATGATCTCAGCTGCATTGCTTGACTGTAGCTCGCTCTTACAACAATTCACTTGTCCCAGGATGCAAGAGGGAGAAACACACATAATGGAAATGTGAATGCTATTAACTATGGACTAAGGCAGAGGCTTTTAAATTGTGGTCACCAACCTGGTGCCCAGAAATCTCCACGTAGACGCAACTGGACTCACACCAAGTAGCAAAATCCATCTGGTACCTGAGGAATTTCAAAAACTTGATTGGGAGATTCTGGGCAGATAGAAAGTCATTCACGCAGCACAGGCTTAAACTGTGGAACTCACTCCCACTTGGATGGCTTTAAAAGCAGAATAGAGGAATTCCTGGAGGAGGAGGTGGAGATTGTGAACGGCTCCTAGCCACAGTGGCTCGGCCTCCACGGCTGGAGGCAGCAATGGTTCCGAATGGGCTACTGCACTGATCCATCAGCCAGACTTTTACAGAACCTCCAGGTCCCAAGGCAGTCTATCTCAATTCCTAGATTCTTAGGGGCATTTGGCCACTGCGAGACCAAGGTGATGGACTAGATGCTGGGGCCCCTTTGGCCTGATCCAGCAAGGCTTGCCATCACAAAGAGGTGACTTGCTTGAGCCGGCAGGCGGCCCTTACGCCCTCCCAGACTCACCCGTTGCCCTTTGAAGAGGAAGACATAAATTAGGGCGAGAGCGCCTGAGAGGACCAGCAGCAGCGGCAAGGTGCAGTCATCGCTGGCTAGCCAGCCCCCACCAATCCCGAGGGAGCAGGCTTCCTCCTGCGGTTCTCCCTGATCCGGGCCCAGCTCGCTGACCCTCTGCCTCCTCGAGTGGGCAGGGGTCGCCAAGATCCAGGCTAGGAAGAACAAGGAGGAACGCCACAGCCCCATGATTCTTCTAGGGATATTTGCGGCAGATAGCCGGTTGCTAGGGAACAGTTTCCAGGGAGACCGTCGTTTGAAGCTTCCGTGGACCAGTATGGGACAAAGTCAAGGGACCAAATCTGGAACTGGGGTGGTGTTAGGCTGAATACTTCTGCTTGAATCTGTTGTCCGGCAACAGGATGACCGGCCACCTGGCTGAGCTTTTCTGGGGAGATACTAGCCCAATGGTATTTCCTATGGATTTAGGTTTCTGACTTGTTGGTGGGCATCGTTCCCCTACCTTTGCCTTCCTGAACAGCATACGACTTGGCTCACTCACTTGAAACACCTGGAGCTACTTTGCTCTACCAATGCTTTGTTGTTGTTGTTTAGTCGTTTAGTCGTGTCCGCCTCTTCGTGACCCCCTGGATCAGAGCACGCTAGGCCCTCCTGTCTTCCACTGCCTCCCGCAGTTTGGTCAAACTCATGTTTGTAGCTTCGAGAACACTGTCCCACCATCTCGTCCTCTGTCGTCCCCTTCTCCTTGTGCCCTCCATCTTTCCCAGCATCAGGGTCTTTTCCAGGGAGTCTTCTCTTCTCATGAGGTGGCCAAAGTCTTGGAGCCTCAGCTTCAGGATCTGTCCTTCCAGTGAGCACTCAGGGCTGATTTCCTTCAGAATGGAGAGGTTGGATCTTCTTGCAGTCCATGGGACTCTCCAGAGTCTCCTCCAGCACCGTAATTCAAAAGCATCAACCAGTGCTTTAATATTTTTTATTTGGGGGGGGGACAGGACTTATTTATTTAATAGGTTTTATAGAGCGCTTGATTGTAAAAAAAAAGAGCAAACAAACCTCAATGTGGTTTACGAAAAGATAGAACAAGAAAAATCTACGTTACTTTAAAGTAACGCATACGAAAATTGAAATATTAAAAGTTTTCTCTCTCTGCCTGACCTTCCTCACAGGGGAGGAAGGAGGAGAACCATGTACAATGCCATAAGTAGTTTTGACTTCCTATGATGTGCAGACTATGATGTTCTCACTCAGGAGGGCTGGCGGTGGTGGTGTACAGTGGTTAAAGAGTGTCAAACTAACACCTGACTCGGCTGTGAAACTCACTGGGTGTGGCGCCCCCCCCCCCCGACAGCTAGTCTGTATCACTCTCGGCCGGATCTTATCATGCAGAGTTGTGAGCGGAGTGGAGAAAAGGTCGGCTAACAACCTATTGAATAAATAAGATTTAGCACATGAGAAGAGCCTTGTTCCGGATCAGGCCAGTGGCCCATCTGATCCAGCATCCTGTGGCTGTGGGAAAACAGCAAGCAGGATTAGCGCACAGGAGCAATACTCTTCCCTCCTGCTGGAAAATTACCCCAAGGAGGTGGTGCTGGGGGGAGGTTGGTGCCAGATCACAACTCTGCTCAGCTTCCAGGGCTGCCTCTTGCAAGAAGTGTGAGGCGGGTGCTTTTATTGCAGCAGTGTGTGTGGGGGGGGTGTTGCCTAATGCTTCCAGACTGGGCTGGCCCACGACACAACAAACAAGGTGCTTTTCATTCCAGCAACTGTGCGTCGCTCAGTGCTGCTGTTTGTCCCATGCCCTGTGGGAACACGATGATCCTGCGCAGGAAGGGGGAGAGGGGCCGGGGAAGAACAATAGCCTTTGTCACCCCGCCTGCGTGGCACGTGCCCCTCTACTGCTGCCGCTGCTCACGCCAGGCTCCCTCCCGCATCCAGCGTTTCCCTGGGTGCGACTGGAGCCGCTGGTTAAGAGCGGGGGGCTAAGACCTGGGAGAGACCAGGGTTGGGGGGAAAACCCATTTGGTGGCCATGAAACTCACTGGGTGACCCTGGGCCAGTCCTTGCCTCCTCTCAGCCTAACCTACCTCCCAGGGCTGTTGTGGGGATTGAGTGAGGAAGGGGGAGAACTATGTACGCCACCTTGAGCTCCTTGCAGGGAAAAGGTGGGATACAAGCGCAGTAAAATAAATAACAGAAACAGCTGCAGATTTTGGGAAGCTCACGGCCGGTTCCACCTGCTTCCTTCAAAGGGGAAGGGGGACGCTTGGTGCCTAGAGGGCAAGTAAGGTTCCTTATGCTCAGGGGACAGTTTGTGCTTGTGTGTGGGTTTTTTGGGTGTAGGAGGAAATTCCTTTGAGTTAGAGGTGGGGGCAGGAAGGGGATTCCTCCCTGGATTTTATGTACAGCTTGACTCGCTTACCAGAGCCACTCGGAGGCTGCCAAGGTCAGCAAGCATCTTTACCTCATTGTGGAATCTTGGGGATGTGGGTTGCTGCGGGATGGACTGCAGAGGCCTGGGGGGCAGGCAGGGGGTGTGGCCAGTGTGTGTGTGTGTTTGCCAGGTGGTGGGAGGAGTGCATTGGCGGTTTCTAAGCAGAGGTCGGACGGCCATCTGCCAGGGCTTCTTTAGCCGCGCTTCCTACATTGCAGAGGGCTGGACTAATGACCCTTGGGAGGGGGGGTCCCTTTTCCAATTTCACTGTGATTCTGTAAATGTCCTGTGATGCCTCTACCGCCCTTCTTGTAGCTGCTTTCGACATTTGCATCATACACCGACAAAGCATTTCCCCTCTGAACTGAACCCCCAGCCCATGCCCCCTTGAGCCCAGAGATCCACACGCCACACAGAGTGACATTAGCAGTCTTGTACTTTAATAACCTGAAATACTGCAAAAGTGTCCTTAATAGAAAATTTATTGCCAGCTCCATCCGCCCCCCGCACCCGACCCAACCTGGCCTGAACCCCTCGCCCCCAATCGTGTCTCCGGCCCCACACCCCATCCCGTTCCCCATTTCAATGGGGCGACTGCAGAGCTGTCCCAATGAGATTTGGCCAAGGGGCGTTAAGTCAGGCCCATAAGGGGCAGGCGGGAATCACCCCCAAGTCTGTGAGCGGCTTCCCTCCCCAAAAGCCCCCGCCCCAGCCCACCAACCTGGCAGTCCCCCTCCGCAGCCGGTAAATCGTGTCTTTGCGCAAAAAAAAAAAAAGGTCCCCCCACTCCCAGAGCTGGGGGGGTAAAACCAAGTCCTGATTCCACCCCCGAAAAGGCACATGCTGTGTTAGTAGGCCCCCTTTCTCCCCACCCCACCCCAACCCCGCACCCCAAAAGGCTGGCTCCACACACGCGCACGCACACACACCCCTTCCAGCAACGCTAGTGCCCCCCCACCCACGTTTCACATCTGCGGGAAATCCATTAGTGAGTGCCCCCTCCCCAAAACACGCAAACACACACACCCCTCAGTGTCCAAGTCCAGCCCCCTCCTGCCGGCCCAGGGTCACGCGGCACCGCCGGAAGGAGGCTTGGCGTTGGCGTGGAGCTGGGCCTGGAAGCGGCTGAGCTGCTCTGCGCTGGCCAGGGAGCGCAGGAGGGCGTTCTCTTGCTCCAGCAAGGCGTTGCGGTCCGACAGCTCCTTGATCTGCTCCCGCAGGACCTCCACCTCCTCCCGCACGGCAAACATCAGGTGGCTTTTCACCAGGTCCTAGAGAGGAGTGGGGCACACAGAGAGAGAGAGAGAGGCCAGGGACACCGTCAGGCATGTGGGAAGCCTCCACTCACAGGACCGTAGCGTTTGTAATGTAGTTCATGCAGCACATCAACTGTGGAACTCCCTCCCGCGGGCTCTGAAAGAGACCGTTTATCTCCCCAGCGTCTTTTCTAAAACCCTCCCCAGCTTCGGTAACCAACAGTTCCGCAGTATTGCAGCCAATTAATCCCTGAAAGGGGACGCGGGTGGCGCTGTGGGTTAAACCACAGAGCCTAGGACTTGCCAATCAGAAGGTCGGCGATTTGAATCCCCGCGACGGGGTGAGCTCCCGTTGATCGGTCCCTGCTCCTGCCAACCTAGCAGCTCAAAAGCACACCAGTGCAAGTAGATAAATAGGTACCGCTCCGGCGGGAAGGTAAACGGCGTTTCCGTGTGCTGCTCTGGTTCGCCAGAAGCGGCTTAGTCCTGCTGGCCACATGACCCGGAAGCTGCACGCCGGCTCCGTAGCATATGTAAAGTACCATATTTTTTGCTCTATAAGACTCACTTTTTCCCTCCTAAAAAGTAAGGGGAAATGTGTGTGCGTCTTATGGAGTGAATGCATGCTGAGCAGCTATCCCAGAAGCCAGAACAGCAAGAGGGATCGCTGCTTTCACTGCGCAGCGATCCCTCTTGTTGTTCTGGCTTCTGAGATTCAGAATATATTTTTTTCCCTTGTTTTCCTCCTCCAAAAACTAGGTGCCTCTTGTGGTCTGGTGTGTCTTATAGAGCGAAAAATACGGTAGTTCATGCAGCACATCAACTGTGGAACTCCCTCCCGCGGGCTCTGAAAGAGACCGTTTATCTCCCCAGCGTCTTTTCTAAAATCCTCCCCAGCTTCGGTAACCAACAGTTCCGCAGTATGGCAGCCTATTAATCCCTGAAAGGGGACGCGGGTGGCACTGTAGGTTAAACCACAGAGCCTAGGACTTGTCAATCAGAAGGTCGGTGGTTCGAATCCCCGCGACGGGGTGAGCTCCCATTGCTCAGTCCCTGCTCCTGCTAACCTAGTTCGAAAGCACATCAAGTGCAAGTAGATAAATAGGAAGGTAAACGGCGTTTCCGTGCGCTGCTCTGGCTCGCCAGAAGCGGCTTAGTCCTGCTGGCCACATGACCCGGAAGCTGTACGCCGGCTCCCTCGGCCAATAAAGCGAGATGAGTGCCGCAACCCCAGAGTCGGCCACGACTGGACCTAATGGTCAGAGGTCCCTTTACCTTTAATCCCTGAATGATGCCCCCTGCCCACCTCTGCTTTTAAACCTCCAATGAAAGAGAGTCCACTGCCTTCTGAGGTCATAGAATTGTAGAGTTGGAAGGCCCACCTAAAGATCATATAGGCCAGGCACGTCCAACTCCCGAGAGCCTGCAATTTTTGAGTTCGTTTTTCAATTCAACCAAAGATCGACCTGGAAGGCACCCGCGACTGACCAGTAGATCGCGATCGACAGGCTGGACATGCCTGCTACAGGCCAAAACTCCTGCAACAAAGGAGTCGCAGCCAAAGAGTTGCTGCCTCCACACACACACAACCACAACTGTGCCTACAACTGATTCTCAATTCTGATTTTGCAGCCTCCTCCTCCCAGACCAGACTGTCTGGTCCAGCTAGCTCAGCAACACTTGCCCTTCAGGATTTCAGCCCTACTTGGAGCTGCTGAGGATTGAAGCAGGGACCCTCCGGCATGTAAAGACCCATGGATTGCCCTCACGACAACCCTCCCCTTGCAGAGGAATACTTAGAGGCTGTTAAGAACATAAGAGGCGCCCACCTAGTCCGGCATCCTGTTCTCAGTGGCCTGCCAGGTGTCCAAATGGGGAGCCCCAAAACAGGATTCAAGCAAACCTCCTGCGGCTTCCAGCCATTGGTATTTAGAAGCATCGCTGCCTCCAGCTGAAGAAGCAGGGCGAAGCCAACCTGGCTCATAGCCATCAATAGCCCTCTCCTCCCCCATGGATTTATCCCATCCTCTTTATAGCCATCCAGATTGGAGCCTATAACTGCGTCCTGTGGCAGGGAGTTCCACAGCTTAACCATACGCTTTAATTCCCACCTTATCGATGCAGCTGCTGTCCCAAACACCCCCCTGCTAAACCTGGAGTTTTCCTGCCCTCAGAAAATCCGAAGGTGACGTCTGCTCCGCTTTAAAAGCACTCCCACCAGTTTTCAGTGGGTACCATTGTCCGTTATTTTATTTTTTTACATGGGCGGCTTTGATGAGGAGCAGCTTCTACGGAAGCAGCAGATAGCACAAAACGGGGAGAAGGGATGGAGGAACCCAGGGTTAAAGTCACATCTGAACGTAAGCCGCTCAGGTATGAACAAATAGATTGCCTGAAATGATTATTTTGTGGGCCTGTCTGGCTGGACCCTTGCTCTTTCTTTTTTTCTGAGAGGGAGGGAGGGATGCTCATCTGTTCACCCACTACGACCCTTTCCTGCCCATGTGTAGAGGGCTTCAGAGCCCGGACAGAGCTCAGCAGGGCCACAGTCCCAGCCTGGAGGGGGCCTGCGACATTTCCCCCACCCCTTGGACTCACCATGGCTTGTTCAATCTTGTTGTCTATGGCGATCATGCTGCTGTTGGTTCCGCTGTGAGGAAGAGACGGACAGGTGGATCAGGAGGCAAGACAGACAACCCCCCCACACACACTCTTTAGCTAACCTCCACCACTTCTGTTCTCACAAGACTTTCCTACTTGTAGAATTGTAGAGTTGCAAGATATGCCCCTAGGGTCATCTAGTCCAACCCCCTGCAAGGCAGGAACTACAGCTGAAGACCACACTAGAAAGTTCTTCCTAATGTTTCTTTGGAATCCCCTTTCTTGCAGCTTCAATCAATTGGTTCAAGTCTTTCCCTCTGCAGCAGCAGAAAGCAAGCTTGCTCCCTCTTCCACGTAGGAGCCCTTTAAATATTTGGTCCTCACATTCCCTCTCAGTCTCGTCTTCCCCAGGCTAAACATACCCAACTCCCTCAACCATTCCTCGCAAGGGTTGGTTTCCAGACGCTTGATCATCTTGGTCTTTATCCTCTGCACACCTTCCAGCTTGTCAATAGCCCTCTTAAATTGTGGCATCCAGAACTGGACACAGGACTCTGACCCCTCGATCTGGACACCAGACTCCAGTGGAATTGTGTTAGCTATTTTTGCTGCAGCATCGCATGCTCAGCTCCCTTTGAGTTCGCCTCCTTCCTTTGCAACACAGGGACGGCATACACACTATACTTCTAAAGCGCATCCCCCCCCCCCAAGTATTCTGGGCACTGTAGAATCGGAGAATTGCAGAATTGGAAGGCGCCAAAAGCGTCATCTAGTCCGACCCCCACAATGCAGGAATCACTAGGGATTGTAACTGGGGGGACGGGATAACCTTACAGTGTCCAAAATTCTTGCTGGGTGGGGGATTGCACTTCCAATAAGATTGAATGGGATCGTCACACAGCCACAAATCTCTCTTAAACAAGACCTTGCTAGGCGCCATCCCCAGACAACAACACCTAATTCTTTACCCCCCAATGCATGCCTTGTAATGCTTGTAAGAATTAAGTGGTAACGAGAACAAGACTTGAAGCGAGACCAGCGCACCTTTCACCTGCCAGTGAGGACAACTGCACCTGGGGGGCGGGTGGAGGAGGGTTAGCAGGGAAAGGTTTCTGTCTTGGGAGGCTGTGTGTCTCCAGACCCATTTGAACCCCACCAGTTTAGTCGTGACACGCTGCAAAATAAGCACCCTACTTCTGGGCACACCTGGGTGGGTTTGGGGGTTGTTTTTTCTGATTGAGGGAATGCCCTTCTTCCCCAAGGAGCCCAGGGCAGCAAAACAGATGCACCTTTCCTTAATAATAAAAAAGCAAAAACAGATTTAAACTTTCCCAAAAAACTAATACAATTAAAGATATTTAAAAGCAGTTGCTTTTCTCTGCAGAGAAACCCTTGCCTTAATGCTTCCAGCTTGGGCCGCTTTGATCTCCTGAAATGTCAGCCCAGGGTTTCCTGACAGGACTAGACCAAGCTCCCAATCAACACAGGGCTCCATTTGCACCCGTGGCCAGTCAAGGGCTCCAGGGAGCTCCCTTGCCTTTCCCCTACTCCAGAGGTGACTAACATGGAGCTCTGCCACCATGATCCCTGGCTATCGGGCAGCTGGGAACTGGCAGTCCAACAATTCCCAGGTTCCCCATACCTGTTGCTAATCGAACACTCGGCCTCCTCCTGGCACACACAACAAGCTCGTCTGCATTTTTCACTCAGACCCTTCCTCCTGAGAGCTCCCCCATCCCTCCTCTATCCTCCCAGGAACCCTGCAAGGTAGGCCAGGGAGAGATATTACTCCAAGGCTATGCAGTAAACAGGTTTGCGGCGGAACAGGGTTTTGAGGTTCTCCCTGGCCCACCCACAGTTGTCCTCTGATGCCCTTGACCCCACACTCCCTCCTTAGCCTCAATACCCCTGCCCAACCATCAACACCCCCCCCAAAAAACACCCCCCATGCTTGCCTCAAACTCCCACCCCCGAAATCTGCCCCCTCTACTACCTGTGCAAGACAAGCAGGAGGGAGACGAGGGTCTTGTCCACCTCTTTCTTCCGTCCGTTCAGCTTCCTGCGTCCCTTGGGGGTCTCTCTCGGCTTCGCAGGGGACAAGTCCCTGGAGTGGGCCGGGGAGGTGCAGCCCCGCTGCCGGGGGCGCCGGGGGTCCCTCGAATCGGGGAGCATGCAGCAGCCGCAGCCCTGGGGCTCCTGCTGCACCTCGAAGGCGCTCACCCTGGACTTGACAGACACCCCCAGGGAGTCCAGCGCCATAACGGCTCCCTCCTCGGGTCTTCCAGGTGCTGGCGGTCGAGGAAGGTCCTGCGCTTCTGGGCCGCCAGAGTCCTCAGGCGCCCTTTGACCCCTGGCCCAGATCCCTCCTCGCTAAGGTCCTCTTCCGCTCCCAGATCCTGCACAAGCTGGCGGTGGTCTTCTGTCTAGAAGCGCTGCGGCAGGAACCCAGGAGTCCTGGGCGGAGTGAGGGGGCTGGGTGGCGGCGGCAGCAGGAGGCGCTGAACCGCTGGGATGGGCTCCCTGGGCAGCGATGCCCAGCGGTGCTCCCTGGCCGGGCATAAATAGCCATCTCTGTGCCTGGCGCTCGGGCCCCCTCTCATTCACTCCCATTGGCCAAGGCCATGTGGCTGTGTGTGTGTGTGTTTATTCCTTTCTTTCTCCTCCCCACACCCCACGCCCCATCAATGACAGCCAGGGACATCAGCTGCACCATTCTCCACTCTCCCCACTTTCCGCAAACACACAGAGGACTTGTGCCTAGAGGAGCACCCTCAAATCAGATGGCCCCCCCACCCACCCTGGAAGGGGAACAGCAAGATCGATGCTGTTTGCTTTGCCCCCCCCCCACCAAAAAAAGTCCACCTTCCCTTCACCCTTGCCTTGTTCTTGGCTGTGATGCAGCAGGGGGGGCGGACTCACAAAGGGGCCTTTATAAACCTGCCACCCTCTGTTTATGCCAATCCGGTCCGGGGGGGGGGGAATGCCAGGGGGTGTGGGGACGTCGCCATGGAAACTGGGACCAGAGCCCAAAGGCATTACATAACGCAGCACCAGGCGCTTCTCAGCGGGGGGAGCGCCGGAGTCCAGCCCAGCCTTGGCGGGGGGGGGGGAGGAAAGAAGGAAGGTGTGTGTGTGTGTGTGTATGTGCAGACACACACATACATGTGTGCATAGGGACTTCGGGGCTACTTGCGGTGAAGGGGAAAGAAAAAATGGGAGCCAGGATTGTCTGTAGGGCACTTGCGGCGGTGGCTTTGTGCTGGGAAATCCTGCGATGCGGAGAGGTTGGACTAGATTGCAGTGGGGGGTCCCTTCTAATTCTATGACCTCAGGAGGCAATGGACTCTCCTTCATTGGAGGTTTGTAAAGCAGAGGCCGCACGGCCACCTGCCAGGGATTCTTATAATAATAATAAATTTTTATTTATATTCCGCCCTCCCCAGCCAAAGCTGGGCTCAAAGCGGCTAACAACAGTAAAATGATACAACATTCTAAAATCATTTCATTACAAAATCAGTTCAGATTCTTTAGCTGCAATTCCTGCTTTTTGGTGGGGCTGGACTAGATAACCCTGCGGTGTCCCTTCCAACGCTACAGTTCTTGGATTCTGAGACCAAACGTCAGACACAGAGACTTGGGTTCCCCTTCCCAAAGCCTGCTCAAAGAGGAAGCCTACTGACCCTCCCTTGCAAGGCAAGGGCAGGGTGACCTTGGCCTCCCTCCTACCTCCTTCCCTCCCCTCCCACCGGCCAATCGTGGGAGTCCAAAGGCAGGCCTGCAGTGCTTTCCCACCCACGCCACCCTCGCTGGGGCAAGGAGGTAGCCAGCTGCAGCCCCCGGGTATCAGTGTGCAAGTGGGGTTTGGGGTGGAGCAGGCAGAGAGGGGCACTGCCTGCCCCCCAAACTCTGCCGCTCCCTTTGCTTTGGAGATTTGCCCAAATCTAATTAACACCCCCCCAAAAAAAATGTTCTAGCTCGGTTAAGCTTTAAAACAGGAATAAACATGTACAGAGTCTGAATTAAATTACAGGGGAGTGGGGAGGAAGTTGGGTGTTCCACTGCGACTGCCCCGGGTCTTGGGGATGAGGCAGACCGGAAGCTGTTAGAAAGAGCTGTCTGAGGGTCAAAGCCGTTTGACAGCAGAACGGACTCCCTCGGGTGGTGGTGGACGCACCTTCCTTGGAGGTTTTTAAGCAGAGGTTGGATGCTCATCTTTCAGGGCTCCTTTCGCTGCGATTCCTGCATTGCCAGGGGTTGGGCTGGATGTCCCCTTAGGGTACCTTCCAACTTTGCTAGTCTGTGGTTCTGTTGCAAATGGTCTTCTTTCCTCTGCAGGGTGGGTGCCTACTCTTGAGCTGTGGGGTCTGCCCTCTTTTCATGGACCCTCTGGCTCAGGGGTAGGCAACCTAAGTCCCCAGGGCCGGATCTGGCCCAATCGCCTTCTAAATCCGGCCTGCGGACGGTCCGGGAATCAGCGTGTTTTTACATGAGTAGAAGGTGCCCTTTTATTTAAAACGCATCTCTGGGTTATTTGTGGGTCCTGCCTGGTGTTTTTACATGAGCAGAATGTCTGCTTTTATTTAAAATGCATCTCTGGGTTATTTCTGGGGCATCGGAATTCGTTCATATATTTTTTTTTCAAAATATAGTCCGGCCCCCCACATGGTCTGAGGGACGGTGGACCGGCCCCCTGCTGAAATAGGTTGCTGACCCCTGCTGAGTCTAACTTGAGGAAGGCCTCCTTCCCCAAAAAACCTGCCCCGCTAACCATGTTGGGATTGCAGCCCAAGATCTCTGTTGAAGTCCAAAGCTTTGGGTGGGGTTTGATTCTCCCCTAAATCACCCGGCAGCCATTGCTCTCTGCCAAAGCCTGGCGGAGGCAGTGCCTACCGGGTGCGTTGCCAACCTGCCGCCCTCCAGCTGGCTGGCAGCTGAGGAAAGTTGCAGCCCTAGATATCCCGAGGGCCTTGAGTTTGGCGAACCCCTGGCAGAAATGGAGAGAGGGGGTGCCCAGCAACCCATGGGTTAACCCCAGACCTGGGCACCGTTTGGGGTGGGGTGGGGGTCAGCGGGGCATGAACCTGTGTGTGAGCACAAGAACCCGTCTTGCAGGTTTCGGAAGTGACAGGGAGAAGGATCCTCCTTGGCCCAGGGGCACATTTGCACCAGCTGGGCAGGAAGGAACACGGGCCTGCTCTGAATTGCACCCGCTCCTTCCTGCACGCCTCACATGCGCCTCAGCCCAGGCCTCCTCCTCCTCCTCCTCCCCAGCTCCATGGACCCTCCTCCTCCTCCCAACACCTCAAAAGGATTTATTCCTTATTCCTGTCTCTTCCTCTCCTGCTGGGTTGTAGCAACTGTGCCAACTTCCCCCACGTTTTCAGGGCTGTCCTGCAGAAGGGGGCATCCCGCTCTGAATGCCACGCTGCCCCTAACTCCACCCTCTGGCTGCCCTCCAGCACCCCCTCTCCACGGAGTCCTCCCGCGCCCCTCCAAGGTAGCCCTTGCATAAACAGGGCTAAGAATAGCAGAGCCAAATCCGGGGAGGAATGTGGTGGGTGCTGGCTGAAACCGGCCTCCTTCTCCTCCTTCTCCTCCTCGCTGTGGCTTTGGCCCGGCCTCTCCCGGTCCCACCGCTGGGAGGGAGAGAAGTGCGGGCACCATCCAGGGCAATCTGCTCTTGCTTCCAGGCTTGCTTCCAGGCTGGGTTGCAAGGTGTTAAAATGCAAACACCTCTCCCCTCCGCTGGAGATGCTGTAGGTATGCGGTGGTGGTGGTGGGGAAGCCACAGGCCGTCAGTGTGAAAATAAGCATGCGCCTGTATTCAGGGTTTTGCCCGTGTGGGACCTGAACAGCCAGCCTGCTTGCAGGAGCAGGGACAGGGAGGAGGCTGCAGATGGGTCTGTGTGGTTGAAAGTGGCAGGGGCCCAGATTCAAATCCCCACACAGACACAGCCTCCTGGGTCCGTCTGTCCTCTCTGTCTGGTTCATATCTTTAAAGCACCACGGTGCGGCTTTAAACAGGCAGTTCCCAGAGTTCCCTGGGAAGGGAGACTGACTTTTAAACCACCCTGGGGAAGGTCTCAGCACCCTTAACAAATCCCAGAATCCGTTTTGTGGGGAGGGGGAAGGGGGCATCATAGCACTTTAAATGTTTGGTGCAAATGTGGCCTAACTCGCCTTGGAGGGTTGCTGTGGAGATAAACAGAGGGTGGTGTGGGAAGAATCTGCCCTGACGTCCTGACGTCCTTTAGGGGAAGGAGGGTTTTTAAATCTATCCCCCAAAAAAGTTTTTGATTAAGTTCCACTGAAATGAGGCTGCATTTGAATGTTTTAATTGTTGTATTTTAATTTAGTTTTTTAAGCTGTATTCTAATCAATTGTTTTTATATTTGGTGTTAGCCATTCTGAGCCCAGTCCTGGCTGGGGAGGGCAGGGTATAAATAAAATTTATTATTATTATTATTATTAAATGTACCTTGAAAACACACACACACACACACACACACACACACACACACACGCTAGCTAGCCAGCCAGAATGGTTATGTTCAGCTTCCAGTCAGGAAAAGCCATGCTTCTGAATTGGGAGCCACAAGAAGAAGAAGGTGGCTCTTGTGCTCAAATCCCACTTGTGGCTTTTCTTTAGGGGCATCTGGTTGGCTGCTGTGGGAACAGGACGCTGGGCGAGGTGGGCTATCGGCCTGATCCTGCAGGGCTTTTCTTATGTGCCTGTGTGGGAGCCAGGAGACAGAGGGCTTGGGAGTCCTGCTCAGAAGGAGACTTCGGCCTGACTTGCCCCCCTGTCCCTGGTTGTAAGGGCTCGTTGCTTTGCTCTTGCCCCCCACCCCCACGGGGCAACCCTTGGCTCCCCATGTGGGATCAATGCATCAGTGCACGGCTGCTATTTCTTCCGGGCCAATGCTCTCATCCCCATTTGGAGACATCTCCTCCCTTCTGGGAGGGAGGGAGGAGGAAATGCGCAGTGTTTTCTGCCCGCCCTGCCCTCCCAGGCCTGCTTCTGTTCCCTGGACTGCCTGCTGCGGCTGCAAACCCACCTGCTACATTTTTAAAAATAAATAAAAATGCCATGCATGCTTGGATGTGCGCAGAAGGAGGGACGGCCGTGGCACGTGGTTCTGGGGTGCCAGCATGAGCCAGAAAGCACGAGGCCCCCAGCCATGGCAATGAGAGGGCAGCTGGCCGAATGATGCGGTTGGGGGGCAACGAGGGCAGAGAAGGTGTTCCCCCCACCCCGGCTTGGAGAGGAGACGGCGTTTGGCAGCAGAGCGGAACTGGGCAGCGCTGGCAGAGGGTCATGGAGGGTCACACTTGAAATAGATCCGTCCGTGCCCACTGCAGGGGCTGGCAAACTCCCAGGGCCGAGACGGAAATAGCCCAGCGGCAGGGAAGTGTGGAGAATCTCACCTGCCTGGGAGAGCAGAAGGCCTGGAACCCACCCACTAAAAGAAACAAGTCGCAAGCTTCCCTTTTTCGTAAAACGAAGGGACCCCGGCGGTCGCCCAGGCCTGCCCCCCTGCAATGCAGGAATCGCAGCCCAAAAATGACTGGCAGGTGGCCACCTGACCTCTGCTTAAAAACCTCAGCTTTCAAGGTTTCCCCTCCCCACGTTTCAAAGCATGCTCCTAGTCCTCAGCGCCCGTGGAAACACCCCTTTGAGCCGCCGCTGAATTTCCGCTGCAGGGCGCACCGCAGCTTCCCCTCCCTCCGAGACGCCTGTCCCGAAGCCACCGCGGGCGGCCTGTCGCTGGAGCAGCAAATGAATATTGCGACGACACAACCAGATACAGATGTGGCTGCTTCGTACAAATTGTTCCGCTCTCAGCGGGAGGCTGCTGGAGGGAGGAGGGAGAGCGTGGAGTCCTAACCGCCCCCCATTTCCTTCCTCTTGCCCAAGTCAGAACACTCCCCCCCCCCCCCGCCAAGACAGCTATGACCAAGGAACCCAGGCAAGCTTTGCCAAGGCTCGGCCCGGTCACATAGGCTGTGGTGCCTCTGAGCATATGCGGAGTGCAGCTCCCTCCCTCCCCCACCCTGGAGGGGAAAAGGGCTTTGGCCCCTCAGTCTCTACCCTCTCGGAAATTAAGAAATTAGGCCATTATCCATTGGTGGAACTACTCCTTGCTTAGCCTCCCTTTGAGTTCTTGTGGGGGGGGGAGGAATTACCTTTCCTATGAAGCTGCCAGCACCCCCTTCACCCCCACGTGTCAACACACATCCAATAACTACTTTGGCTTTCAGAGAAAGACAAGCAGGTGGGGTGAGAAGAGGGGCTGTTATTTGCACAATGCCCCCATACCTCCCAGACTGGGCCAATCGGCCTTTAAAGTCGTTCCACTTTTCAAATAAAAAAAACACAGTGTTCTGATGGTGTAACCCACCCTGGGACCTTAGGAGTGAAGGCAATAAATTAATATTAATAATAATTTGCCTTAGATGCGATTCCTGCATCACTTGGGGGGTGGACTAGATGACTCTAGGGCCCAACTCTGCGGTTCTGTGATTTTTAGAATTCCCCCCCTCCACACACACACACACAGACAAAACCCAGGCGTACCACCCCATGCCTCACCTGTCGTCGTCGCTGTCCTGGGCGCCCCCCATGCCGAACATGGACCGCGCCAGGCTGAAGCGGCCAGCGCCAAAGGGGTCGGAGGTCCTGCGGCAGGGGCTGGCATCTCGGAAGAGCGGAGGAGCCGGGGAGGATGGGCGCGAGCGGGACTCTCTGGGCAAGACCTGCGAGGCAGGGGGAGTGGGGAGAGAGAGAGAGAGAGAGAGAGGGTAAGCTTGACCCACAGCTGCTGCCCCCAACCCACCCCACCTCTAGCGGGCACCAGAGCTGAAAGGCCTTCCGCAGGCTGCAGACTTGGGGAAAGCACCCCCTCCCAGAGCCTGGTGGTTAAGTGAGTGGTGAGAGACCCACACCCCTCCCCACGCTGTGAGGGTCATTGGGGGTTTATTCCAAGGAGCGTCAGGGCGGATGAGGCAGAAAACAAGAGACTCTGTGTGCCCCTGGCTGGAAGGAACAGAGAGGGATTTCTAAGAAGAGAGGAAGGAGGCTGGTAGAGGGGCAGGGGGTGGAGTGAAGAGGATGGTGTGGGGAGAAGAGGCCCTCCTGCCCCTCGTCCTGCGCCTTCCTGGGGATCTTGCTCCAGAAGAACCCAGGCGTCCGGCTCCTTCCTTCCTGCTCAGCCCGCAACAAAATAAATCAATGGTTCATTGTTCTGACGGGGGTGGGAAAGGTGGGACTGGCTTGCGGACCCCCAAGTTCCCGCTTGGCTGGGTAGGATCCGGCTGCCAAAGTCTGCCCACCCACACCCACCCATCGCACCCCCAGAACAGACCAATGGGGCCACCCAGGGCCCACCAAGAGATTCTCCCATCGTGCACCTCGGTCACGGAAGGACAGCTATGTCCAGAGGCTGGAGAACCAGGACCTGTGGCCGAAGCGCTGTGGGGAGGAGGTTCTACGACCTGGGATGAAATCCTTGCTGAGCCACAGAAGCGCTGTGGGGTGCCAGTCTTGCCCAGGCCCCCGTTCCTCCACCCCTGATTTGTGGAACTGAAAGGTTTTGAGTGCTGCCAGCCAGGAAGGTGAAAGGAGGGCGTCTGGAGAACTGGTACGTGCAGTGTATAATTCCAAGCAGCAAGGAGTTCCGCAGGGCAAAGAAAACACACATACACACAGAGCAAGCACCCTGTAAGGACCAGGTGTGCTTGGGGGCTTTCCCAGGCCTAAATCCATCCTCTTTAGGCTCAGCTGAAATTCACTGTGTCCCCAATTGGCCCTAGTGTAAACTCAGGAGCCTCGTCCTCCCCGCACCCTCAAAGCCCACCACAGCTGGCCAACGCCTCTCACCTTGCGCCGCTCCTCTGTCCCCCTTGGGAGGAGCTGGGCGACGCTCTTGGGCAGGAGATGCTCCTCCACCATCAATGATGGGATGGTGCCCGCCAAGGGGCCCGGTTCGCCAGCTTCCCTGCTGCCTTCGCCGGGAGCTGGCGGGCGGGTCTCCAGAGCCACCAGGGGGCTGCGTGGTGCCACGGGGCTGGGGGGAGTCCTGATGGGGCGGATGAGCACGGGCAAGCCTCCTCCCAGCGAGCGGGCCTGGTGGCCCGAGTGCCCGGGCGAGGGGAGCACCAGCTGCGACTGCAGGTAGCCCCCTCGGCGCTGGGGCTGGGGGCTGAAGGGGCTGGGGGGCCTGGCCAGGAGCCCGGCCACCTCCAGCCGGGAGTCCAGGGACTGGGGGTGCCTCCCCGACTCCGCCAGGCGCCCCGTCAGGTGGTAGTCCGCCTCCTGCTCGTAGAAGTCCCGGCAAGTCCAGCGGCCCCTCTTGTAGGGCTCTCCCGAACCCTGGTCCAGCTTCACCACCCGGAAGCGGGAGGCGGCCCCGGCCGGGCCCTGGAAGGCCGGGGCCACCCCCGGGGAGCCCAAGGCCGAGGGCCCGTTCTTGGGCACAGAGGCTCCGCCGTCGTCCTCGAGGGGGTCGGCTTCCTCGCCGCCCCGGGACACTTTGGGGCTGGAGGGGCCCTTGGCCTCCCCTCCTGGGGACGAGCCCCCCTCCTTCTGCTGCTCGTAATCCGAGGTGACGCTGGTGATCTGGAAGCCGCTCTTCTTCTTCCCGCCGCTCATGGTCCCGAGGAAAGCGGGCGCGGAGGGCAGAGGAGCAGCGCAGCCTCTCCAGGTCAAGGAGCCAGCCCTGCCGTCGGGGTCAGTACCAGCCCAGGGCCATGGCCAGGCCAGACTCACCGACGACGCCAGGGGGGTCGAGTCTCGGGGGCACCACCAGGCAGAAGGCACGGGGGCCAAGCCAGGCGCATGCCAGCATCCGGCGCGGCTGGGCGTGGGGTGGCCCGCCGGGGCCTAAGGACGAGCGCTTGCAACCGCTGGGCGATCCTGCATGGTTGCTGGCGGCGCTCCCGGCTCCCTCCTGGGGGGCTAGGGGGCCAGGGCGCTGCTCAGGCGCGGGCGCATCCTGGCGGTCTCCAAGGGGTGCCCGCAAGGGCCCGGGGTGCGTTAGGGGCCACTTCTGCAGGAACGGAGAGCCTGCTGCGCGGAGGAGCAAAGTTGCCCGGCGTTTGCCCCCCGGGCTCCTTGCTTTTTGCGGGTGGGTGGGCAGCCCGGGCAGCCCTCCCCGATCGCAGAGGCGGCGGCGGCGGCGGCTCCCCGTCTGCCTAGCGCTGCCCAGCCTCCTCGCCCGCCTGCCTGCCTGCCTGCCTTCCTCTCCGCCTGTTGACAAGCCCCAGCACCAGGAAGTCCGGCCCCCTCCCAACCAGCTGACTGCCTGCACACGCCCCCCCGCCCCACAATAGCTGGGGGCCGGCCAAGAGCTGCCTTAACCCCTCCGCCACCGGATCCTCCCCCCAACTCCTCCTTAGGTGCCCCGCGCTGCGCTCGGATAGATGGCTGCGCAGGGGGCGGGTTCGCGGGGCGCGCTTGGCAGCTTTCGGAGGGGTCTCCCTCCTGGGCGGACCTCCCGAGCTCCAGGGGCGGCGGACTACAACTCCCATCCGCCCCCAGGCAGCGCTGGCTGTGGGTTGATGGGGGTTGTAGTCCGGCGCACCTGGATCGGGCGAGGCGAGGCTGATGCGCAATAGGTCCTCTCCCTTGCGCACGGACGGGGCTTATCCAGGCGGCTTTAACACTCGGGCGTCGCCCAGAAAGGGCGAAAAAAGGGGGGGTCGGACTTTGAAACGGGGCGTTGGACTAGATAGGCCTTTGAGCTGATCCTCTGCGGCTCTTAGGCTCGCTGACTGGTGAACATGTGCAGAGTGCTGGGTTTTTTTGGGGTACCCCTCCCCAGTGAATCGTCACGACAACGGCTCATAGCTTTGGGCTTTCTCCAGCATTGCTTTTTGTGGGTGGGTGGGCAACATTCAATTTTATTTTTTAACAGTTATATGTGCAACTGCTTAAGCTATTCTTATATACGCAACTGTTTTATGTCTACATAGGTCTATATAGGTGTATAGATACTCCTGTCAATCGTTCTGGAATGCCCCATGGAGAGCAATCCATGAATGAAATAAACAAAGGAGCCACCATGGAAGAGGAGCCTTTTCCGCTGGCCTTTCCTCAAGAGGTATTGTGGCGCAGCAGCTAGAACCTGGGAGAGACAAGGGTTCAAATTCTCTGCTGGATGGGCCAGGAAACCCTCCAGGTGTGACCTTGGGACCCAATCACTGCCTCTCAGCAGGGCTGTTGTGGGATGAGGAAAAGGGGAAGACCCACTTTGAGCTCTTTTTGGGGGGGGGGGAGGAGATAGAAATGCAATAAATAAATGAGCCGTTCTCACAGTTGGAGCCAGTAAGTGCACAGATTTCCCAGTAAGTGCCTCATTTCTAAAATGCTGGGGTGGGGGCTTGACCTGGAAGGGTCCTGCTGATTCCCAGAAGCGTGTTGTCTCATCAGTGATGGAAAGGCACTTTGCACATGCTCCAGGACAGTATCTTCTTTGTTATTCCTGCATTGCAGGGGGTTGGGCTAGATGGCCTTGGGGTCCCTTCCTGCCCTACAATTCTGTGATTCTACGAGTTCCAGTGCTGAGCCTTCCCTGCGCTAGCCATGGGCTGTGGTTGACCCAAGCACTCTGTTCCTCCGCCTTCAGCACAACTTGTGCGTTATGGAGAGACTGGCCCAGGGAAAGGCATAGGGAAACCACCCTGCATTATTATTATTATTATTATTATTATTATTATTTTAAAAAAGATCTTTGGCTCAAGAGAACACGTGAATAAAGCAAGAGAGTCTTCACTGTGCCCCTGAGCATACACGGAGTGCCTCTTCCTCCATTCCGAATAACCAGATCCTGTGGAGAGCTGGGACAAACCCAAGACTAGGAGATGAAGCAAATGCACTGAGCTTTTGAACCTCCAACGGACCAGCAAGTCTGCAAAGTCCAAGGCTGGCAGTGGGGCACGTCCAGAGACCCTCCCCAAAGTTTGTGGGTTGGAGAGGAGCACTGCACATTGAAGGAGCCTCCCTTTGTCTCCTTCCCTTGCAGGCTTGGGGGGACAGACACATTTGCGTTGCCTCTCCGAGAAAGAAACACTGGTTTGAGACTGGCCCTGACCTCAGGTGCCCCCACCAGGACTGGGCTCTGGGGAGTTATAGACTGCGTCAAACAGCCCTGCTGCATCTGGAGGGCACCAGGTTCATAGAATCGGGGCTCCCTGTTTGGGGCTCTACAAAACCCACCCCCTCCCTGATCCCTTTCTAGGCCACCTGGCAGGCCTTTTGTGGTGATGAAGCTGTGGGGCCGATTCTTCCCTCGGTCCCACTGCCAGCCCTGCAAGGTAGCCTTCAGCCTAGGCTTGGAGGCCTTAGGCTTGATGAGGGACCAGCTCAGCTCTGCAAGACCTGAATGGACCCTCGACCTCGGGGGACCCCCTAGCTCAGGGATGGAGTGGGGCTGGAGAGTCCACCACCCCAACCCGCAAAACTCCTGGCAAAGGAAACTGAGCTTGGGAGGTGCCGGGAGGCTAATCCGTAACAACCCGGAGAAAGTAACGCGATTAAAGGCTCAGGGGGGATCGGAAACGGGGGATTATCTCCCTGGGAACAGGACCTGCCACCTGATGGGGGGGGGCAAGCGCCATTCTGCGGGGGACGGGGAGGGGATGAGGGGTTCCCACACAGAGACTGGAGTGAGCAGGAGAACAGTCGTCGTCCCCCAAGACACACCCCAGATCTTGGAATTGAGACTACGAAGGGCACCGTGGGGTGTAGGGTAAGAAGGAGCGCACCCCCTGGGAGAAAATTGCCCCCCTCTAGGAAGGGCTCTTGAGCAATCAAGCAGCTTCTGAAAGGCAGCCTTCTCCATCCAGATGTTTTGGACTACAACTCCCATCAGCCGCCCAGCATCACCACCTGAGACACGGTGCTATAGGTCCTGGGAGATAGGGCGCTGCTGCCACCTGGCGGATGAGCGCTGCCATTGCCTTTCGCCCCAAAGCGGGCGGACGTGGCTGCAGTTGCTCGAGCCGCCAGCAGGTGGAAGCAGCGCCGCTTTGCGAAGGGACGGGGCGCTCTCCCCTCGGCCAGTGCTGATTGCTGCGGAGTGGACCTGGGTGCAGGATCAGGCAAGGAACAAGCCGCCTAGGGGGGCCTTGCTTCGCTTTCTGGAAAGGGAGGCGCATGCGCGAGTCTTAGCTGCAGCCCTACGCACGAAGAGGGAGAGGCACTCTGTACATGCTTAGCAGAATCGTTTAGCAAGGTGCTCAGAAACAGGTTCCGGGGTAAGAATTTCTGGGTCTGCAAGGCAGTCGTCTCCTCCACCTATTCAATTATTTGCGCCCGCCTTTTTCAGACACTTTGCCTGTCCCTGTTAAATCCGCAGACACCCAGCTATAAATCCAGGTCAGACTCGGCTTGCCCCCCCCCCTATTTTTTGCAAAGACTTTCCAGGTCAGACATATCAGCGCGTTCACAAGACCAGAGTGGCGTGTACAGATTTCTGGGGGAAGGCCGAACCTTCTTCAAAGAAATCCTCGTCCCAGGCTAAGAGCCTCAGCAGAATAGACGGACAGCCCCGCTCCGGGGTAATGGCCTCTAGAAAGCCCCGCTTTGACCGCGCAGAGTCTGAGTGGTTGTGGGAAGCAAGGAGAAGGGCAGGGTGCCTGCTTGGCACGCAGAAAGTTCAGCCCCTGACGGTTGAATCTCCAGGATGGGCTGCGAGAGGCTTTTCCTGCCTGAAGCCCGAAGAGAGCTGCCGCTGCCGCTCAGTGTAGACAATATCAAACTAGATGGGCCAAGGATCTCAACTGGGGAAGGGCCATAGCTCAGAGTCCCTGCTTGGCACGCAGAAGGCCGCAGGTTCAGTCCTGGATGGCATCTGCAAGGAGGGTTGGGAGAGGCTTCCCTGCCTGAAACTCCGGGGAGCCGCTGCTGCCCGTCAGTGTAGGCGATACTAAAGTAGATGGACCCCTGCTTTGACTCAGTATAACAAAGGAGCTTCCCGCGATCCTAGATCACTCGCGCAAGCTACGCGCTTCTAGAGGAGAGGCACCCATGCCCAGTCTCCGAAGGCGTCTCTGGGTACAGCTGGGAACGCCCTCGCCAAACCCTGGAGAACTGCTGCTGCCGGTCCGTGCCGGCGCTGACAATGCTGAGCAGGCGGGAGTCAATCTAAAGCTGCTCCCGACGTCCCTCCGGCATAGGATGGATGCGGGCGCTCGCTTCGGTTCCCGGCGCAAAGATGAGCCGGGATCCGCGGTGGGAGCCCGCCCCTTCCCATCCTCCTTGCCCTCAAGGTACCCCCACCCTCCGCCCGGTCCGGCCTGATCCAGCAGCCTAAGTTGGATACGGGCTGCAGCCTCCCCTCGTCCCGGCCTTCCTCGATGAGGGACGGCGCCTTGATCTTGCCCTTCGCTTGGAAGGCGCGCCCGCTGGGCGGCGAAGGCAGCGGCTGTCCCTGGCGCCGGATCCAGCTCGGGCGTGGCAGGCGGGGCCTCGGTCCGCGCTGGAGGTGGGGGGGGGGCTCGTTGGGAGGCTGCAAAAAGGGCGCGCCCCGTTTCCCTTCCCAACCTGCCCGGGCCGAGAGGGGCGCCCAGGCCGCCTGTGCCCGACCCCCTGCGCGCTCAACCCTCCCCGTACGCGCGCAGCTCTGCCCTCTCTCCGAGGGGTGGGGGTCCCGCCATCGCCCTCCCTCTTCCCCCTCCCACCCCGCGCGCCGGGCGCGCTCCCCGGCTGGCTGGCTGGCTGGCTGGCTGGCTCGCTCTCGGGCTGCTGCTGCTGCTGGGCGGAGGGATCCGCCGCCGCGACGCTGCGTCAGCCGGAGCCGCGATGGGGAGGACGGAGCAGCCCTGAGGCCAGGTGAGCGGCGGCGGCGGCCGGGAGGAGAGGGAGGGAGAGCCCCCCACCCCAGCCAGCCAGCCAGCCAGCCCAAGAGCCGCGCCTGCCTGCCCGCCTGCGCCCCCCTCCCCGCCCGCCCGCGATCCCGGCGTGGTCCTCCCCATCTCCCTCCCTCCGGCAACGTCGCCGCGGCAACGGGATGAGGCTGGGCTGGGCCAAGCGCGCAGGGATGCGGCGGGCGCAGGTGCCCTCCTAGCCCAGGCAGGTCGGCCCCGGGAGGCGAGGGGCCTGCGGAGGATTGGGGCTTGGGGAGGGGGGGCGGCGGGAGGGAATGGGCGAGGTCTGGCTTGGAGGGGGGAGCTGGGAAGCAGAGAGACCCCCCCCCCCGCGTCGCCTCCTCTAAGGCCTTTCTCCCTCTCTCTCTCTCTCTCTTTTTGGGCCCCAGCAGCCGCGACCAGCATCCCGCCTTCCCTCCCTCCCGGCCGGCCGGCAAGCGAGGCCCGAGGCCGCATGGAGGGGCGCCCCCCCGGCGCCGAAGCAGGGGCCTGATCCATGCCGCGGGCGGAGGACATGCCCCAGCGAGCCTGCCCCGGCTGCCCTCCCAGATAGCCCCCTCCGCAAGGGGCCCCGGCGGCTCCAGCCCAGCAGGTATTTAGCCATCGCCTTGGGGGGGGGGGCGGCTAGTCGTGGGGTGTGACGCATACCCCGCCCGATAGGGGTCTCCCTTGCTTGCCTGCTCTCGCCAGTCTGGCTGAGCCCCCAACTGATCTCTCTTTGGCACCCCACCGCAGGCAGAAGTGTCCCATCAGCAAAATCTGGGGCCTGGGAGGGGACCCAGGAGTCTGAGCTCTGGGCCGCCTCTGTGGGGGCTGAGACTCTCTGGGTCTGGTCCTTCTCAGGGCCACCGCCCCCCCCCCGCCACTTGCGTTGGGCCTTGAGTTCTGCTGAAGCCCACAGGCACCCCCCAGGAGGTTATGGGGTACATCTGGACTGTGACATCCCCTACAGCCAAGCCCAGAACTCCATAAGGACTGGGCCACAAATGGAGACGGTTGCCCCCAGCAAAAAGAGATGTTTGTCGGCTAGTGGTCAGCAAGGCGCTCTCTAGCATTACTGAACGGTAAGACTCCCCGCGTCTGAAACACCGGAGAACCACTGCTGCCAGCCAGTGCAGACACACTCAGCTTGGCGTAAGCCAGCTTCCTACATTCCTTAGCGTTCTGGCCCTGAGCTCTGAGATGGGTGGATCCACACACACACACGCAGGAACACCTTTCTACCTGTCCCCCTCCCCCTAATATAGTCTCTCTCCCTCAGCAGAGCCCCCCCTTTCTGGGCACCCCCTCCCCACCGCCTGCCAGCCACCGGAAGATGAATGCAGGCCCCCAGGAAGCTTTGATCTCCGTGTTTCTGCAGTTCATTGAGGATCGTGGCCGCTGGGCCTACGGGGCCCTGAGCCAGACGTGCCACCCCCGGGAGCAGCTGCGCAACGAAATGAACCTTCTGTACCGCAAGAGCAAGGTGGAGTGGAAACAGAGCAAGGACGACGAGCCCAAGAAGAGGTAGGCGAGGGGTGGAGGCGTTGGGCCCTGACGTGCTCCGCAGGCGCCGAAAAGGCAATGGGGGGTATAGCGTTAGGCAGGGGTCCATACAAAGGTTGTCCATGGAGTTCACCCACCAGTGCTGGGCAGCAAAGGGCACATTCGGAGGGACCTGGGTAGCCGCCCGGCACCACTGGAACTCCCTTCAGCTGGAGACCTGGCAGGGCCCAGCCCCTGAGAATCTTTCTCAACAGCTGGGAGATCATTTCAGGCAGGCAGGATTCTGTCTTGGAACTAGCTTGGATCTGAAGTGGGTCTCTAAAGGATGTTGTGGACAGCCAGGTTTTGAGGGCTGCAGGCCAAACAGAATTCAAAACAAAAAGACCAAAGCCCAGAATGCCTTGCTCTGAGCCAGGCCCAGAATAAACCCAAGAAAAACTTGGTGTGCTTTTAAATGTCTCGGTCACCTGCGAGTTTGAGGCTGCTATTTTTGTGGAGTGGTGCTGCGACGGCTTTTATTTCCGTTTTTCTCAGATGACTCGCGAGGCCTGTTTGGATACTGTTGTCACTGCTTAATGTTGTGGTTTTTCCTTTGGTTCTCTTTTACAAGTCCGGTTTGAAAATAACGGCAGCTGGCCTCTTGATATGCCAGTTCCGATCTTATAATGGTCTGTATTTGACCTCATGCAAAGCTTACTTGTGCGTTGGCTGTTTTTCTTGCGGTGTGTTTGATCTAGCCACCCAGGTCCTGAGATCATACCTTGCTTATCTTCATTCCCAACGCTGTTATGGTGATGTATAGCAGAACAGTGAGGCGAGACATAGGTTGTCTGCTTTTCCTTGATTGCTGCAGAACCTTGAATAGAGAGAAGGGCCTTCGCTTAGGCGGAGAGCACCTGCTTGGCATGCAGAAGGTTTGATCCCTGATGACATCTTCAGGTTAGGCTGGGAATGGCCCTTGTCTCAAACCCTGGAGAGAGGCTGCCAGCCAGTGTAGGCAATACTGAACTATATGGATGAGGGGATGGATATGGCAGCACCGTATATTCATTAGAAACCAAAGTGAGAACCTCTTTCCAATTCCAAATCCTTCTTTTTCCTTCAGTGCTCCCAGGCATTTTCCAAGTATGCTCTTCGCTCAATGAAACAGGCTAGCCTGCTCTTCCCCAACCCGGTGCCCTCCAGACATTTTTGGATTACAACATCTATCGGCCTCAACATCACACAACCATGCCGGCTGGGGCTGATGGGAGTTGTAGGCCAAAATATCTGGATGGCACCAAGTTGAGGAAAGCTGATGCAAGGAGAGGGGTAGTATGTGGGATGTGAAACACAAGAGCAGTCGAGTACAACATTCCTAGAGTGAACGTGTTTACACATGGGGAGGAAGGTTTGTCCAGCCAGCAGGTAAACTTCCTGTTTCCTTCTGGGCTGGGACAGACTTCCCCTGCATGCCCTGAACATTCCCACATAGCAGAGGTGTGAGATTGTCAAGAGGAAGGGGCCTTGCGGGTTAAACTGTGGAGGAGGACCATCAAGATGATGAACTTGAGGGAGTTGGGGATGTTAAGCCTGGAGAAGAGGAGACTAAGAGATGACAGGATGGCCATCTTCAAATATCTAAACGTCTGTCCCCTGGAAGAAGGAGCAATCTTGTTTCCTGCTGCTCTGCGGGGCAGGACCCAAATGGATTCAAACTGCAAGGCAATTCCGACCGAATGTTAGGAAGAATTTTCTGGTAGTAAGAGCCGTTCAGCAGTGCAACGGACTCCCATCGGAGGTGGTGGACTCTCCTTCAATGGAGGCTTTTAATAAGAGATGCACAATAATAAGCTGCTCATTGTGCGTTGTGGGGGGGGGTTTGGACTAGATGACCCTTGGTGCCCCTTCCAACTCTACAATTCTATGATTCTATGGAGAGGAAGAGCTTAGAGCAGGGGTCGGCAAGGTTTAACGGCCATGGGCTGGATCACTCCCACGGAGATTGTCTGTGGGCCGGACTGGTGCTGCGCAATTCCAGAAATCGAGTTTGTGCATGTCCGCGGTGCCGAAAATCTCTTTTGCACATGCCCAGACGCCAAAAATCACTCCTGCGCAGAAGCGACTATTGGCGTCTGGACATGCGCAGATGCGATTTCCAGTATCTGCACATGCGCAGACGCGATTTCCGGCGCTGCTCAGCAAGTCCCCACACCACGCTGTGCTGATTTAGTGCAGCGCATGGCGGACCTGCCAAGCAGGCAGCTCGGTTCAGGGGCGGCTTGTGGGCTGGTAAAAATGCCCTTTGTGGGCTGCATCTGGCCCATGGGCCGCACGTTGCTGACCCCTGGCTTAGAGAGTGATTCCCTGCAACGACTTCACTGTTCCTGGAACCCACCAGTGCCTGGTGGCGTCTTGCTGCCCTTGACCGGTTTTCCCGAGCGCCAGCCACCTGGCCTTAAAGCCCCTTGGTTTGTCTCCCCTACACATTATTTTTGAGACGCCCCGCTCTCTCTTGGCAGATGTTCTCCCCTCTGGCCCTAATCCGCGTGCCCTGGTGGAAGTTTTCCTGCCTGGACTAAGTGCTCTATATATAGCCCCTGGTGTTTTTCACAGGCGTTTAAAAAGCCCAGGTTATCCTCAGATAATCTGGGGTGGAGGGGGGGGGGGCAGGCCGCATTCGCTGAATGGTGGGATGGGGAATGAGAGTCTGCCTTCCCCATCTGATACAGAAAAGCTGCTCTAATGATTGGCTATTATTTGGAGGGGCAGATTGTCCGTGAGATCTCAGGCTCAGTGGCTCAGGCAGGACCCAGCAAGTGCCGGGCAGTGGGGGCCTGTCCTCGCCGCATAAGAAGAGCCTGTTGGATCAGGCCCACAGGCCCTCTAGCCCAGCATCCTGTTCTCACAGTGGCCAGGCAGGTGCCCATTACGGAAAACCCACAAGCAGGATTCGAACACAAGAGCAACTCTCCTCTCCTGCAGTTTCCAGCAACTTGTATTCAGGAGTATCGCTGCCTCCAGCTAGTAGCCATAAATGGTCCTCTCCACCTCCGTGAATTTGTCCAATCCTCTCCTATTTATCTGTTAAATTTGTATACCGCCCTTCACCCATAGGTCTCAGGGTGGTTCACACAACATAAAAATACAGTATGAAAACACAGAGGACAGTGGTGCCTCGGGTTAAGAACTTAATTCGTTCCGGAGGTCTGTTCTTAACCTGAAACTGTTCTTAACCTGAGGTAATAATAATAATAATATAAATAAAATAATAATAATAATAATAAATTTTATTTATACCCCGCCCTCCGCAGTCAGAGCCAGGCTCAGGGCAACTCTGACAGTAAAAACATAATGGGGGGGAATTTAAAATACAGGTTAAAATGCAATTTAAAATGCAGCCTCATCAAAACCATAAGGGGAGGGAAACATAAGGGTCAGACTGAGTCCAAGCCAAAGGCCAGGCGGAACAGCTCTGTCTTGCAGGCCTTGCGGAAAGATGTCAAGTCCCACAGGGCCCTGGTCTCTTGGGACAGAGCGTTCCACCAAGTCGGGGCCAGTACTGAAAAGGCCCTAGCCCTAGTTGAGACCAATCTAACCTCCTTGAGGCACAATACCTCCAAAATGTTGTCACTTGTGGACCTTAAGGACCTCCGCGGGGCATACCAGGAGAGGCGGACCCGTAGGTACAAGGGTCCTAGGCCGCATAGGGCTTTAAAGGTCAAAGCCAGCACCTTAAACCTGACCCTGTACTCCACCGGGAGCCAGTGCAGTTGGTAAAGTATGTACCACTTTAGCTAGTGGGGCCTCTGGCTGCCGCCGCCGCACGATTTCTGTTCTCATCCTGAAGCAAAGTTCTTAACCCGAGGTACTATTTCTGGGTTAGCGGAGTCTGTAACCTGAAGCGTCTGTAACCCGAGGTACCACTGTACATGATAAGGCACCTAAGTCAGTAGCCATCCCTGTCTCCTGTGGCAGTGAGTTCCATAGTTTGTGTTGCACGAAGAAGGGGTTTATCTGTCCTGTGACTCTATCCCCCTTGTGTGTTGGCGGGTAAGATGGGCAGCTTCCACGAGAGGTACTGCCTCGCCTGGATTTCCTTGCGCATACAGTGAGAGGAGGAGGCTGGTTGAGGGAAGAGCGCTCTGCATATGTACAACGGAATTTTAATTCTCACTTGTTAGACACTGGAAAACAGGTCCTGGGGCTAAAGCTCGCTGAGTTCTGGGTCAAATCAAGCCTTTGCTGGTTTCAGCCTGCGACTGCGTGACTCAGGGGAGCATCAGCAAAAACAGTTCCTTGGAGGGGCTTTGATTTCTGCTCCAGACGGATGATTCACAAGAACACTTTTGACATGGCAGCTGACTTTTACGGACAGGCAACCTTTCTGCCATTTTGAAGAGAAAACATTTATGCAGTCCTTCCAGTTGCAAAGCACTGCGCAGTCCTGAACATGTTTGTTCCCACAGCAGCCCTGTGAGGTGGGCCGCTGCTGGTCCCATTTTACAGGCAAGGTGCTGAGGGGTTTGTTTTTTTGGGAGGGAGTGTGGTGGCAAATGACATGTTGGGCCCGTGTCCAAGGTGGGATCTGAACTCAGGTTGTATTCCACAGTACCTTTCAGCTTAAGGCCAAGCTAGTGCCTGCTTTTCTCAGTGGCTGTCACAAAATCATAGAATTTGCAGAGTTCCCCCAAAGCTCATCTAGTCAGCAAAAGAATCCCTGATGTTCAAACTGTGTTTGACAACCTCCAGCGAAGGAGAGCCCACCACTTTCCAAGGGAGTCCGTTCCACGGTCGAATGGCTCTTACCACCAGGAAGTTCTTCCTAACTTTCGGTTGGCCTCTCCTTTCTTGCAACTTGAATCTGTGGGTTCAGATGTCCCTTCCAAACCTGGACCCAAGTGGTGGGGCGTGACATCAAGCAATTTCATCTCAGCCAGCTTTGGCTCTAACAGAAAACGGTGAATTTTGCCCACGTTTTGTTTCACCAAGGTCTTCGGTTCACCACTGTGTGTTTTCCAAAACTCAGCAACCCACAGTGGTTCAGAGCAGAAGAATGTGTGTAGCCACTGGGGACTAATCTAGTCCAACCTCCCGTTTTCCACTGCAGTTTAACCAGCTGTCTCTTCTGGGAACCCCACAGGCAAGAGCAGAGGCCTGGTGTTACTCCCCAGCGATTTCACATCCAGAGGCATGCTAATTTTGATCACGGAGGTAACAGAGTCCATAGCTCAGTGGGCAGAGCAGCTTCTCTGCGTGCAGAAGGTCCCAGGTCCTGTTCCTAATGGCATCCTGCTCCCTTGCTTGCATAATTTGGAGGTTCTGAGCATGGCCCATAGCGCAGTGCCTGATCTGTCTCCCTCCAGCAGGCTCACTCATTGATGCTGCCCTCCAGCTGCCATATAGAATTTCCCAGAATGCCTTGGAATGCCCAAGTGCTGCCCCAGTGCTTTGTGGGAAATGAGGTTAGCAGCTTGTAGCTTTCTGCCACCTGGTGGGGAGGGTCCGGAGCAGGTGTTGGCACCAGCAAGTCCTGCTGGAGCTCTGGCAAATGCCCAAAGATGCCAGCTGCTGAACACCTGGGTGAGGGGATAAGGCTGCCTCTGCCTAGGATTAGTGTCGTGGTAACTTTTTCCAAAGGGTGAGCTTACTCATCCTCTTCTCTTGTCGTCTTGGATCAGGCTCAGCCTAACCCCGACCAAGTTCTGCCCTGTGTACCAGCCAAGCCAGCAAGCCCACTCCATTCTGCCCCTCTCCCCCCCCCCTCAGCTTGTTTGACATTCCTGAATTCCCATTTTGATCTGCCCTCTTCTTCAGTTTGTTGAGGTGGTTCTGAGCGCTCAGCCTGGCCTCCAGATGCATTCTCCAAGAGGCCGGGAGGGAGACCGCCTCCACAGCTACCCTCGCAGCTGCCTCACTCCCACTTGTCCCAGAGATAATGAAACCTGCTTGGGGTGGGGATTGTTTCCCCCCTCCCCTGGTTCGCAGGAAGTGAAGGGTTAAAGGCACCAGCAGGCTGATGTTGCCTGGCTCCTGCAGGTCACCCAGACGCAGTTTCCATGGAAACTGCTGGGCCATCCGCCAGCATCCTGCTGCATCCTCATACTTTTGGTACCCAGGACCCTTCACTCCAGCGAATAAAACCAGGGAAGAGAAAGAGAGGAGATGCTGAAGGTCTGCCAGCGGGAGGCTGGGAGAGGTGTGGCCAGAAGGAAGTCAGGAGGAGGGTGGCTGAGGAAGGAGGAGGGTGGCACATCGTGAGGAATCGTGATGCGATGTCAGTGGGCGGGTGGGTGTGGAGGTGGGAAAGCTGGGAGGATGAATGGCGGTGAGCAGGGGGTGGGAGGTGTTGGGTTGCGTAGGGGAGGGAGGGGTCTTCGAAAGGCAAAGCCCCAAGTGGTTTGGGGGCAACAGGAGCATTATTGGACCAGCTGGAAAGGTGTGAATGGCACCTATTTGGCATGCAGATGGTCCCCATCCCAATCTGAATCTCTGGAGTGCTGGTGCCAGTCAGCACAGAAGAGACTAAGCTTCTTGGAGCAATGGCTTAAGGCAGCAAGTTTTGCAGTTGCACAGAATTCTTAAGGGACCCTGCCCTGGAGACCAATTCCTTGCAGTTCAATGGCCTGCTAGCTTCCTTCCTGAAACAAAAATGGTCCCAACTGAAGGTACCCTGCGAATCATTCTCCGTCTGGCCTGTCTTCCTTTGGTACTGGTGCAGCCGCTGTAAAAAATGTGGACTAACAATGTAGGGAAAGGCCTGCGTCTGGGCCAAACATTGCGGCTGACCTAGCTGTCTTAGGCTACGGGCTTAAGGCAGCTTTTGCCAACCGTGCCAGCTGGGGGCTGGTGGAAGCTGTAGTCCAAAGCATCTAGAGCACACCACGTTGGCGAAGAAAACTAACTTAGGAGATGGGCAGGATGCAGGAAGGCAGTCTGTGGAGTGAGCAGATAAGAGGGGACCATTCGGGAAGCAGGATGGGGCAAAGGCAGATGGGCATGAAATACGCTCTTCCCTCTCTCTCTCCTCATCTGGCCAGCTCCTTTCTTGCTTGGCTGTGGAGATTGCTGCAGGCAGGCACTCGCTCCTTCCTCCGTCTCACCCAGATCTGGTGTGATGACTGGAGGGTGGGATCTGGCGATGCCAGACTGGCTGGGCCTCAGCCAACGTCTCTCCGTCTCCGAAAACCAGGGAGCAGCTGAGGGTTTGTTTACTCGCCCAGCATCTGCTGTTGGCACGTGCCCTGTCTTCTCTCCTGTCTTCTCTCTGCCACTGTGCCAAGACACAGAGAGACAGAGAGGGAGGGAGGGAGGAAGGAGCCTGCGGGAAGGGGCTGCTCATCGGGATGAAGGGGCGTTTGGGAGAAGCCACTCCCAGCCCTTGGCTCTTTGCCAGCTGCAGCTGACACACTGCAGCACATTTCTCTGCTGCCGGCAAGTGTGATGTGTATGTTGCTGTGCAGGGGGGAGGGGAAGATAGGGGGAAATGCCTTTTAAAAAAAATAAAACGTGGTACATGGAGGCAGGGTTGGTGGAGGGGGGAAAATGCTAGCCGTGATTGCTTCCCCCTCCACTCTATGTATCATTTGCTGGAAATCAGGGGTGGAGTTGTGCTCAGGTCCTCTCCAGAACATCCTTCGCTTTGTGGAAAGGTTGCAGCATTTGGGGGTTTTATATGTGCAGGGGGGAGGTGAATAAGGGTGTATAAATGACAAGAGGTGTGTATATATTAATGCATGGATACAGTGGATATAAAGCTCTCTTTTTTGCCTCTCACAAGTCGTAGTGGTGGCCACCAGCTTGGGTGGCTCTACAGGAAGATCAGACAAATTCATGGAGGAGGGGGAGGCGGCCACTGGTGACTAGCCACAACAGCTATGTTCTCTCACCCACCCACCCAAAACTATCAGAAGCAGTTACGCTTTTGAATAGCGCTTGCTGGGAATCACAAGCGGGGAGAGTGCTGTTGCGCCCAGGTCCTGTTTGCCGTGAGCTTCCCAGAAGAGGCACCTGGCTGTGAGAACTGGACTGGATGGGACCCCCTTTGGCCTGATCCAGCAGGCTCTTCTTACCCTCCGTCCCAGCCCTCATTCCAGAAACCAAGGGGCTCAAATCACCCCCTGGATGCCTCAGTTAACTGAGAGGCAGTCCTGATCACAGTGGGTGATCGGATTTCTTTTTTAAATGAAAAAGGGGTTGGGGTCGCAGGAGAGAGAAGAGGCTCTTTGTGCAAATGGGGACACCCTTTTGGAAGAATGCGGGGAGGGAATCATAGACTTTGGGGGCATCGTATTCTTCAGTAATGAGAAGTTCAGTTCTTAACGCAGCTTTGGCCCACTTGAAGCTCTCCAGGTGTTTTAAACTACAACTCCCGTCAGCCCTTGGTAGCATAGCTGTCTGATGGGAACTGCAGCCCAAAACATCTGTGCTAGCAAGGGTGGGGTCACACACACACTGTCCCCCCCCCCCCGGGCTTCCCAGCAGTGAGAATATCAATGCACAGCACTTCCTAGGGTTCGGCTTCCTTTAGAGGAGCAAACATGAGCCTCTGTTGGAGCCTGGCCTGTCAGAGAAGTGGAGAGCGTCAGTGGAGGCAAAGGGAGCAGGTGTTTCCGCAAGGCAAGGGGACAGAACAACCCCCCTGTGAGGAAACACCGCAGGCCCTTTTTGTTCGCAGAAAGAGGCAGGGGTGGCCGCCCACCCAGATGGCTTTAAAAGAGGATTAGACAAATTCATGGAGGATACGGCTATCAATGGCTATTAGCCATGATGGCTGCGCTCTGCCTACAAAGTTGGAGCCAGCAATGCTTATGGATGCTAGTTGTTGGAAACTTCAGGGGGAGGTGACCGCCTCAGGGAGCAGGATCCACAGGGCAGCAGATCTGGTCTCCGAGGAAGGCATTGCCTCTGTTGCTCCCGACTGCAGCACGTTCCTTGGAGACCACGTCTGCCCCCTCCTTAGAGTTGTTGTTGAGTCGTTTAGTTGTGTCCGACTCCTCGTGACCCCCTGGACCAGAGCACGCCGGGCACTCCTGTCTTCCACTGACAACCGCAGTTTGGCCAAACTCATGTTTGCAGCTTCAAGAACACCGCCCCACCACCCTGTCCTCCGTCGTCCCCACCTCCTTGTGCCCTCCATCTTTCCCAACATCAGGGTCTTTTCCAGGGAGTCTTCTCTTCTCATGAGGTGGCCAAAGTACTGGAGCCTCAGCTTCAGGACCTGTCCTTCCAGTGAGCACTCAGGGCTGATTTCCTTCAGAATGGAGAGGTTTGATCTTCTTGCAGTCCAGGGACTCTCAAGAGTCTCCTCCAGCACCAGAATTCAAAAGCATCCATTCTTCGTCGATCAGCCTTCTTGATGGTCCAGCTCTCACTTCCATACATCACTACTACAGTGTCCTCTTGGCGAATAGGAGGTGCTGCTGGTCCTCTACCACCCCTGGGGAGGAAATGGCAGGGAGCAGGGGCCACGCTCTGGGGTCTCCTGGTGTAATCAGAGCAGGCCCCTTCCCCCTGCAATGGCCTTTTATTCCCACTTCAACTGTCAGGTGAGGTTGGTTGGATTCCCTCCTTGTCCCTGATGTAGATCTTCACTCACCCTGTCTTCCCTGGTGGGAGGGGGGCACCATTTTGTGCTGTGCCTCAGGTGTCAAAACATCTTGGGCCAGGCCGGACCTTTGGGGCACCTGGCTGGCCACTGTGAGAACAGGATGCTGGACTAGATGGGCCACTGGCCTGATCCAGCCGGCTCTCCGTGTGCTTCCACTTGCTCGGCTCTCCTGGTTTCAGACAAGGGACATTCCCAGCCCCACTGGGAGATGCTGGTGACCCGACCTAGATCTTCTGCGTGAGCTGCCTTCCTGCCTCTTCCAACTGCCAACAGCTGTTTGTTTCTCTCTCCTACACAGAGATGTGCAAGTTTCTGCACACAGTCCTCCCAATTAGCTCCCATTAAGGGCCATTCTGGGCTATTATCTAGCAATCTCCTTCACAAAGAAGCAGTCAGGTGGCTTCCCTTGCAGGTACCCTGAGGGGAGGAGTTCTTCTAAGGTCAGCCGGGTGCCACAAGGTGTTGCTTAAGGCAAACCCCAGAAGAACAGAAGCTTATAGTGGGTGTGGGGCCAAATGAGGAGGGGGCAGCCTTGCAGCTTCAAGCCACAGCTGTGACAATCTCCCTCCTCATTGCAAAACTACCACATGACACCAGCTCTGCCCTCCACCCTCTCACATCACTTTTATTGTGGATGTGTGATGGTTTGTCCTTGTGCTTGCATTATAAACAATTATCAGAAGTCCCACTTTGGGGGCATGTTTGTCCATAAAAATAAACTAGGAATAACAATATGGTTGGCGGCTGCAAAACTTTCAGGGCGGACGTTCGGTTTCATTTCCAACCGATGCAATCTCCGTGAGTTCCCGTTGGAATCTTATTAACTATTTATGCCTAAAACGTCCCGGTTTATCTCGTCCATATGGCAAAAACACAGTAACTTTGGGAGAAGCATCGCAGCTAATAAAGCAGAATGATGTGTGGACACAGTCCAGGATAAACCCGCCTCTAATGCGCGCTTGACTGGGACGCGGGTGGCGCTGTGGGTTAAAGCACAGAGCCTAGGACTTGCCGATCAGAAGGTCAGCGGTTCGAATCCCCGCGACGGGGTGAGCTCCCGTTGCTCGGTCCCTGCTCCTGCCAACCTAGCAGTTCAAAAGCACCTCAAAATGCAAGTAGATAAATAGGTACCACTCCAGCGGGAAGGTAAACGGCGTTTCCGTGCGCTGCTCTGGTTTGCCAGAAGCGCCTGAGTCATGCTGGTCACATGACCCGGAAGCTGTACGCCGGCTCCCTCAGCCAATAAGGCGAGATGAGCGCCACAACCCCAGAGTCGGTCACGACTGGACCTAATGTTCAGGGGTCCCTTTACCTTTAATGCGCCCTTATTGCATCAATAACATGGATTACTTCAATACTAGAATTGCTAGTCTACTGACATTTTAATTTTTTGAAAGCCTTACATTGCTATTGCCTATTTCTCTTACCGATAATATTGTTTTCTCTTTTTTCATAAACCTCTTTGAGGTGGTTAGTTTCAAGTGGTGTATAAAATTTTGTGAAATAAATAAGCCCTGGTGCAGATGAGGTTGTGTGTGTGTGTGTTTCCCTCCCAACCACCCGTTCATGAACTTGAGGGCTCGGTGGCTTTGTCCTTACCCCTCTCCGCTTCTTCCTCCGCAGTTCGGCCAAGGAGCCCAGCGTGGGGAAGGTGCGGGACGTGGCCTCTTTCCGCCGCCACTTCAGGATGGGGTTCATGACCATGCCGGCCTCGCAGGAGCATGCCCCGCACCCCTGCGCCAGCAGCATGGCGCCCCGCTCCCTCTCCTGCCACTCGGTGGGCAGCGTGGACAACAGCTCAGGGGATGCAGCCGCAGGATCCCGGAAGCCGCCAGCGAAGCCCAAGCGCCACCCCAGCACCAAGCTCAGCGCCGAGGCCAAGTCCGCCCTGGAGCCGGCGGGGAGCAAGAGAGGAAGTAAGGAGCGGGACGGGGCTGCCCTAGGAAGCAGAGCCAGAATGTGCCGGGGGGGCCAGGGTGGCATTTGGGGTGGTGGGGCTGTGTTGCTTGGAGAAGCAGGCCTGCCTGACTTGCCACCCCTGGGGCACAAGCTGCCTGCTGGACTTACAAAACCAGCCAGCAGTGGGGGGACAGGGGACATGGTGGGAAGAAAACATGGCAGCTGGGGTTACCCAATCAGAAGACAAAGTGAGGGACCCCATTGCCTCACCTCAATAGAATTGGAAAAGGTTCAGAAAAGGAACACGGAAAACAATGGAGGGGATGGAGGGACTTCCTTTGAGGCAAGGAAAAGGTGAGGAAGAGGGGATATGATAGAAGATTATAAAATGATGCCTAGCATGGAGAAAGCGGACAGAGAAAAGTTTTCCTCGCTCTCTCGTAGCACCCAATGAAGATGCATGTTGGAAGATTTAGGACAGATAAAAGAAAGTGTCCCGTCTCCCCGCCAAAGCGCGTAAACTTTGGAACTCCCTGCCAGAGGAGGCAGGGGTGGCCACCAACTGGGATGGCTTTAAAAGAGGACGGGACAAATCCATGGAAGAGGAGAGGGCTATCCATGGCTTCTAGCCACAATGGCTCTGCTCTGCCTTCACAGCTTGAAGCAGCAATGCTCCTGATTAGCAGTTGCTCGAAACGCCAGGAGGGGAGAGTGTTGCTCTTGTGCTCAAATCTTGCTTGCTGGTTTTCCATTGAGGCTGCTGGACTAGATGGGCCGTTGGCCTGATCCAGCGGGCTCTTCTAATGACGACTGTGTTCTCCCACCACCATAGGAGGCTTCTCGCCTCTGAATACGGGTTGCTGGGAATTGCAGGAAGGAAGAATCGCTGTCACACTCAGGTCCTCCTTCTGAGAACAGGCTGCTGAACCATCTGGGCCTTGGGCCTGGTCTTTTGTTGTGAGCTGTCTCAACTGGGGGGGGGGACACACAAACAAGCTGCGTTGTCCCAGCCCATGAGCGCCTGGGTGAACCTGCCTCAGACCCCAAGGTAAGAGCTGGGGCAGTTAAACCAGGTACCTCGTGGACAGAGGCCAAGGCAGCTTGTTTTTTCAACAGCGCAGGTTATCGCCTTTGCTGGTGATACACCGCGATGTTGAAAAGCTGATATCGTCCAGCGCTAGTGGGCCCCTGGGAGAAGCATCAGGGGGAAGCATCAGCCTGGGAAGCTGCCCATCATTCCCAGAGAAAGAATGACCTTGGAGATCCAGCAGCAGCTCAGTTTGCACCCGGACGCCACCTCTCTTCCCTTTGCAGCACATGGCACCCCCCAGAGGATCCTGGGAGCTGTAGCTTGTTAAGGGTGCTGGGAATTGTAGCTCCATGAGGAGTAAACTACCATTCCCTGGATTCTTTGGCAAACGTTTTCGATGCACGGTGTGTACGCAACTGGAGTATTGCACGTGCGTCCTGCAGCTGAGCCCCCTGCCTCCTTATCCGGCCACCATTTGTCTTGCTTTTAACACATGCCCTTTTCCCTCCTTCGCTGTTCCTTTTCTCCACCAGCTTCCCACAAGTCAAGCGCAGAGAGCCGAGAATCGGGGCGCAAGGTTCCCCCGCAGAAGCCAAAACGCAGCCCCAACACCCACTTATCTGTCTCGTTCGACGAGACGTATTCAGGTCGACTTCCGGGCCCCGCTGCGGCCGGGGCAATGCAACGCTACGGCCGCGCCTTCTCCCACAGCCAGGCAAAGGGCTCTGACGCCGAGGAAGACGAGCCCGTGTACATCGAAATGGTCGGGGACATTTTCCGGGGGCCCGGCCTCCCATCCCAAGCGCCCCCCACAGCCGACGAGGACTCTGACGAGAGCGAAGCCATTTATGAGGAGATGAAATACCCGCTCCCTGAAGAAGGTGGGGGGGAGTCCCGCCCCAATGGGGCCCTGGCCTCCCCGCGCCACCGCCCTGTGAAGCGGGAGGCTGCCAAGGCGGCAGCACCACCGCCAGGCACCAAGACGTCCCCCTGCGAGATCCCTCCGCCCTTCCCCAATCTCCTGCAGCATCGCCCCCCACTGCTGGCATTCCCTCAGGGGAAGAAGGGGTACAAACCCACAGGTCAGGACGGCTCCAAGCTGCCCGTCCCCTGCCACAGCAAGGAGGCGCCCTCCGCCCCCATGACCCCACAGGTCCCCAGTCATCACCACCACCAACACCACCACCCACGGAGCAGTGAGAGCGCCGCCCTGGGGCCCTCTGGCCGTGCCCGCAGCCACTCCACGCCGCTCCCTCCACAGCCCGCAGGCCAGAGCAAAGCAGAGAAGGAGCTCCCCAACTCCCACAGCATGATCTGCCCGCCGGCCAAGCAGGCCCCGGCGCCAGTGCTGCCCGCGGCCTCCGTCCCCTCCATGCTGCCGGTGAAAGAGAAGCCGGCTGTTTCCTACACCATGGTGTACTCGGCGGTCAAGGTCACCACACACTCCGCTCCGGCCGAGCAGAAGACGGAGAAGGAGATCTCGGTGCTGCACGGCCTGCTGTGCGCCCGCCCGTCCACCGTGCCGTCCTGCAAGCAGGTACAGCGGGCGTGCACGCTGCCCGACCCTCCGCCCCTGGGCATGGTCTGGACTTACCCTGCGCCCTGCGTGGGCATGAAGCGCCCGCCGGCATACGAGAGCGTCAAGAACGTGGGCACCAAGGCTTCATCGGCGGTCAAGATCCAGCTGCAGGACCGGGCATTCACCAGCATCGCCTGCTCCCACGTCCTGTCCAGCGAGGAGTGCGGCCGGCCCCCGTTGGGAGAGGAGGAGCCCTTTGGATGGGTCCTGCAGAGGAGGATGGGCTACGCCAGCCAGAAGGGGAAAGAGCCGGAGAGTGAGTGTGGTCCAGAGGCGCCAACCCTTGGGCGGGGCAGGTGGGGGCAGGGAGACAATTCTGGCTGGTATTCTAGGGGTTGGGAGGCTGAACGTTGATGAAGCTTCTCTCCGGGGGAAAATGCTGCCTTTGGCCTGGGGTCACCCGCAGGCTGGCACTAAGCCAGTGAGAAGGAGCGTGGTGAGGAAGAGCAGCCAAAGTGCCCTTCTATTGGGGAGTGTGGCTGAGTTTTTTCATCCCTTTTGGGCCCAGCTGCCAGCACTGGGAGAGGGCGGGTTTCCTCCCTAGGGGACCCTTTCTCCAACCACTTGCAGAACGAATGAGGCTTCCAGTCTAACAAGAAGTCGATCCAGAGAGTTTTGGGTTCTGGCGGCATGCCTCCCTGCCCAACCTTCCCAAGGCTCCAGTGGTCCCTGGGGATGCACGTTATGCAGGCCTCCTGCGCTGGCTGACCCTGTCAGACAGGTGTGAGCATACGCGGGAGCTTTCCCACCTCCTTGTGCCCGTTCCTGCCTCCCTCCTTGAGCTCGTTTTTCCCTGACTTTTCAGAGGCTGCAGAAGGCCCCCAGGGATGGGACAGTGGGGATGGCGCTCCACCGAAAATGGAAAAGGAAGAGAAGGCCCACCAGCCGCCGGTGGTTCTGCAGTCGGGCATCCCTGTCCGCGCCCCGGGGCCAGAGGGCCTGGCTGCCAAGATGCCAGTGGGGAGGACAAATTTGCCCATTCCCTGCCAGACCTTCCCTGCCTGTCATCGTAATGGAGGTGAGGCTGCCTTTGCCGGGGGCGGGGGGCTTGCAAGGCGCAGCCTTGCTTTTGCGGGGTGGGGGTTGTGAGGGATCCCTCTTTGTTCTCTGCCTCGTTTTGGCTGCAGAACTTGTATGCGATGCAGCTGCAAAAGAAAGGAGCAGGTGACCTTCAAATGAGGACAGACTGCAGCAAGCAAGTGCAGGATGCAGAGGAGAGAGAGAGAGAGAGAGAGAGAGAGAGAGAGAGAGGAAAACACACACTGTTCATCATGCCAGGCTCTTTTTGGCTGGGGGCTATTCCCGAGGGTCCCTCGTTTCCCCTGAAATCCTGCTTTGCTGTTGGGGTTGAGGGGGAACAGAGGATGCTACCTCATACTGTGTGACCATTGGTCCACCAACCCAGTACTGTCTACACTGACTGAGAGGGGCTTGTCCAGGTTTCAAGCAGGGAGTCTCTGCCAGCCCTACCTAGAGAGGCCATCGGCGCTTGAACTTGGGACCTTCTGCATGCAAAGCAGGTGCTCTCTCGCTGAGCTACGGACATTCCCCAAGGAAGGAAGAGGGAGACTTCATTGTTTTTGCTTTATTCAGTGTACAAGGCTGTTGCTCCCTTTCAGACACATTCCTGGCACGCCTCCTCTTAGAGAGAAAGACAGGCAACATCGGGGGCCAGCCATGATAGGGGGGAGGGAGTGCTTAGTAGGGGGTCCCATTGCTCAATAGTCTGTTTCCTGCTCTCCCCTCGCACACCCCAGATTTCACAGGGGGCTACCTTCTGGGCCGCTCGGCATCCACCTCTGGCGTCCGACATGCCGTGATTCACGCGCAGAGACCGTGCAGCCACACTCGAGACCCAGCCAGCCTGGTATGTTGGAAGTGAAGGCTGGTGGGGTGGGGGTTGAGTGGTTGGAAAGGGTTGGGGCCTAGTGGCTTAGACCGAGGGATTCTGTGTGTGTGTGTGCACACCTGCGTTTCTCTGAAAACAGAGAGGAAGCCTGTTGTATCAGGGCCATGGGGCACATGGCAGCAGGAGATCAGGTCCTGGGTGACACTGGGTGGCGCCATCTTCATTTTTAAGGGCTGGCAAAAACCTTTCCCTTTTATCTCCGATTTTTGGCCCTTAATTTGAAGGATTTAGAGAGTATCTGCAGCCTCTTTTTGGTGGCTGAAGGAGAGAATGTGTTTGGAGTCTGCCACATCTTCGCTTCCTTCAATGACACTTTTGTCCATGTAACTGACCTGTCTGGCAAGGAAACAATCTGCCGAGTAACTGGTGGCATGAAAGTGAAGGCTGACAGGGACGAGTCTTCTCCTTATGCTGCTATGCTGGCTGCCCAGGATGTAGCTCAGAGATGCAAGGAGCTGGGAATCACTGCCCTTCATATCAAGTTGCGGGCTACAGGTGGAAATAGAACAAAGACTCCTGGGCCTGGAGCCCAGTCAGCCCTCAGAGCTCTGGCTCGATCTGGCATGAAGATAGGGCGCATTGAGGATGTCACCCCTATCCAGTCAGACAGCACTCGCAGAAAGGGCAGTCGCTGTGGTCGCCGTCTGTAAACAGTAGCTGTTATCTTTCATCATTAAAGCTTTCCAATAAAAATAAAATAAAATAAAGGATCAGGATCAGTAAGATCTGCCCGTTATTCGTACAGTGATGGTTTATAAAGTTTTTATGGGTTGTGCTGATTGGTTAGAGTTTCTCATTGTGCTTGTAAATACACTTTGGGTCATTTTCTTGAGGAAAGCAACAAATGAATATTAACAAATAGCAGCGACACTTAATTTTACAAATGCGTCTCCTTTCCCAGATTTTGTGGGGGAAACAAATAGCTGCAAAATTACTTGCGCTGTTTTGGTGTGCGTAGGAGTAACATAAGACACAAACTGTTGAGACATGAACTGACTCAGACCCAGCCATTGTCACCTGAGGCCCTTCTCCAGGAGCCATGGGGGGGGGGGTCCAGAGGGTGGCGACAAGAGAACAGCCTTTTCAGCAGTGGCTCCCTACTTGTGGAATGCTCTCTCCAAGGAGGCATGCGTGGCGCCATTTTTGTCTATGTTTAGGTGCCAAAAAAACCTGTCCTTCCTACCTGGACTTTTGGCACTTAATTGGAAGGGTTTGGGGTATCTGTGGCCTCTTTGTGGGGCAGGACCCACCTGTTATCCGTGTTAGGGTGGCTTTTTAGTTTTTTTCTTGGTTGTGCTCATTGTAATTGGTCCGAGTGATTCCATTTTTTCTGTAAGTTGCTTTGAGTCGCTTTCACGAGGAATGCAACAAAATAATAATAATAATAATAATTCATAGGCTAAAAAAGGAGGTGTAGGATGTAAAGAGATAGAAAAGAATCCTACTCGGCATATGAGGTTTCCCCCTTGCTCTGCTGCTCCACCAACACTAAAAATTTCAGCAGGACATAGGCAGCTGACATGCCAAGGCGGGCTCATAATCTATCTTGTGGAGGGAAGTGCTTCCATTAGTGCAAAGATTTTCAGCTGCGCAGAGGAACTTCCTCTCTTCCTCTCCTCGCTAATCTGTTCTAGGTCCCCACCCCCACCACGCTCCAGAGCATATTTGGGGAGGGCAACAGATCCAGCTGCTTGTGTCTTAGAGCAGCCTTTGCCAACCTGCTGCTCCCCAGATCACTTCAAACTAAATCACATGGTCTGATGGGACTACAGATGGGTGGGGCTAATGGGACACCTGGCAGGCCCCATGTTGGCAAAGGCCGCCTCAGAGGGAGGAGGACAGCCTTGCTGGGGACATTTTTTCTCCCCCCCTGCCCACCTCCAATGACAATGTCCTCCCAACCCCCTTTCCCCCTTGCAGGCCTTGCAGCACGCACAGCTGCCGGCGTCGGGGGCCCCACAGAGCTCCCGCGAGAGGGACGGGAAGCTGCTGGAGGTCATTGAGCGCAAGCGGTGCGTCTGCAAGGAGATCAAAGCACGGCACCGTCCCGAGCGCAGCCTGTGCAAGCAGGAGAGCATGCCCATCCTGCCCAGCTGGCGGAGGAACACGGAGAACCGCAAGTCCGGGACGCCGCCCTGCCGCCGCCAGCAGACGGTGCTGTGGGACACGGCCATATGACAGTGAGTGGGGGCTGAGCCCCAAGGAACCTGTGCCTTGTGCTGGCCGAGCTGAACACATCGTCGTCGTCGCCGCAGGGCTGACTGCTGGCAGCATGGTGCCCTGCCTGCCCCAGAGGGCCCTTCTGGCCTGGGACTGACCAGAGACTGCCTGGGGGCCAGCTCCCTGCTGAGCTATGACTTTTGGCGAAGGAGAGGGGGATTTCTCCTTGGCGATATCACGGATGGAAAAGAGATAGGGATGGATGCTGGAAGCGCCAGGCAAGACACACCCATCCTGGTGGACAGCCAGCTACCGCCACCGCCGCTGCTGCTGCCGCTGCTGCTACCTCCCTCTGAGGAACCCCTGCATCAATGGCCACAGCCACACCACAGAGGCAGCTGCATATCAGAGCCAAGCAAAAGGTTGCCTGTTTGGAACAGCTGCCCCCACCTCCCCACGCCAGAGCCAGCTGCATCTATGCCAACTGACTGACATCTAAGACACCAACACTCGCCTTTCTTAGGAGGTTGTGGGCGGGGGGGGGGGAGCGGCAGGTGTAGCTGTGCTGTGGTTGTGTGTGTGTCGGGCGAAAAGATAGCCGCCTCCTCCTTTTGCCAAAAGATGATGTGGTTAAAAGTGCCAGGCGCACTTCCAATCGCTCGCACGGTTTTTCCCCTTCCATCTCTGAAAATGCCACTTGGGAGTGGATGTTTTGGGGGCGGGAGGGAGGGAGGGAGGGCTGCAACTTCACTTTGGGTGGGGGTGGGGTGGGGGCTGACTAGAGGTGCCTGAAATTTCTCCTGCTTTTCCTGAACAATTTGGGAGGAAAGAGGGAGGGGAGAGAGTGGCTGAGCTCCCAAACCTGTTGTGCTGAGGTTTTTTTGGTTAGCCAGTTTCTGGAGAGAAAGAGAGAGAGAGAATTGTGGAATGGTAGAGTTGGAAGGGACCCCAAGGGTCATCTAGTCCAACCCCCTGAAATGAGAATGAGAGAGAGAGAAAGGAGAGAGAAAGGAGCGAAGGTGCCATCTTGTTCCACCCTGATGCTTTGGGTTGTCATGACCTTTGACAAGCCTGTAATATTTTACCTGGTATTTTTACACAATTATTTAGGCCAGGGATAGGTTAAAAAAAATTTCATAGCAAAGCTAAATAAATCACAGAGCTGAGCCTTGTCTCTCTACACACATGGAGACTCTTGTCTGTTGTCAGTTCTCAGCTCTCTTTTTTTTAAAAAAAAGGTATGACCCCCCCCCCATTCGCTTACGATAATGAAATAAAATAAGCAAAATCAAGCCACTTCCAGCCTGGCAGTGGAATTATAAAAACACAGCTTTCTAATCCATTAGATCTGAGAAAAGGGAACAGACTTTTGGCGGAAAATGCACTTCTTCAGATCTCCCCATACCCCACCCAAAAAACCCCAAATCTAATGTTTTCTCAAGTAGCAAAAACGTTTAATAGTTACAGATGTGACCTGCGATAGTGTACTCCTATCCCCACCTTTTTCATTTCCGATACTTTCCAGATCCAGCAGGTTGGGTTGATTTTAGAGACTCAAGACGTGAAAATGGACCTTGCCCAACCTCTCATCTCCCACTGATTCTACTCAGTTAAAGTCTGCTTAAAGAATTCCTTTAGGCTGGTTAATTTTTCCTGCCAATAAAAGCAAAGTGGAAAGTCTGAGAGAGCCTGGAGAAGATTCCACAATGGAAACGGCATATCCTTAGGACTTGGCTTAGGTTCAAATGACTGTACTACGATTCTGCCACAATTCAAAGAGTGCTGATGAGAAAAACACAGGTGGGCGGAACTGCCTTGATGCCTTTCGTCCTCTCTTGACGTTTTTTAAGAGGGGTGAATCTCCATCCTCAGCTCAACATTAGCTCCTTGCTGTGGCAAGAAGATTCTGGCCCTCTCTGGGCACTGGAGGACTCAAGAACTCTGTGGGCTTTATTCATAGCAGGTTAAACACAGGGTAAAGAACGTGACGTAAACTAGTGCCAGACATCATAATACGCTAAGTGTGACATGCATTGAACACCTCATGTTGGGGCTAAGTGTGACATGCATTGAACACCTCATGTTGGGGGGAGGGCAGGGATAAAGTTATTTAGACATTGCCCACTTTCCCCCTTCGTAGAGCTAGTCAACAGAGCTCATTGTGGGGGGTGCCCCAGAAGACCAGCCAGTGTTGCCCAGCCTGTCCCCCCATCCCCAACCCCCAATTCACTTGGTAACCGTTTTAAACTCACACGGATGTAGATCATGAAGAGCGCTTCCAGACTGTCGCGAAGGGCGCTTTCCGTCCTCTTGCGATAAGGAAATCATGGGGGGGGAGGGGAGCCCTTGCTTCAATGCAGCGCTGCCTAACTGCCCTGCAAGCAAATTGGTGTGAATGAATGCTCAATAAATGCATTGTCTGGAAGCAGCCTAGGCCAGTGTGGGATTTTGTCAAAGCAATATCATGCTCATCCTTTTAGTGGTCCACGTTCCCCCTGCCCACTAACCCGCCTGCCTCATCCTCTCCGCAAACGCCATCTCTTACTCCCAGTCCCATAAGTGTCCCCTTCCATATCCTTCCATTTGCCTGGCATCAAAACATATCCTCACTGATTATGACTTCTCTTTCTGCAGTCAGTGCTTTGATGGGAAACCGCAGCTGGAGAGGTCTGTAGGTTGAACTGAAACAATGTCTATACAAGCATTTTTAGTTGGTGTGTTTAAAATCTCATCTTTGCCAACCTAGTTGGGTTATGGGAGGGGGTGCAAGTCTTCTTCATATCCATCTCAGCACCACTGAACTCATCCTTTCTCTCACGTCTTCTTCCAACTAAGTGTAAATCCATTAGCCACAATTTCCTGTTAGCGTCCGCAAGACACGGCTGGACCGGTTGAGGCGCTGGCATGAATTAGAAACTAGGGTTACAAACTGGGGAGGGGGGAGAAGGGAAGTATACGGCACCACTGTAGGGCTGGGGGGAGGGAACCCAGTTGGGAGTCCTGGGTTTTATGTTCTTAACCCTCCCGATTTAAATATTTCACAAGATTGTCTAGCGTAGCAAGATGATGAAACTGCTTTGCAAAAATATTTATGCTGGGGATTCATGGGAGGGTATTTATATATTTAAAAAATGATGGAAAGAAAATAAAACTGTCACGCTGGGTTGCTCTTCTGAGGACTAGTTTCTTGCACTCAATGCTGGGCTTTCCTTTTAAAAAAATATATATTTACAGGAAATTATCTGCTACCAATTCAGTGTTTTGCAGCAAAGAATTTGCCAATCTGTGCACCCCTGTCCCGATTTTTATTGACATCTTCTGTTATGGTAAAGATTTCAGCAATGCACAGGAACCCCCGGGCTTCATTGCAAAACTGCATTGATTGAAATGGATTTGTGTTTCTGCTTTGGACGGGGCTACACAAGACCCAGCGAACTTCCATGGAAAAGTGCTGTAGAAAGATTGGTGCCAGCTTCCTGACGGTTCATATGGATTCATCCTCTCAGCCACCTTAAAGGACATGCTTCTGTTGAAGCACAACTGCCATGGACAGGAATAGCCACGGGCATAGCCGGGGGGGGGCACCTGCCCCCCAGATCAAGTAAAACAATAGAAATGCTTAACCAACTGACCGATCATGTCAGTTCTGCCTTCCAAAAAAGGCCTGCCCCCCCCCCCCAAATCCTGGCTAAGTTCATGGCTCTGCTTGCAAGCACCTGAGGAAATAATATTACAGTGGTACCTCGGGTTAAGTACTTAATTCGTTCCGGAGGTCCGTTCTTAACCTGAAACTGTTCTTAACCTGAAGCACCACTTTAACTAATGGACCTCCTGCTGCCGCCGCGCCGCCGGAGCACAATTTCTGTTCTCATCCTGAAGCAAAGTTCTTAACCTGAAGCACTATTTCTGGGTTAGCGGAGTCTGTAACCTGAAACGTATGTAACCCGAAGCGTATGTAACCTGAGGTACCACTGTAATAGATATTTTAGAGGTTGTTGTTTAGTCATGTCCGACTCTTCGTGGCCCCCTGGACCAGAGCACGCCAGGCACTCCTGTCTTCCACTGCCTCCTGCAGTTTGGTCAAACTCATGCTGGTCGCTTCAAGAACACTGTTTTTTAGAGGAGGCACCTGCAAATATTTACCTCTTGTAGGAATTGGCGGTGCAGCATCAAACCAAGTTTCATGTAGCCTAGACAGTAGCCAGCCGCCAGATTTTTGCCTCTATACAGGGAAGTACCTTAGGGGTTGGTTAGGTTGGCCCCCGTCAAAGGCCAGGCCCAGGGAGGTGTGAAAAACGCGCCTCTCTACTCTGGTTTGGAGCGACTAGGGGCCCGTGGCAAGGGCACAAGGGACAGTGTGTGTGTGTTCCAATATGCCTCTTCCTATATAGCCTCCAAAGGGGGGAACATAGTTTTCTTCATCTCCATATACCTGATATGGAGAGGTAGAGATTGCCTCTAGACCAGTTTAGCTAGAGAGGTCTGTCCAATGGCTGTTAGTAACCTTTGGACAGACCTCTCCTCCTCTACAAACATTTCACACAGTCCTTTTCTAAAGCAGCCTACGGTTAGTGGCCATCTTCACATCTTGTGATAACGAATTATGCAAGTTAACTAACGTATTTTATCTCCTGATTTAAGCAGGGCTGTTTGGTTTTTCAAAAGAAGTTGGTGAAAGGTTTAACCCAGAGGTCAGCAAACTTTTTCAGCAGGGGGCCGGTCCACTGTCCCTCAGACCGTGGGGGGGCGGACTATATTTTTTGGGGGGAGGAATATGAATTCCTATGCCCCACAAATAACCCAGAGATGCATTTTAAATAAAAGGGCACATTCTATTCATGTAAAAACACGCTGATTCCCGGACCGTCCATGGGCTGGATTTAGAAGGCAATTGGGCCGAATCTGGCCTCCGGGCCTTAGTTTGCCTACCCCTAGTTTAACCTGACATTCCACCCCCCACTCTATGTTTCAGAGTCAACCCCACCCAAGACAGGCTGTTATCTCCCTTTAAAAGGTGGTGTGAGCAAATTGGAGGCTCCCCCATTTTCTGAACTCCAGAACCAATCTTGAAATATAGTCTGCTTCTTTGATGCCCCAGTTTGGTGAAGGTAGTTTTGTGAAATGGCAAGAGGCAGGCTGCATTTTCTCAATAATAATAATAATAATAATAATAATAATAATAATTTATTATTTATACCCTGCCCATCTGGCTGGGCCTCCCCAGCCACTCTGGGCGGCTTTCATAGAAACCAAAAATACAGTAAAATATCACACTTTAAAAACTTCCCTGATGTTTTCCCTGCCTTAAGATGTCTTCTGAATGTCAGGTAGTTGTTTATCGCTTTGACATCTGCTGGAAGGGCATTCCACAGGGCGGGCGCCACTACCGAGAAGGCCCTCTGCCTGGTTCCCTGTAGCTTTGCTTCTCGCAATGAGGGAACCGCCAGAAGGCCCTCGGCGTTGGACCTCAGCGTCCGGGCAGAACGATGGGGGTGGAGACGCTCCTTCAGATATACTGGACCGAGGCCGTTTAGGGCTTGAAAGGTAAGCACCAACACTTTGAATTGTGCTCGGAAACGTACTGGGAGCCAATGTAGGTCTTTCAAGACCGGTGTTATATGGTCTCGGCGGCCGCCCCCAGTCTCCAGTCTAGCTGCCGCATTCTGGATTAGTTGTAGTTTCCGAGTCACCTTCAAAGGTAGCCCCACGTAGAGTGCATTGCAGTAGTCCAGGCGGGAGATAACCAGAGCATGCACCACTCTGGCGAGACAGTCCGCAGGCAGATAGGGTCTCAGCCTACGTACCAGATGGAGCTGGTAAACAGCTGCCCTGGACACAGATTTGACCTGTGCCTCCATGGACAGCTGTGAGTCCAAAATGACTCCCAGGCTGCGCACCTGGTCCTTCAGGGGCACAGTTACCCCATTCAGGACCAGGGAATCCTCCACACCTGCCCGCCTCCTGTCCCCAAAAACAGTACTTCTGTCTTGTCAGGATTCAACCTCAATCTGTTAGCCGCCATCCATCCTCCAACCGCCTCCAGACACTCACACAGGACCTTCACCGCCTTCACTGGTTCTGATTTGAAAGAGAGGTAGAGCTGGGTATCATCCGCATACTGATGAACACCCAGCCCAAACCTCCTGATGATCTCTCCCAGCGGCTGCATGTAAATGTTGAAAAGCATGGGGGAGAGGACAGAACCCTGAGGCACCTCACAAGTGACAGCCCAGGGGTCTGAACACTCATCCCCCACCACCACTTTCTGAACACGGCCCAGGAGGAAGGAGCGGAACCACTGTATGACAGTGCCCCCAGCTCCCAGCCCCTCAACACGGTCCAGAAGGATGTTATGGTCGATGGTAGTTGGACACCAAGGCAATTGCAAGGGAAAGGACATCAAGCCTGTGGCATGCTTTTCTAGAAGTTAACCCTAAACCTCCGAGCTCTCTGTAAAAGCCCCCAAACCTGATTTTTGTTAGGTGTGGTTCATACTAGGAAGCTGCCGGTTCATATTAGTTGTATCAACGCTAAGTAGACTATAAGATTGTTCCTCTTTAACAGTCATGGCTCAGGTCTGAGGTATAGATACGCCCTCATGCAGACATAAGAATGGACCTGCTTGGTCTGGCCAAAGGGGGGGGCATCTAGTCCAGCCTACTCTCCTCGCAGTGGTCAGCCAGGTGCCCCAAAGGGAAGCCCGTAAGCAGGACCTGAGTATGAAAGCACTCTCCCTTCTTGCGACTGCCAGCAACTGACCTTCAGAGGCGATACTACCTCCAAGGACCTAGCCACTGTGGCTAGTAGCCATCGATGGCCTTATTCTCCTCCATTAATTTGTCTAATCCTCTTTTAAAGCAATCCATGTTGGTGGCCATCACTCAAACTCTGTTGACCATTAGTTCATCTTGTGAAAGCCGCCAAAAGAGCCCACAGCCCCTTTCTCCTAGTGCCAAGAGACCACCTTTACTCTTCCAGGTAGAACAAGGTACTTGATGAGTTTAATTTCTAAAAAGGGGGGTGGAGGGGTGCTGCTGGGACATTTGAGCTGTCCTGGAATCTGCCCTGTTTGGCTGTGCAAACCCTGTCCAATAAATCCAAGATGTGAGGAGACAGGCTGCGGTTGCTTGGTGATGTGGGAAACATGCTAAGAACAAGCTCAGAGACACTCTTGGTCTTATTTCACATGCGCCAAGACTTAAGACCCAGGCCCTGGGAAAGGGTTTCTGGGTCTAGTCTGCCTAGATTCACAGCCAAGCAGAATGAGATGCTGATCTCTCCTATCCCCTGACAATGTTAATAACTGGCTGCTCATTTTCATATTTGCCTGCTCAGCATGGAACGTGGAAAGCTCTTCCTCGAAGGTGGGGGGAGAAAGGGGAGGAGGGGAGGAAGACAAAGACAGCCCTGGATGAAATGCTGCTGGTGTTAAGATCTCACTAGGAACCAGAAAGGGAGGGGGGGAAGTCGCAGGGAGAGAAGGAAGCATTTTTCTTCCTCGTCCTTTCTTAAATAGTTAATAGTTCCAACCTATTCAAGGCTGGTCACATCACACCTGGAGGGTTGTGCCACAGTCCTAGGGAGTTGAGAAGAGGAGGTTAAGCCTTAAACCATTAAGAGGGGACACGATAGTGGTCTTCTAATAACTGAAAGAAGGCTGATCGCCAAAGAATGGATGCTTTTGAATTCTGGTGCTGGAGGAGACTCTTGAGAGTCCCATGGACTGCAAGAAGATCAAAGAAAATCCGCCCTGAGTGCTCACTGGAAGGACAGATCCTGAAGCTGAGGCTCCAGTACTTTGGCCACCTCATGAGAAGAGAAGACTCCCTGGAAAAGACCCTGATGCTGGGAAAGATGGAGGGCACAAGGAGAAGGGGACGACGGAGGACGAGATGGTGGGACAGTGTTCTCGAAGCGACCAGCATGAGTTTGACCAAACTGCGGGAGGCAGTGGAAGACAGGAGTGCCTGGCGTGCTCTGGTCCAGGGGGTCACAAAGAGGCAGACACGACTAAACATCTAAACAACAACAATAACTGAAAGTCTGGTGGGTCAGATGGAGACAGAGCAGACTAGAACATAAGGGTGGGAACTGCGAGGGAGCAAACGTTGGCCGAATGTTAGGAATAACTGACCTACAATGGCCAGAACTGTTCAGCAATGAAACAGAAAGTTGGGCTCTTCTTTGTCGGAGGCATTGGTTGGACAGCCATCAGTCAAGGATAGTTGCTGTGGCTGCAGGTGGTGTACTGAGCATGGGGCTAGACTAGACGGCCTCTTTAAAAAATCCCACTCCATTACTGTATGATTCTATGATTCATAGACAGAGCATGTCTTGGTCAGTCATGCATACTGAAGTACGAAACAGAGATGAGCCACTGCTTGGTCTAAACACAAGAAGCGTTTTGTTGAGGACAGCTTATGATAGGCATTGCCTGGACCTAGACTCTTTGCAGCAAGGGTGTCTCAAATATTTGAACTTGGGGGGAGATCCCTTCCAGAATTACAAACCTCCACCCACCCATAGCCAGGTGTAGACTCTTCACACTCAGCAGAATGTATTGGAGGGAACTGGCTGAAAAGAGGCAGTATGTAAATGTCATGAATATAGAGAGGTATGCAGCTTTCTACAAGGCCTGGGGCAGTGAGGCAACATACTAACATTAGCTGTGGCTGGATGGTCCTATATACATATTCCCTATCCCTCCGTAGCTTGGATATGGGGTATGTTTAGCCTGGAGAAGAGCAGACAGATATGATAAAAAGGTAAAGGGACCCCTGGCCATTAGATTTAGTCGTGGCCGACTCTGGGGTTGCAGCGCTCATCTCGCTTTATTGGCCGAGGGAGACGGCGTACAGCTTCCGGGTCATGTGGCCAGCATGACTAAGCAGCTTCTGGCGAACCAGAGCAGCGCACGGAACCACCGCTTACCTTCCCGCCGGAGCAGTACCTATTTATCTACTTGCACTTTGAGGTGCTTTTGAACTGCTAGGTGGGCAGGAGCTGGGACTGAGCATCGGGAGCTCACCCTGTCACGGGGATTCGAATAGCCATATTCAAATGTTTTCAAAGGCCTGTCACATGGAAGATGGAGCAACCTTGTTTTCTGCTGCTCCAGAGGGTAGGACCTGAACCAACAGACTGAAATGACAAGAAATGAGATTCCGACTGAACATCAGGGAGAAGTTTCTGGTGGTAAAAGCTAGTTGACTGTGGAACGGACTCCTTTGGAAGGTTCTGGGCTCTCCTTTGGTGGAGGTTTTTAAACAGAGCTTGGATGGCCAAATGTCAGGGATTCTTTAGCTATGATTCCGGCACTGCAGAGGTAGAACTAGTTGAGCCTTGGGGGAGGGGGGTGTTTCCCTTCCAACTCTATGATTCCGTGGTCAGGGAATTTCATCCAAGCAATTTTTCCTATTGATTGATTGATTGAATTTATATACTGCTCTATACCTAAAGGCCTCAGGGCGGTTTACAGAACAAAATCAAAATATAAAATCACAAAATATATAATCAAAATAAAAACAACAACCCAATAATGCCCCCCCAAAAAACACCACATTTTAAAAGGGCATAGGATGTCAATCAAATCAGCCAACGGCCTGGTTAAAAAGGAATGTTTTTGCTTGGCGCCTAAAGGTGTAAAATGAAAGCGCCAAGTGAACTTCCCTGGGGAGAGCATTCCAGATAGGGAGTCGTTGCAGAGAAGACCCGTTCTCGTATTGCCACCCTCCGGACCTCTCAAGGAGGAGGCACACGAAGGAGGGCCTCAGAAGATGATCTCACCCTAATTCCTCTTTCCCCCTGTCATCCCCCTCTTTACTCTGCTGGAACCTCTGGCTCTAGAGCTTGCTGCTAGCACTGTACTCAGTCAATGACAGCAACACACCTTTTCAGCAACTGCAGGAAACCAGTCATCTCTGAACCATGGCCCCTTTATTTACAAAGTTAAACTAATGCAAAAGGCACCATGCGTCCATGAATCAGTTCTGCTTGGCACATTCCGCCCCCCCCCCCCAGCTATGACTGATGTGTCACGGTTAGAGCAGGTCTGAAGGCTGTGATGGTAAGCATAAAACCAAGAAGAGCCTGGCTGCTGGATGGAGCCAAAGGTGGCCCATCTAGTCCAGCATCCTATGCTCACAGTGTCTGTTGGAAGAATGAACTGAGGATAACAGCAGTGATCTCCCCACTAGCGACTCCCAGCAGCTGGAATGTGGAGGCATTTACTACCTCCAACAGTAGTCTGTGTGCCAAAGAATGGATGCTTTTGAATTGTGGTGCTGGAGGAGACTCTTGAGAGTCCCATGGACTGCAAGAAGATCAAACCTCTCCGTTCTGAAGGAAATCAGCCCTGAGTGCTCACTGGAAGGACAGATCCTGAAGCCGAGGCTCCAAGACTTTGGCCACCTCATGAGAAGACTCCCTGGAAAAGACCCTGATGTTGGGAAAGATGGAGGGCCCAAGGAGAAGGGGACGACAGAGGACGAGATGGTGGGACAGTGTTCTCAAAGCTACCAACATGAGTTTGACCAAACTGCGGGAGGCAGTGGAAGACTGGAGTGCCTGGCGTGCTCTGATCCAGGGGGTCACAAAGAGTCGGACACGACTAAATGACTAAACAACAAAGGACCTTTCTGGCTCCACTACTTGCAGGAACCCCTCCCACCCAAATGACTAGCACACCCCATCCCAAGGGAGAGACGGTCCAGTCTCAGAACACCTGAGGTTGTGTCAGCTGCTGGCCATCCGACCTGCCAAGGCAGGTTGCTCACTATGAGGAGTGTTTTCTCACATGGAGCATGCACAGAACAATTTGTTGCCTCTAATCACAAGAACACTGCGTGGCGGCGCTGAGGTTGGCATGACTCCTTCCTCCACAGGCAGCCTCCTGACGAATATCAAAAAGCAGGGCGGGGAAGGCAAAGGCGAAGATAAGGGAGTGGGAGATTTCACTCAACAGGAGTGCTTGATGCCCGCACATCAACGCCTCACATCAAGGAGCTCTCTGAGTCACATCCACACACGCAGCCGCTTCCCCCAGCCTCACCCCAGAGCAGCTACACAGAGGCGCTGCCTGCCCACCCACCCTCATCTGCACGTGCTGCATTAATAAATCAGGAAGAGTTTAGTCTTTGCAAAGCATGCAGCATGGGGGTGAGTTGTTGTTGTTTGTTTGTTTGTTTATTCATTCATTTTTAAATATTTTCAAAAGCTTGCCAGTTAAAAATCAGCACAGTGAAAAAGAGGAGGGGACGTGGGAAATGACAGGGCTTGCCTGAGAAATTTCAGCTCCTGAGGCTGAACAGCAAATGGTGTCTGTCTCTCCCTGCTCTACCACCACATCCTGGCCACCACCATACCACGACATGGTGCATTTATAATTAATTAATTTATATAAGTGGTACCTTGGTTCTGAAACTTAATCCGTTCTGGAAGTCTGTTCCAAAAGCAAAGTGTTCCAAAACCAAGGTGTGCTTTCCCATAGAAAGTAATGCAAAATGGATTAATCCGTTCCAGACTTTTAAAAACAACCGCTAAAACATGACATGAATTTTACTATCTAACGAGACCATTGATCCATAAAATTAAAGCAAGAAACAATGTACTGCAGTCACACAATCAATCAATCAGTAGCTGAACTGGGTTCCACACAGTCTCAAAAAAAAAAAAAAAGAGCCACAAAAACACAAAATAAATAGCAAAAACAGACAGACCTCACCTCAGCGAAACACTCCAAACGGAAGTGTGGCACTTAAATCGGAAGTGTAGCACTCAAAACAGAGCATGTTCAACTTCCGAAAAAGGTTCGCAAATCAGAAAACTTACTTCTGGGTTTGCAGTGTTTGGGTTCCAAGTTGTTTGAGTACCAAGATGTTTGAGAACCAAGGCACCACTGTACTGCTCGTGTGCCAGAACAGCTTCTAAGTGGCATACAACCATAATTAAAAACACGCATTAACATTCAAGCAGCCTTAATTAAAACAGACAATAAAGCAAAGAGCTAAAAAGCATAGCAATTAAAACAGGTCTTCTAAAAAGCAATAAAGCCACAAGTTTCAGGGGCATGCTTGCCTCATCCAACAGTGTCTTCAGGAGCCAGTGCTGGCTGGATGGCGGCAAGTGCTTTTCCAGTCTTTCTGGGGGCACTCAAGGGGACGCAGTACAGGCACCTTTTCCCCCCAGTAGAAACACTCTGGTTACAAGTGTGGCAGTTACTGTAACAACTTCACGGGGAGTACAGTGGTACCTCAGGTTACATACGCTTCAGGTTACAGACTCCACTAACCCAGAAATAGTGTCTCCGGTTAAGAACTTTGCTTCAGGATGAGAACAGAAATTGTGCTCCGGCAGCGCAGCAGCAGCAGCGGGAGGCCCCATTAGCTAAAGTGGTGCTTCAGGTTAAGAACAGTTTCAGGTTAAGAATGGACCTTCGGAACGAATTAAGTAATTAACCCGAGGTACCACTGTATTGGCACCTTTTTTTCCTATAAGAAAAGCACTGATGGTGGCACAGAATGCAGTTCCCAAGGCTGGCTACCTTTGTCCACCTGAGGCTGAAAGTCCCACCAACATCTCTCCCTGGGAGTAAAAGCACTCCTAGCAATGAATTAAAACAACTGGCAGCCTGCTTCCCTTTCATGACACCCAAAGTCATCTGCCTGGGGCAACTACCTTACTCTGCCCAACAGGGACACCAGGGCATGTTGGATCTGAATGTGAGTTGCTACACATTAATCCTCACAGGGGTAAACACCTGGGGGGCAGATACAGAACTAGACTGAACTATCTGTTAGGGGTCCGCCTCTTTTTATTTTTAATGGAAAGCTGGGGAAATATGTGCTATTTTAAGCTGTTTCAGTTGAACTACCCCTGCCCCATTCGTTGTAGCCCAATGGCGTCACCTGAACCCTGACTCTGCACCTCGCAAACACTCTGCTCACCTGCCCCCACGATGGCTCGATTTCTGACTGCACTAAAAGTTATGAAGCCTTTTCTGCAGAAAGACTGTGAAGCTGAAATTTCCACAGCGACAAAGTGGACAAGAAAACTTAAGAGAAGCAACTTCTGGGGAAATAGGTCTGGGGTAAAACATGACCAGCATGTGCCCAGGTGGTGTCAGGTTCTGCATGGGCAGCCTGGAGGTGTCTTCGCTGCTGCCGCCACTGCTGTGAATTCCTCCAGGAGGTTTAGGGGCTGGGAAATTTATTCGCAGCAGCAAAGTGTGAAGAGCTAAACAGTTCCTCACTGCCGCCTACTTCCTTTTGGTTATGAGAAAGCTGCAAACAGCCTGGCTCCTGACAACAAGCTGCATTTTTAATGAAGGAGGAAACAACAACAAAATATAAACCCCACAAGCTCATTCTCATACAAACACGGGGCTGCCCACTGGTCAGAAAAAAGAATAGCAATCTGAATTCAAACCCATTCCATGTCCCCGCCCCAGTGCACACCCCCTTTCCCAAATTCACAAGACTGGCTTTAAAAATCATTGTCTAGTTATTTACAAACCACATTGGCCACAAGCAAATATGTGCTCAAAGTGGCTCACACAAAAATCACAAGTCTAACTACAGTAACTACAGTAGTAATACTGTAGTCAGAACACAATAAAGCAGGTATCGCAGCAATGTAGCACTAAGAAAATTAATAACCAACAATTAACGGTTCATTTAAGAACATGAGAAGAGTCTGCTGGTCAGTGGCCGATATCCTCACAGTGGTTCAAAAGCTGCAAGCAGGATTCAAGTACATGAGCACTTTCTTCCCTCCTGTGGTTTCCAGCAACTGGTACTGTACTTGGAAGCATCCCTGCCTCTGACTATACAGACAGAGCAATAGCTCTTGCAGCTAGCAGCCATCAATAGCTCTCTCCTCCTCCATGAATCTGTCTAATCCTCTTTTAAAGCTCTCCAAGGTTGGAGAGTCCTCAACTTCCTGAGGGAGTCCATTCCACCGCAGAACAGCTCTTGCTGTCAGAAAGTTCTTCATGATGTTTAGTCAGAATCTCCCTTTTTGTAACTCGAAGCCATTGGTTCGGGTCCTCCCTTCTGGAGTAGGAGAAAACAAGCTTGCTCCATCTTCCATGTGACAGCTCTTGAGATATTTGGCTATCATATCTCCTCTCAGTCTCTTTTCCAGGCTAAACATCCCCAACTCCTTCAACTGTTCCTCCTAAGGCTTGGTTTCCAGACCCTTGGTCGCCCTCCTCTGCACCCGTTCCAACTTAGCAACACCCTTCTTAAATTGTGGCGCCCAGAACTGGACACAGGACTCCAGGTGTGGTCTGACCAAGGCAGAATAGAGCAGAACTATTCCTTCCCTTGATCTGGACACTTGACTTCTGTTGATTCAGTCTAATAGAATTAGCTACCCCCACTGCATCACACTGTCGACTCATGTTAAGCTTGTGGTCTACTGACCCCTAGATCCTTTTCACATGGACTACTGGCAAGCCAGGTGTCCCCCATCTTTGTGCAGCTGGCTTTTCCTGTGTAAGTATGTATGTTATAAATATGTATATTAAATATGCATACAGCTTACCAATAGGTCAAGCTGCAAATATCCATTAAGCAACTCTCTTATTAAGGCTCTTAGGGAATTGAGGGTGGGGAAACACAAGTAACCACCCCCTGATGGCATTCAAAGAATCTCTCACCTCTCACAGTTGTTCACTTATTTTTATAGTAATAAAACTTCATAGCCCAGACCTAAGAGCCGCTCAGCCAGGGAAGGTGCACAGTTCATCAGCTTAACAATATCTGAGCATGCTTAATTCCTGGCAGATGCACTCACAAGTTATTTATTTATTTATAACATTTCTTACCCACCCTTCACAGTAAGAGCAGTTAACAACATTACAGCATACAGACTGAAAAATAGATAAAGCTATTGTAATTATAAAACAAACAAACCCGCTCTGAATGGAACAGAACAGCATAAATCCAAAGAACAAGGTGGGTCCCGCAAAACAGAACATATCAACTATCAAAGGCTAGAGGAAAGAGCCACCTGCCAGGAGCAGAGATGGGGAGAGATATGGGACAACCAAGCTAATCTGAGGCACTAAGGTCACATCCACACCACACCTGTGGATCTAGAATTGGCCTCCACAGTCACTTACGGCCTTGCTGATATGACCGTGTTCATGGAAGACAATCTTACTCGGCTACAAGTGATCGCCAAAGAAGAAGAAGATTTAGCTATGATTCCTGCATTGCAGGGGTTTGGATCAGATGACCCCTTGGGTCCCTTCTAACCCTGCAATTCTATCGTTCTATTGGAAGTGCAAGGCTTTCCCCCAAAGAATCCTGGGAAATGTAGTTTACCCCACACAGAGCTATAGTTCCCAGCATCCTTAACAAACTACACTTCTCAGGGTTTGGCTCCACCTCTTCCTGAATTGATTGCATTCAAATGGGTCCTTGGGTGGGAGGCCCGTATTGGCTCACAGGCAGCCCCCTCCCCAAGGGGAGATCCAGATCCAGGGGGCAGCCCCTGAATCAGGCCCAGATGCCATCTCCACATCTTCATGTCGGAGGCCCTAGGAATGCCATCCACAGCATGAGGGCTTAATTCACCTGCTCATCTTTCCGGGGTGATTCCTATCATCCCTCAGCAATGCCCTTCTGCATAGCAGAAACAGGCCAGTCTCCACACAAAATAAGAAGCAGACACACACACACTCCGCCACCAGAAATGACGACATCCAAAAGCCAATGGGGGAACATTTCAACCTGCCAGGACACTGGATAAATGACCGTCAAATAGCCGTCCTGCAGCAAAACAACTTCAGAGGGAGACTGAAGCTCTGTGAAAGCGCTGGGTAGATGAAGTGTTTCAGGGCTATCCAAGTCAAAGGATTTTTAGCACACTCTTTGTGGTAATTGGCTTGTCGGTGCAAGGATCAAGAACTGTTTTGTGAATTACCACTGCTAAGTATGAGATTATCACTGCCTGCAGTCTCCCCACATTTCTTTTTCCTCTGACCTCACTTTTTACAACCCCCACCCTGCAGCAAAACCATATGGTTTATATACCTATGACTCAGGATGAACCTGATGAAGTGGACTCTGGTCCAAAAAAAAAACACCTTATGCCATAAGAAATGTGTACCAGTCTTTTAAGATTCTGCAAAACCGTTTGTTGTTTTGGCTGGAAAAGAGTCACACAGCTCCTCCTGTGGAAATTAAGAACTTTGCAACTTGTAAGAACCAGTACCTGACTTTGCTACCTTCCTCTTCCCTCCCCATACTTTCCCATCACATTTGTGGTCATGCCTTTTACATTGCAGTCACACAGGTAGGTATTTTATTGGTTTTTTAACATGTGCATCGTGCTAATAAAGTTTAGAGGTTTTGTTGTTGTTGTTGTTGGCATCTGTCTGTCTCAAGAGACAATGGAGAGCACCTCCAGGTGTGAAGTCAAACTGCTGTGCTAGCAGCACCGAAGAGACCTCTGCATGATGCAAGCCTGGGCAAAATTGGCACTTTTACAAGTTTCACATAATGCCCCCACCACATCTGTAAGAACTTTAGTGTAGCAGCACCAACACTTTGGAACTCCCTTCCTATTGATATCAGATAGGCACCCTCACTGTTCTTTTCGACGCCTGAATACATTCTTAATTTAGACAAGTCTACCCAGTTGTGTGGGTGGCGCTGTGGGTTAAACCACAGAGCCTAGGGCTTGCCGATCAGAAGGTCGGCGGTTCGAATCCCCGCAACGGGGTGAGTGCCCATTGTTCAGTCCCTGCTCCTGCCAACCTAGCAGTTCAAAAGCACCTCAAAGTGCAAGTAGATAGATAGGTACCACTCTGGCGGGAAGGTAAACGGTGTTTCCATGCGCTGCTCTGGTTTGCCAGAAGCGGCTTAGTCCTGCTAGCCACATGACCCAGAAGCTGTATGCCGGCTCCCTCGGCCAATAAAGCGAGATGAGCGCCGCAACCCCAGAGTCGGCCACGACTGAACCTAATGGTCAGGGGTCCCTTTAGCTTTACCCAGTTGTGTAGAAAGCTTGCATGAGTTTTACTTTGAGGTGTCCAAACTTTTTTCAAAGAGGGCCGGATTTGATGAAGTGAAGGGCCATGGGGGCCAACCACAGTTGTTGACCTTTTGAAGTTGTTGAACTTTTTTTAGGATTTTACCTCAAAATCAATAGCCCCCCTTCCCACACTCACAATTTAAAGGCCATAGATTGGGGTGCCCAAACTTTTTTCAAAGAGGGCCAGATTTGATGAAGTGAACATGTGTGAAGGCTGACCAAAGTTGTTGAGCTTCTTTTAGGATTGAAGTTGTTAAGGGTTCTTTAGGATTTTACCCCAGGAAATAAACTGCCACAGAGGCCAGATTAAACCGACCAGTGGGCTGGATTAGGCCCCCGAAACGGACTTTGGACATGCCTGGCTAGTCTATTCTCTTTTGACTTTCAGTGTATTTTAAAATTCGGCTTTCAAGGTTTTAACTTTTTGTAAACCACTTTGAGTTTTTTCCTTAGCAGCCAAGGAGTCTATAATTTTTTAATGAAACAAATAAACAAAACAAACAATTAAAAGTGGATTGCCCGTTGCTCAGGGCAACATGCTTTTTAACGGGAAGACAGCAAAATAATGTGGGAGGTGTGTCCCACCCCCAATTTTTTTTTTTTTTACCTGTAGGCTCACAAAGGCTGCTGGGATGCAGTGCAGTCAGTTGGGGCAGTAAAATGTGGCTGGTCTTGCAAGCTATAAAATGGGTTCGTCGTTCAAGTGTTAGCAGTTCTGCCATTCCAGGAAAGGCCCCTGAAAAGAAAAGAAAAATGGCTGGAGGACCTCCATGCCAGGGACATGATTTGAACCCGTTCCTTAGCAAATTCCTACCCATCTGAGATCCCCCAATTTTGTTAGTGGTGACAGAGAGAGTATATAACATATTGACACAGTGGTGGGATGTGCAAAAAAAGGTTAAACCTCCCTGCCCAGCCCAGCGCCATGACAGAAATACAAATCCCTCCCTTCGTCCCTGCTCATTACATTGACAACTTAATGGGTGGCCATACTCTGCCACGTGGCCTCCGGATGGTTTAGTCATGGGTGAATGTGGCCCCTGGGCTCAGTAGGATCAGGCAGCCCTGCTTTGAAAGGACACCGGAATTAATTTTAAAATCCATCACAAATGGGCTTCATTTTCCTCTGGGTTGTTTTCCATTTTGCTCATTCCCCTGACATGATTCTTTGCTTGAATCAGATTTTCTACTTCTCTCTCTGAAGTGTATAAATATGCAATACTATATATATATATATATATATATCTATCTGTAGGAAATACCCCATTTCCTACAGAGCTTGTGGTTTCTGCTGCGGTTGCTCCCCTTCTAAAATGAACTTTATCAGGAATTTCCTGTTGTTTAGTGATTGCCCGGTTTAACTTCCTTCTTTTCCTTTTTACGCTTTGGGCAAGCTCTTGGTTCCCTGCTTTGCTCAATCATTTGATTTTTCTGCAAGCTATTAGGGGGAATCAGCCTGGTTTTCCTTCTGCTCACTCTATTATTTTATTTTATATCCTTCGTGTTTGCCTCACTCCTGTCCTGGTCTGATCCAGCAGCCGTGCCTTTAATCATGGCTATTATTTTTATGGTAGAAAATGGCAGTTACGGGTGCCACACAACATCCACGTCTTGGTAAGAAATCCAACAGCACACGCACTTTGGAACTCCCTGCCTATTGACATCAGGCTGCCCTCTTTTGGGCACCTGCTAAAATACACTTTTTTCAGGCAAACCTGCCTAGATATCATACACATGTGTTACCATCAGGCTATTATTACCTTAATCCTAGCTTTATATGCATGGGGGGTGGGGGGAATGTTTTAAATAGTTCTCTTTTTTTAACCGGCCTTGCTAATATCTGTTATTTTTAATCAAAGGATGCATCAACTTTCTTAAATAAATTAAATTAAACGGCAGAACTGGAAACATTGAGCAGAAAACGTCAGTCGTAAGATGAGCGAAACTGAATTCTGAGGTAAAATCTGAGGGGTCACGTGGCCTTTTGGGCGGGAAACACTGGCAGCACCCGTCCTCTGGCAAAGGAGACGCTTGGCGAGGGGGAAAAGGCGGGAACAATCTGCGCATGCGTTACCAGAGGGGAAAAAAACAGGCCACCGTCGGCTACTCCTCGGCCGCCGAAGTGGAAGGAGACGGTGCGCCTGCGCACTGAAAGCACGTGAAGCCCCCTTCCTCCCCGCGCGGGTTCAGCGCCTCCCTCGGCTTGGGAAGCCGGAGCACGCGCAGACGAGGCGAGCTTCCTGGCGCGCCTGCGCGTAGCGGTTCAGGGGGCGGCGAGGACGAATGGGGTGGGATCGAAAGGTCGCCGGGAGAGGGCGGGGCGGGGCGGGGGGAAGCCCCAGCCGGAGGAGAGCGGAGCATGCGCCGTGCGCGGCGGGGGGCGGCTGGGCGCATGCGCGGCGGCGGGCGGCGGCGCCGACAGGGAGCGAGGCGGCTGAGGTGCGCGCCCGGATGGCGGCGTCCGGGGCGAGGAAGCCCAGCTCCCCGCGGGACTCGGAGGCCGAGGTCTGGTCCCGCCGGGTGAGGGAGCTGGTCAGCTCCGAGCCGGCCAGCCGCCTCTGCTTCGAGTGCGGCCAGCGCGGCGTCACCTACGTGGACATCACCATCGGCAGCTACGTCTGCACCGCCTGCTCGGGGGCGCTGTGAGTGCGGAGGGGGGCGGGGCCACGCCGCTATGCGCGAGGCCAGGGGGCGGGGCCACGCCGCTATGCGCGGGGGCGGGGCTTTTTCCACGCGGAATGCCTCCTGGGGGCGGGGCCAAGGGCGGGGCGATGGAGACCCTTCCTCAACCTGGCGCCCTCCCAGCTGCGTCAGGGACCCCATGGGGGAAGGGGCTAATGGTTATAATAATGTAACGGTAATTTAATATCTATACCCGGTCCATCTGGCTGGGTTTCCCCAGCCACTCTGGGCAGCTTCCAACCGAATATTCAAAACAACACAGCGTCAGACATTAAAAGCTTCCCTAAGCAGGGCCGCCTTCAGATGTCTTCTAAAAGTCAGATAGTTGTTTATTTCCTTGACATCTGATGGGAGGGCGCCACCACCAAGAAGGCCCTGTGCCTGGTTCCCTGTAACTTCTCACAGGGAGGAAACCGCCAGAAGGCCCTCGGAGCTGGACCTCAGAGTCCGGGCAGAACGATGGGGGTGGGGACGCTCCTTCAGGTATACTGGGCCTTTGAGGCCGTTTAGGGCTTTAAAAGTCAGCACCAACACTTTGAATTGTGCTTGGAAACATACTGGTTTGTTTGTGTTGTTGCCCTTGTTTTTATTATGTGTTTCGATCTTATGAACTGCCTTCAGATCTACAGATGAAGGCGGTATACAAATTTAATAAATAAATAATAAAATCAGCCCCACAGCCAGCCTTGGCCGAGGGTTGGGGGCTGTACTCCAAAACCGCTGAGGGGCTCCAGGTTGACTCCAGGTTGACTGAAGGCTAGACAACCTTTGGATTTGCTTGTCACCTCTGTGACGTATATGAGACCACCTGGCAAAATCATCTGGAGGCTTAGGACGTGAGACGAGTCTTGCGGGAGGAGTGCAGTGGCTCCTCTAGGGCAGCGTCCTGTTCCCACAGTGGCCAACCAGATGTCCCAAACGAATGGAAGAAACCCACAAGCAGGACTTGAGCGCAACAGCATCTCTCCCCATTTGCGACCCTCAGCAAACTGCGGGAGTTATAAAGCAGCAAGTAAAATTTTAGACGCGGGTGGCGCTGTGGGTAAAACCTCAGCGCCTAGGACTTGCCGATCGCATGGTCGGCGGTTCAAATCCCTGCGGCGGGGTGCGCTCCCGCTGCTCGGTCCCCAGCGCCTGCCAACCTAGCAGTTCGAAAGCACCCCCAGGTGCAAGTAGATAAATAGGGACCGCTTTATAGCGGGAAGGTAAACGGCGTTTCCGTGTGTGCTGCGCTGGCTCGCCAGAGCAGCTTCGTCACGCTGGCCATGTGACCCGGAAGTGTCTTCGGACAGCGCTGGCTCCCGGCCTCTAGAGTGAGATGAGCGCACAACCCTAGAGTCTGGTAAGACTGGCCCGAACGGGCAGGGGTACCTTTATCTTTACCTTTAAAATTTTAGAAACTGTGCGCACAATTAAAAGGAGGGCAGCGGATGACGAAACAGACAGAAGGCACCAGCGATTTGGAAGAGGCCTTGTTTGCGCTTTGCGTGGGGTGCAGAAGGACCTCTGGGATAGCGCGGGATTGGCTGCTGCAAGACGGCGCAATGCATCCTGGGCCGCTCCCTGATGCTAGCCGTGCTCTTTGGCCTTCACTGGCCAGTGGGAGGCAAAGGCATCTCTTCGCTAAAACAAATAAGAGTTTCATAAGCTCCCCTTTGAGCGGAAAGGCAGGTTAAACACCTTTTGACCAAAGTAAATAGAAACTCGGGTTGTTGCCCTGGATGGTGGGGTATGGCTGACATGAGAGGGAGGGTGGAAAAAAAGGAAATCTGTGGAATGCTTTTAAGCCAGCCGTTGTCAACCTGGCGAGTAAAAGGCGACATGGTAGAAGTGTGTAGAATTATGCCTGGCATAGAGAAAAGCTTTTCTCCTCTCTCACGACGCTGGTACTCGTGGGCTTCCAATGAAGCCAAATGCTGGAAGCTTCAGGACAGATAACTGGAAGTCTGTCTTCACACAGAGCATAGTTGAACTGCGGAACTCCCTCCCACCAGAGGCAGTGATGGCCAACAACCTGGATGGCTTTAAAAGAGGATTGGGCAAATTCATGGACCAGGAGAGGGCTTTCGATGGCTACTGGGTGGTCAGAGGTAGCAATGCTTCTGAACACCAGTTGCTGGAAAGCACAGGAAAGGGAGAGATGCTCTTGTGTTCGAATCCTACTCGCAGATTTTCCAATCATGGGCATCTGGTTGGCCTCTGTGAGAACAGGAGGCTGGGCTAGATGGGCCAGATTGTGTTCTTAAATTGTCGTGATATGAGTCCTTAATTTCTTTTCCCCCTGCCCCACTGAGGTTGCCCAGATCCCTAATCCAGGTTGACTCCCTTAGGAAGTTCTCCCCACATGGGGTTCCTCCTCTCTCCGTGACATTCTGGATATTTCATTTCCCACCCTCTTAATAATTAACTGCCACGGGCAGAGAGAATCCTTGCATCAGCAGGTCAGAGCCCTAGGGGACAGGGCCATGTGGAGCCCAGTGGGGCAGAGTCGACATCTAGGCTCTCTTCCCTGAGGGCCCAGGCCTCTCCTGGATTCTGCAGCTCAGGATGCACAGCATTCTCTGCGTTTTCCTGGCAGCTCAGAGAGCTGTCAACATCATTCTCTTCACCAAGGTGTCTCGTTTGCAAAAGCACACACACTTTGCTGAACTCAAAGGCCTGGTTTCTCCTGCTCTCCCCTAGAGAGCATCTACTCAGTGGCTATAATCAGCAGGTGCTTTTCTCTTTGCTGTGTTTCCTGCATTGCTTGGACTAGCCATTGTGATTCACGCGATGGTCACCTCCAGACTTGATTATTGTAACTCGCTCTACGTGGGGCTGCCCTTGAGACTGACCCAGAAACTCCAGCGGGTGCAGAATGCCACAGCAAGACTCCTTACAGGGTCCTTGCCACGGGATCACATTCACCCGGTGCTATACCAGCTGCACTGGCTCCCGGTGGAGTACAGGATCAGGTTTAAGGTGCTGGTTTTAACCTTTAAAGCCCTATACAGCCCAGGACCCTCGTACCTACGGGACCGCCTCTCCTGGTATGTCCCACGGAGGACCTTACGGTCTTCAAACAAAAACATCTTGGAGGTCCCGGGCCACAGGGAGGTTAGGCTGGCCTCAACCAGAGCCAGGGCTTTTTCGGCCGTGGCCCCGATCTGGTGGAACGCTCTGTCACAAGAGACTAGGGCCCTGCGGGACTTGACATCTTTCCGCAGGACCTGCAAGACGGAGCTGTTCCACCAGGCCTTTGGCCAAGGCACAGTCTGACCCCCCTCCTTTTGCAATCCTTGCAGAACTCTAGCCCAATGGTTGCCATTAATTTGATTTGAATTGATTTTAGAATGAATTGATTTTAGAATGCTGTGTTACTTTTATTGTTGTTAGCCGCTCTGAGCCTGGCTTCAACTGGGGAGGGCGAGATATAAATAAATTATTATTATTATTATTATTATTATTATTATTATTATTATTAGATGACCCTTGGGGGTCCCTTCCAGCTCTACAGTTTTGTGATTCTTCTCCCCCACCTCACCCCAATGCAGCCGTGGCCTGAATCCCCCTCACCGGGTCAAGTCGATCTCCATGACGACCTTCACGGAGAGCGAGGTGCAGTACCTCCAGACCCGTGGGAACGAGGTGAGTCGGGGCCCCGCTGAGGCCTTCACGGCAGTTGTGTCCTGCTTTCTCACATGTATATATAAGACAATTTATAACAGCAAGGTGGCGAGCTCGGTTTGGTGACTGAGAGGCCAACGGAAGGCACAAGTGAGGTTTCAGAGGGTGGGCAGGTGACGGTCCTCTCCTGTGGTACTCGGTTCAAGCCCACTCACTTCCCGAACAACGCCCAGAGTTCTGAATTGCACCTTATTCCTCATACGCATTGATAAGAACCTGTATCTTTTAGTGCAGCAGTACCTAAACTATTGACATCAGGCAGGCGGCTTCCCCGTACTTTTCCAGCTCCTGCTAAACAGCATTCTTGTTTAGGCAAGCCTGCCTGGTCGATTTGTGTTTTAATCCCCTTTTAGTTTAATTTTTTTGATTATATAGTAGCTTTTATTGATGATTCTGTTGTTTCTCTCTCTTTGAGTTGTCCCTTCTATTACAAGCAAGCAGTGTCTAAATCTTACGAAGTAAATAATTCTGGGCCCCTTACCCACCCCAGGCCTGTCGGAAGATCTGGTTGGGCACCTTTGACTCGCGGACGTCTCTGCTGCCAGATTCCCAGGACCCTCAGAAAGTGAAGGAGTTTCTGCAGGAGAAATATGAGAAGAAGAGATGGTGAGAATGACAGGAGCCTGTCCTTCAAGGGGAGCTCAAATCCAGGAGCTTTCTGGGTGGTAAAGGACTCAGATGAAATTCTGCAAACTGGCGTGGGCTGTTTATTTTCACGTCTTACTCCAAAGGCGAAATGTTGACTTTTCACCCCCCAAGGAATGAGAGGGTGGGGAGATTATCCTGGGCGGTGGTCTATCCTCTCCTCTGGCTTCCCCCTCCAGGTACATCTCTCCAGAGCAAGCCAAAAACCTGCCCTCGCTGACATCCCAAAGCTCCACGGTGGAAGTGAAGACGCTGCTGGGAGACTCAGGAGCCATGCCTACAGCAGCCAAGCCTAGCCAGGTTGGGAGTATCGGGCATCCTTCTGGCTCGACTAAGTTGCTCAGAAATTCTTTCCATTCGCTGGCCAGCCCAGGCTAGGCCCCTACCTTGTTTCACAAGCTCTGATATCAGGTTTTTGACAGCTGTTGGGGAGTAGCAGGGCAGGGGGCGGTGGGCTGTAGTTTGCAGTGTTCGGGGCTTGTGTAATTTGGAGAAAATTCAAGCAAAAGACAGTGAGAAACGAGAAATTCACAGAGGATAAGGCATAGGGACATGGGTGGCGCTGTGGTCTAAACCACAGAGCCTAGGGCTTGCCGATCGGAAGGTTGGCGGTTCACAGAACTGCATAATATAATAACAAACAAAAGCAACACTGCCCCCTCACCCCAGTTTAAAAGGCCATATACTACCAAAGGTCTGGTTAGAGAGGAACATGTTCACCTAGTGCTTCTCAGCAACCAACAATCCATCCTGCCCCACAGAATCAGTAGATTCTGAAACTTTGTTCAAGTTCAAAATAAGCATGGCGTGCCAGGGAGACCTTTGCGACGCCCTCTTCTCCTAGCCGCTGTGTATTTTCTGCGTGCTAAAGCCACATAAAGCTATCTCCTTATGTTCCAACAATATACAGCCCAGGACACAGTATTCTCCCTTAGCACCTCAGTGGGCCACAACTTGCTTCAGAGTGCATTTGTGGTGCATGCCGGGCTCTTGGGGGGGGGAGATCTCTTGATGGGCAGGATCCCGGCCTTTCATTCTGACCGGCTTTCCCTTTTCCAGATTGCAGACAGGAGCCAGCCGCAGGGCCCCCAGCCAGCCAAGAAAGCCAGTATGGACCTCTTGGCCGACATTGGGGGAGACCCCTTTGCTGCCCCTCAGCCTGGACCTGCCTTCACAGCCTTCCCTGCTTTTGGGAGTGAGTAACTTCTTGTGGCTCCTTATCACACCAGAGAGAGGGTGGGTGTGTCTGGCTGGGCAGTTTTGATCTGGAGGGAGTGTGTTAACTGAAGAGGCTTCAAAATGGGCATTGGGGGAGGGGCGGGATCCCAAGCAACCAGGGAGTTGGGGGAGCTGCCTTTTCCACCATGGGGAAAGAAAAACAAAAACACTGGCTTTCGGCTCCTTGACTTAGAGCAGGGTTTCCCAAACAGTCTCTGGCTGGGTTTTTTGGGACTACAACTCCCATCATCCCTTGGTACCAGGACCAGTGGTCAGGAATGATGGGAGTTGTAGTCCAAAAACAATCAGGGAGCCAATAATATACGATATCTTTATTGTCATTGTCCATGCAGAACAATGAAATTGAAAAACTACATAAAACATTCAAAAACCCCTAAAAACTCTGAAACCCCATTTTAAAGTACACTATACTATAGAGACCCCTTATGCTGCGTTTAGAACCAGAATTGCATTGCATAGAAACTGTTTCTCAGGCGGCTAGTCCTGGCCTTTATAACCCTGTACCTTCTTCCAGAAGGCAGAAGCTGAAAGAGATCATTTCCGGGGTGCGCACTATCCTGCGCTATCTCTGCCGCTTTCTTATGGCACCTGGCAGCATACAATAATAATAATAATAATTCATTATTTATTCCCCAGCCACTCTGGGTGGCTTCCAACAGAATATTAAAATACAATAGCCTATTAAACATTAAAAGCTTCCCTAAACAGGGCTGCCTTCAGATGTCTTCTAAAAGTCTGGTAGTTGTTTTTCCTCTTTGGCAAGTTTGGGAAACCCTGATTTAGACAACGGACCGCTAAGACGCAGGGTGTGCTTACAAACCTGGCGAGTTGGTGAGAACGTGATTCTGCAGTAGCTGGGTCACTGGGCAGATCCAACAGGCTCTAATTGCTTTCCTATGGTATTACAAAAGAGGGGTGAAGAAGGTGTGATGGAGGGGAGTATTCCTGCCTTGCCAAGGGGTTGGACTGGATGACCCTCGAGGTCCCTTCCAACGCTTACGATTCTATGAGAACGTTCTCCCTTTTCTCCTAATGCCCTGCACTCAGATTTGCTCGAGGAGGTCAGAGCCCTAGACTTGGAGGGTTGGAGGCCCCTTCGATGCGGGAGGAAATCTATTGGTGGTAGATTCAGGACAGGCCAGAGAAGGAACTTAACGCATGCACAACACTGCGGCTAAATAATCCCTCTTGCGCTCTCTTTCTCAGGCCAGGTGCCAGCCCAGGCCGCCTTCACCAGTTTCGATGCCTTTGGAGGAAGTCCTGCTGGAGTGACCTTTGGGGACGCGTTAGCCGCCAGCCACAGCCCTTTCCAGAGCCAGCCCATGGCAGCCGGTAACATGCCCCGTAAGTACTAATATTTTGTTCATTCCGTTTATATTCCGCCTCCCCTATAGTTCCTCACCCCCCTATTTTATCCTCGCAATGTTTTATTCCTCCTCGTTCTCTTTTCGTCGGCAGGCGGAGACTGTTTTACTCCCACAGGCCTTTGGGAACTGACAGATTTTTTTCTACTACCTGCATTTTAACAGATTTGCTTTTGCATTGCTTTAATTCTGTTGCATTAAAAGTGAAAACATACCGTATTTTTCGCTCCATAAGACGCACCTAGTTTTTAGAAGGGGAATGCAAGAAAAAAAATATTCTTTAAAGGGAGCGCTGAGCAGAGCATGTATGCATTCCAGGCTCTGCTCAGCGCTCCCTTTCACGAGCTGCGTGGAGCGTGTGTGCGGCGCTTGCAGGCTTTTCCCCGAGGAGGGAGAAGGCCAGCCCATCACTGACAGGCTGCCCTTCTCCCTCCTTGGGGAAAAGCCCCCAAGAGCCGCGCACACGCTCCACGCTGCTCGTGAAAGGGAGTGCGGCTCTTGGGGGCTTTTCCGGGAGGTGGGGGAAGGGACTGAGGGGCTAAGCCAGAATCTAGAACAGCAAGAGGGGGCGCTGCACATTGATCCCTCTCGCTGTTCTGGCTTCTGGGATAGCCGCGAAGCCTGCATTCGCTCCAGAAGATGCACACACATTTCCCCTTGCTTTTTAGGAGGGAAAAAGTGTATCTTATAAAGCGAAAAATATGGTAAAAGATAGTTTAAAATGTAACTAAGCTATTACATATTATATGCTTTTAGCTTTTTGTATTTTACCTGCTATGTTTTAATTTGTGTAAACCAGCTCGAGTCCTGGTCTGGGAAAATGGTGGGAAGGTGGGGGTGAGGGGAGAGAGAGACAGAGAGAAAATTTTAAAAATATATTAATTTTGTATATCTTTCTTCATCAGCAGATCTCAGGGCAGTTCATGGCATAAAAATGCAACATAAAAGCACAAAACACACGATCGAAACAAGAACAAAGAAACACAAACCGATAACTCCCAAACAAACCAATATTAATTAATATTCTTCCTTGCAGGTGGAACCCACATGGGCGGTTTCCCCGCCTCCCCTGCTAGCCAACCAGGAGTGGGCATTCCAGACATGGGCGGGGCCTTCAGAGTGGGCGGAGTCCCAAGCAGGTAATGGGTTTCCCTCTGGATCAACTGGTTTGGGGCTGGTGGGTCTGTGGACATTTCTGCCTTTGGCCAACGGGTGTGTGTGTGTGAGTCTAAGTGGCCTCTGGGTGCATCTCCCAGAGAGCCTTGTACTTACCTGCTTCCTCCTCCTCCCCCTCTCTCTGCCAGTGTCTTTGGGGCCCTCAGCCAGTCACCTGTCCTGCCCCCGCCCAGCCCAGCCACGGCCTACGGGGGTAAGTAGTTTTCCTTCCTCCTCTCGGTTCTGATGGTTGCTGCTGTCGTCATCTTCTATTTATTTGTAGGCCACTTTTCCCGTGGCAGTGATCAAAGTGTCTTGCATCGCAGCAAACGAACAATAATAAATAGAACAATTCAAAAAACAAAACAAAAAAACCCCCAAGAACGATTAGAAATAATCATAATATATACAGAACATAAATCCATACGAAAACAATACAGATAAGCTAAGAACTAAACGGGAAAGAGAATGCCCTCAGGTGCTGCTGTGTGAACCTTCAGTTACCCACGCATGAAAGATCGTCATCGTTTTAATTGTAGGCCACCTTTCCACAGTTAAAGCCAAGCTCAAGGCGGTTCACAACACAGAAAGATTTACATAATTACAAACATAACAAAAGTAGTCATAAACAGTGAAAGGAACAGATAAAAAAAGTACACAACCAAGCAGAACGATTTTCACGCAAGTCATAGTAAGATCTAAAAACAAATCTACAAAAAGTTAATATCGAGAGCAGCAACAAACCCCACCAAAAGAACCCGCTAAACCAGTGCTCCCAATTGGGATCTGCGTAACCCAACCGGGGATCTGTGGCACATACCTGTCAGCTGTCTGGGACATCCCCTTTGGGGAGGTGCCCAAAAGATTGTGAGATTACAGTGCCCAAAAAACACCTGTTTCGGGGCGCCATGCTCTCACGCTGGTCACATGACTTGCAGGGATGCACAGCCCGGGAGATGGCAGAGCCCTCGTTTTGCACTGGGACACACTGGAGGGTCTGGTGGCACTGCTTGGCTTTTGAAAAACGGGGGGGGGGGGGTCCGCAGTATTTGGCTAATCCCAAGAATTTGTACCATAATGTTACATAGAGAGAGAGAGAGAGAGTCACATGAGAGTCAGATAGACACAGCCAGGTATACAGAGAGTCAGATGCAGAAATCTATGCACAAATTTAGGGAAGCTTTTACTGTTTGATGGACTGTTGAGCAGGAACTGATTGTGCTCACATAGCGAGGCCTGTGCATGTGTGTCATCCAATGAGGAAGTGAAATGGTGACGTGAAATTTTGGGGAGCGGTGTGTGTCTTAGAAGGAGGGGCAGATTTCTAGGCACAAGTCTTTGGTTACTATGGCAAAGTCTGAGGACCCCTGGCACGTTCGTGGGGTGTATGTAGCAGAGGCCAGTTGCTTCATTTGTGGTATAACTTGGGGCACTTTCTCTTTCTCTCTCTCTGATGTCCAGCCTGCACCAATCCTTTCGCCACCTCTGCTGTCGCTCAGCCCACGCTGCCTTCCACCAACCCCTTCCAGACCAACGGCATGGGCCCAGGTAAGCCTTTCCCTCCGCCTTGAGACTCTTGGGGTCATAGGTTTGAGCCCCGTTTTTTGGGAGTGGGGGGAGATTCCTGCATTGCAGGGGCTTGGGCTAGAGGGCCCTCTGTTGTCGCCTCCTTCCAGCCGTCCCGCTGCAAAAACCATCCGACGTAAATCAGCGACTCGGGCTTCTGAGCTTGAAGGTTCCCACACCTTCTCTGAGCTACTAAGAGCAGCTACTGCTGTTTTAGCCAACTCATCAGCATACCTCTTTGGAGGTTTGCCCTTTGTGGCCCTTTCAGATCTGCGTACTGGACACAAGTCTTCAGCACTCATCTCCTCTTTCTTAGGAGAATGGTGGCACTCTTTTCATACCCCACAAATACGCCATGCACACCACGCTTCCCGAGCTTGCTGCTCTGTGGAGTATGGACCCAGGCTTCTGAGCCAGGGCACACTATCAGCAGAGCGAACTGCGCACGCAGAATAGGCGTGAGGCTTGCGGAAGCATACGACAACTACAGATTTATTAATCATAAATCAGGACAAACATGTCGTCTCTCTCGTCGTCTCAGAGAGAACAGGAAAAGGAAAAGCTACGCACAACGGAAGCTTCAAGCAATGTAAACAGACATGTGACACGCAGCAGTTCCACACGCCTGCTCCTTAAGGTGCAATGGAAATGTCAACATCCTCATGGTCCCGTCCAACTCTACAGTCCTGTGGTTCTTATCATTCGAGCAGAGGTGGGAGGGCGGAGAGAGAGACGGCGAGTCGGGCAAAGGAGGAGTAGGGGCGGGTTTTGTAAGCCGCCTTCCTCCCTGCAGGACTCATAGAATCGTAGCGTTGGAAGGGACCCCCAAAGCGCATCTAGCCCACCCTCTGGCAAGGCAGGCATCTCCCGTTGCTCCCTGCAACCCAGTTGGCAGCACCCGACCCTTCGATGGCTTTAAGAGAGTAGCAAAAGGCACCTTTGTGTAAATATACTTGCGGGAGGAAGCAACAGTGCTCTCCCCACCCACAGTTCCCAGCAGCCGGTATTCAGAGAAATACCTCCTTTGACATGTGGAGATAGAACACAGCTGGAAGAGTGTTCTGGATCAGGCCATTGACCCATCTAGACCAGCCGGTTTGGGTCCTGCGCTGTGGAGCAGCGGAAAACAAGCTCGCTCCATCTTTCAGATGTTTGAAGATGGCTCCCCTCTCCCCTCAGCCTTTTCCAGGCATCCCCAACACCCTCCAGTTTCCAGGCCCCTGACCTTGGTTGCCCTCCTCTGCACAATACCCTTCCTAAATTGTGGCACCCAGAACTGGACAGGTGTGGTCTGACCAAGGCGGAATGGAACAGTGCTATTCCTTCACTCGATCTGGACACTCGACTTCTGTGGATGCAGCCGAGAATAGCAATAGCCTTTTTTGCTGCTGCATCACACTGCTGGCTCATGTTCATAAGCTTGTGGCCCCCTAAGACCCGCTGCGTCCTTTTCACGCGTGCAGCCGTCAAGCCAGGCATCCCCCACCCTCCACTGTTATTCGTGCCCCTTCCTCATTTTTCTGGCTCTCTCTCTCCTTGCAGGCGCCTTCGTGGTGGGGTCCCCCAGCAGCTTCTCCACCTCCCCCCTCTCCAGCGTCTTCGCCTCCCCACTGCAGCACCAGCAACCGCCTCTGTTCCAGACCCAAGCGATGCTGAGTCAGCAGCAGAATGGCGGTAAGAGGTGCTTTTCTTTGCGGGGGGTGGCCCTCAGTCCAGAAGTAGACATGCCATTGCACACTCACCCAGAGAAACTGCGGGCTTTCACATTTGAGGCGCTGTGGAATTCAGCAGCCTGAGCCTCATCTTTATAGAAAAAAATTACTGTATTTTTTTGCTCTATAAGACTCGCTTTTCCCCTCCTAAAAAGTAAGGGGAAATGTGTGTGCGTCTTATGGAGCGAATGCAGGCTGTGCAGCTATCCCAGAAGCCAGAACAGCAAGAGGGATTGCTGCTTTCACTGCGCAGCGATCCCTCTTGCTGTTCTGGCTTCTGAGATTCAGAATATTTTGTTTCTTGTTTTCCTCCTCCAAAAACTAGGTGTGTCTTGTGGTCTGGTGCGTCTTATAGAGCGAAAAATACGGTAATAAACGACAGTCAAGGTCCTATCCCTCGTTGGAGTTGTGATGGGCACATTGACGGGCTCTACATGCGTGGCCAAAACCTCTCGAGGCTAGAGGAAGGCTGTCGAGGGTCCCCACATAGCTCATTGCCCCTTCTTCCCATGGGGCTCATGGAAGGAGGAGAGAATGCTACGGGGAAAGGACCTCGGTGACCCCGATTAAGCCCCTTCTACCAGCACGCGGGTGGCGCTGTGGTCTAAACCACAGAGCCTAGGGCTTGCAGATCAGAAGGTTGGCGGTTTGAATCCCCGTGACGGGGTGAGTTCCCGTTGCTCGGTCCCTGCTCCTGCGAACCTAGCAGTTCGAAAGCATGTCAAAGTGCAAGTAGATAAATAGGTACCCCTCTGGCGGGAAGGTAAACGGCGTTTCCGTGCGCTGCTCTGGTTCGCCAGAAGTGGCTTAGTCCTGCTGGCCACATGACCCGGAAGCTGTACGCCAGCTCCCTCGGCCAGTAAAGCGAGATGAGTGCCGCAACCCCAGAGTCGGCCACGACTGGACCTAATGGTCAGGGGTCCCTTTACCTTTACCAGCACAGCAGAGAGGGGGCCCCTGAAGAACCAGCACATAGCACAAAAGCTATGTGGATTTGAAGCAGAGTGTAAATATGTCTCAAGCAGAGGACAGGCTTGCCTGGTCTGGGGCCAGTCACTGCCTCTCAGCCTAGCCTCCCTCGCAGGGTTGTTGCTCTGGGGGTTAAATGAGGACAGGGAGAACCGTGCACATGCCACCTTGAGCTCCAGACTCTCTTAAGAGAGCCAGCGGCGGTCTATAGCGGCTAGAGTGTCAGGCCAGGACCTGGGAGAGACCAGGGCTTGAACCTGCCCCTGGTACGCTGGTTTGACATCAACTGATAGGAAGTGCCTACAGAGGGTGGTGAATACAGCACAAGATATTATGGGCTGTCCCGTGAATCCGCTGGATGAAATAGCAGAAGAACTTTGCCTCAGGAGAGTGAGGGAAATTCTCTGGGATGATTCACACCCTGGCTGGCACTTTCTTGATCTCCTGCCCTCAGGCAGAAGATATATAGAAGCATGATTAGTCGTGCCAACAGGGTAAAGAACAGCTTCTATCCTGGGCTGTTAGGCTGCTGAATGAAAAGAGAACAACAGGGCAACTGACTTTCGGGTTTGGCGGGTGTCCGTCAGTAAACGAGGGGAATTAAGACTAAGAGAGCTGAGTGGGGGGTGCTTATGTAATCTCACTGCATACAAGTTGTACAAGTGACAATAAAGTATTTCAATTTCATCTCATTACGGCAAAAGTCATCTCAACACTCACTCACTCACTCTCTGTGTCTCTCCTGCCTCAGGATCCCCATTCAGTGGATTTTCTGTTGCCAAAGCTGCACAGAGACCCCTTGGGCAGCCTGTTGGGATCTCCACCAACCCTTTTGTGGTAAGCAAGCCCCTACCCCTCTCCTTCCCCCTCCTCTTCCAGCCCTCCAACCTCTCCCGCTTGCCAGTTCCCCATCTCTTGTGATCACCTTTCCACACCCCAGCCCCAAGATCTCTGTGTGTGTGCATCCGTGAAAGCTCCAGTACGAAGGCAGGTGATGCTCACGTGATCTAGATACTAATCAAAGAAAGCAATGTTTTTTCCTCAGTTTGAGGGGCCGGGGTGGGAACAGGCTCTCTACGTAGAAAAGTTGCAGCGTTTGGGACTCTTCAGTTCAGAGGGAAAGGCAAGGAAGATGTTCAAAGTTCCACATAGCACGGGAAAAGCGGATAGAGAATTTTTTTCCTCCCTCTCTCCTAACTGGAGGGCATCCAGGGCACATGAAAGAAAGTCCTTCTAGCTGATAGTTAAACTGCGGCACTCCCTCCAGCAGGAGGCTTTAAAGGAAGATGTCACTACGGTTGCCTTTTTAACCCCAGCGATGCTTCTGAAACCCAGTTGCCGTAAACCCCAGGAGGTGAGAGGGTCGCTCCTGTGCTCGGATCCTGGTTCTGGGTTTCCCAGAAGAGGCAGCTGGTTGGCCACTGTGGGAACAGGATCCTGGAACAGGCAAGGGAGCCCTTACGTTATTGAGAATAACTGAAGGAAAACAGTGTTTTCCTCTTACAGGTAGGTAGCCATGTTGGTCTGCTGTAGTTGAAACAAAATTTAAAAATTCCTTCCAGTAGCATCTTAGAGACCAACTAAGTTTGTTGTTTGTGTGAGCTTTCATGTGCATGCACACTTCTTCAGAGACACATGAAAGCTCATACCAACAACAAATTTAGTTGGTCTCTAAGGTACTACTGGAAGGAATTTTTTTATAGTGTTTTCCTCTGTTTGGGTGTCAGTGGAATAAATAGGCTTTCCCTCCCTAGCTTACAGAATCTTTGGATATTTCAAGATGATCTTTCCGTTCAGTTGATTGGGGTGTTTGTGTGTCTCTCTCTGTGTGTGTTGATCCTTCTCTCGTCCCCGTCCCCGTCCCCCCCACTCACCCACCTCTCTGTCTCTGTCTCCCACAGACCCCGATGGCCTCCTCGCCTGCTGGCCCTTTCTCCCTGGCGAAACACCCCCCCACCAACCCTTTCTTATAGCGCTGGCTAGACGACAGACCGCCGGAGACCCCCGACTCACCTCGAGAGTGTGTGTGTATGTGTGTCATATAGGAGAGAGCGTCTTTGCCACTTGGGCACTTTACTCTTCCCGCCCCCTGGACTGGGGGTGGGCGCTTAAGTGCTTTTCAGAAGGTTTTTTTTGGGGGGGAACCTATGGCCTCTCCCTCCAGAAAGCAGCGCACGATGTGACTTGCGAGGGAGCTGGGTTAGCTGGCTGGAAACCAGGGCAGTGATGCTTTCTGGGGAGAAGATTTGGGGAGGGGGGCGGCAAGCAGTTCTGAGCGATGCTGGGGAAGCTCAGTCCCTAGAGGTGGATGTGCATGCTGGGTAAACAGGAAGTCCAGGAGCCCCTGTGAGTCAACTGCTTCCTCCTTGGCCACCCCTCCCACCAGCTTCCCAGCAGCCCTTGTTGTGGGGGGGGGTCTGGGATTGCCAAGGTGGGGAGGAGAGGAGGATATTCGGGCTCTGCACAGACCAGCCTGCATCCCCCTTCCACGTCTCTCTGGCTTCTTTCGGGCCCCCTTGCCAGCCGCCGTGGGGAGGCTTCAGGCCCCCTTCTCCTCTAGGGCGAAGCTGCCCCAAAGGCAGACAGGATTCCTCTTCTGCTCTCCCCGTCCTGCCTCTTCCTCTCATCATTTTATTGCACTAGACGAGGCAGCAGGGAGACGCGGTCAGGGTCGCCGACAAACACACCTGCCTGCTTGTGAGCAGACGAAGCGTGTCTGGAGCAACGGAGGCTCCAGGCTGCAATGCCGGAGCCCCAGAATCAAGTCCAGAGGCTTGGAAGAAAGACAGAGGCAGTGTGTATGGTCTGGGGCTCTTTTGGAAAAGGTCTGGGCCCCCTCCCCAGGCTTGGAGGTCTGTGCTGTCGTGCAAAACCCAAAGTTTGGCAACCCAGACTTTGCAGTCAGTCCTTGCTTGGGTCCCCCACTTCCGGCTGTGTGCTTTGCCAATGTGCATTGCCTTGCTGGGTTGGGGAAGCCTTCTGGGAAAGCCTTGGCAAGGGTCTCTGAGCAGCCCCCCAACATCCAAGAAGTTCAGGGGGCAGAAGGGAGAGCTGTCATTTCCTCTCCCAGCTGACACGCGCTCAGAGCCGTGTCTCTGCCAAAAAAGATGCCCTGAGCCACAATACCCTCCGACGTCCGCGTTTCCCGCCCTGGGGGAACCCTAGAAAACTGCCTTTCCAGCCCCCCCCCCCGGAGGTCTTCCACCAGCCTCACCTGGTCAGACAGTGCCTGCAGAGTCCCAACATTTCAAAAGCGGGGTTTTATGCATCTTTCGAAAGCAAGTCCCTTCCCTTTCTCCCCCACTCCTTTTTCGTGGTCTCAGGAAATCTGACCAAAGCGTTAAGTTTCGGTAATTCTGTTTGGCTGAATGCAGAAATGGGTTGGGGAATGTGCTGGCTGGACTTCGATACCTGGGAGCGGGGAAAACTACGGCTTTGCTAAGCGAATGGCGGCAGCTCTCGTTGTGCTTCCTTCAGTGTGCTGTAGCTCTTTTAATTCTTCGCACCCGTCCGCCCGGCTCCCACCTTCGCGCTTCCTCCTTCACCCGCACACTTTCAACCCAAGGCTCCTTCAAAGGCCACAATCCCTCCCCGCGCACAAGTATTCTACCTATCCCAGGCTCCCTACGCCGGCCGGGGCTTTTTTCCTTTCTTTGGGGTAACCCTTCAATTGCCCCTCCTGGGAACAGAACGGATACGTTCCCCCACCCCCTTAAGGAAGACTGGAGTTTATATTTTCAACAAAAGTATGGACTACGTTTTTAAAAGATATATATCTATATATACTCACGAAATATATAATAAGCGCAGAACTTGTTGCACTCAAAATGTCTATAGATATCTATATGGGGAAGGGGGAAAAATCTATTTGAAAAACAAACATGGTGGTCCCTGGTCTTCTTTCGGCAAACGCCTGCCTCTCGGGTTGCGGGCCTGGAAGCGGCTGGATCGGGGCCTCTGGGTTCGTGGGCTCTGAATCCTGGAGAAGCGTCGGCAAGAGATCGGAGCGGGCTGCGTCTCGGCCTCCAAAGGCATTCCCAACAAGAAAGCAAGCCTTAAATCTAAGGCCTTCGCTCAGAGGTGGTTCCTGGAAGGGTCCAGGAAGGGTTGAGAGAGATCCTGGAGAGCTGTGGCTGCCAGTCCGAGCAGGTAGTGCTAAGTGGGCCAGTGGCAGCGTTAGAAACTCAGATATAACCACACCGCCAAATGGCACCTTAAACCTGGGTTATGTTCGCCACAACGGCACCACTTTGTCTCCCCCGCTGAATTTTTTTCATAATTGCTAATATTTTCATTTCTCTACCGCTTTATATTTTAAAGAAAAAAGTCTCAAAGCAACATCCAGTTCAAGCTTCGAGGGCAACATTTCAGATCCTTCTCTGAACGGCATTTTGCTTCCCCCTGACTTAATTGATAGAGCTGAGCCATAGCAGGAGAACGCTAGGAAGGCAATGTGGTGCAGTGGTTAGAGCAGAGTTTCCCAAACGTTGGGTCTCTGGCTGTTTTTGGACTACAGCTCCCATCATCCCTGACCGCTGGTCCTGCTAGCTAGGGGACGATGGGAGTTGTAGTCCAGAAACAGATGGAGACTCGACGTTGGGAAACACTGGGTTGGAGCGTCAGACTAGGACCTGGGAGGTCTGGGTTCGAATTCCCACTCAATCTTGAAGCTCCCCAGGTGACCTGGGAGTCAGTCACAGCCTCTTCACCTTCCTCGCAGGGTTATTCTAGAAATTAGGAGGAGGGTGGCTGCCTTGGAGAGAAAGGAAGGGATAAGGGTAAAGGGACCCCTGACCATTAGGTCCAGTCGTGGCCGACTCTGGGGTTGCGGCGCTCATCTCGCTTTACTGGCCGAGGGAGCCGGCGTACAGCTTCCGGGTCATGTGGCCAGCAGGACTAAGCCACTTCTGGCGAACCAGAGCAGCTCACAGAAACACCGTTCACCTTCCTGCCAGAGTGGTACCTATTTATCTACTTGCACTTGGACGTGCTTTTGAACTACTAGGTTGGCAGGAGCTGGGACTGAACAACGGGAGCTCACCCCGTTGCAGGGATTCGAACCGCCAACCTTCTGATCGGCAAGCCCAAGAGGCTCAGTGGTTTAACCCACAGCGCCACCCACGTCCCTAAAGAAGGGATATAAATGCAATGAATCAGCTCTTCTGCCGACCTGCTAAAATTGCAAGGAGGGACCAGGCAGATATCTGGAAACCAGATATCTCCACGGTCACATTCGGGGCATCACTACAAGCCGGGGGTCTGAACCTGTTTTCAGCAGTGGATCTTAGCCCTGGAAACTGGGACCTCATAGCAAAAGACACTCTCTTCCCTGCCCAAGGCAGGCTTTGCATCATAGAGGGTGGGGGAAACCTGGCGCGGGGGCAAATGTTGCCTTCGGCCTGGACCTCCCCAGGCTCCCACCCCTTGCTGGCCTTGTCCTCCCCCTGGGCGCTTTCTGCTCACCTGCATGAGCCACAAGGGACCCCTAGGGGTCATCCATCCCAACCCCCTGCAACGCAGAATGGAGAAAGAGGGAGGTGGAGGAACCTCTCAAAGGTTTGCACTGCTGGCCCACCTCCTATTGGCGCAGAAGGGAGACTGGACAATGGTTGACCTGCTCCGGACACTTGCCGCCACCATGCGGCCCCTGGCAGGTTGCCAACGTGGCCCTCGGACAGGAAGCCTGCTCTGGCTGAGTCAGCTTTCCCTTTTATGAACCTGCCAGGCGCTGCTGGATTCAGGAATCACTTGAGGAAGAAGGGAGAGAGGGAGGGCAGGTTTATTGAGTTGGTGGGTGGGGGGCCGGCGCTGATGGCTCCTGCGGGTGGTGGGTGGTGGTCTTCCTCCAGAGGCTCACATCTTCAGTCGCCCTAGTTCAGAGGGACGGCGGAGAGGGCCAACCCAGCCAGTATCCCAGAGACGTGGCCGGTGAGAGAACTCCTGGAGGATGGAGAAGTGGACATATAACCTCAAGGTTAGATTAGGCTAGACTGGTGACTGGGAGCGGCCGCCGAGACCACATAACACTGGTCCTGAGAGACCTGCATTGGCTCCCAGGACGTTTCCGAGCACAATTCAAAGTGTTGGTGCTGACCTTGAAAGCCCTAAACGGCCTCAGTTCTGTATACCTGAAGGAGCGTCTCCACCCCCATCGTTCAGCCCAGACATTGAGGTCCAGTGCCGAGGACCTTCTGGCGGTTCCCTCGCTGCGAGAAGCCAAGTTACAGGGAACCAGGCAGAGGGCCTTCTCGGTGGTGGCACCCACCCTGTGGAACGCCCTCCCTTCAGATGTCAAAGAGAAAAATAACTACCAAACTTTTAGAAGACATCTAAAGGCAGCCCTCTTTAGGGGAGCTTTTAATGTTTAATAGGTTATTGTATTTTACTGTTTTGTTGGAAGCCGCCCAGAGTGGCTGGGGAAACCCAGCCAGATGGGCGGGGTATAAATAATAAATTATTATTATTACTGCAACACGGGATACGTGGGGCTGCCCCAAAGGCTGTTCAGAAACATCCAGCTGGGGCAGAATTCGGAAGCCAGGTTTCTCACTGGGGCAAGGCAGCTTGAGCATATAGTACTGACCCTGGCCTGGCCATCACATAGAAGGCAGAGCAAGCTTGTTTTCTGCTGCTCTGGAGAGTAGGACTCGAACTCGCAGCATCGAGATTCTGACTAAACCCCAGGAAGTGCCACCTGGCAGCAAGAGCCGTTCAAAAGCAGAACAGGCACCCACAAGAGGTGGGTGGCTTCCTTGGAGGCTTATAAGGAAAAGGTTGGGTGTCCACTTGCCGTGTGTGATCTAGCTGAGATTCCTGCTTTGCAGCGGGTTGGGCTAGATGACCCTAGGGGATCCCTTCCGACTCTACTGTTCTATGAGGACGAGGCTTTGCCCCATGCCCCTGCCCCACCTGCACTAAGGCCTGGGGGTCTGTCCAGTCGCCAGCTGGTGGTTCCCTCAGTTATTCTGCACCTCGCTGTTTGCCCCAGGCTGCAAAAAGTATTGTGCCAGCCTTGCACCTGCAGGAGAAGACACACACACACTATGACTCAGCCTCTCCTTCCTGTGACTCAAGCTGCTTCTAGGGGAAAGAGCTCACAGCACAAGCTCATCACAGAATCATAAAACCGTAGAGTCGGAAGGGGTCCCCTTGCGGTCACCTAGCCCAACCCGCTGCTTGCAATGCAGGGACCACAGCTCGAGAACCCCTGGCAGGTGGCCAGATGGCCTGTTTTTTAAAATCTTAAGGAGAATTCTGCAGCCGCAGATGGGTAAAGGCCAAAGGTGGCTTCTCTGCTTTTCCTGCAGCGGAGAGTTCCACAGTTTAACTATGCGACCTCTGTGCTGGGATTCTGCCCTAAGCGAGTAGAGGAAATGGAAAGCGGCGATGACAAGAGTGCCTCTGAGCGTGTCTAGAGTGTTGGAATGACCTCAGAAGAGGGGACTGGAATCTTCTACCTCCCACTTGGGGCAGGAATGCTGGCTCCCTGCTGCTTGGGTTTCTTTCCCCTTCCCTGACTCGCATCCGGGGCTTACCTGGGATAAAGGATGGCGAGGAGGAGGCATTCCAAGACGCAGAGCCACCTGGTCGTGACCGTGAACCCGCTGGACATCGTTGCCACAGGGACGGATTCCACTTGCCTGCCCATGGCTTCCAGGGAGAAGAGGACCCCTGCAGCTTGGAAGGAGGGAGAAGATGGAGGAGCCACGTCAAAGGAGCATCGGACCTCTGCCTCTGGACCCAGGCCCTTTCACAGAGACGATTCAGCATTGCGGCGCGGGGCGGGGTTGGACTAGATGTCCTTTGGAGGGCCCTTCCATCTCTTAAAACCCCACGTCTGAAATCTGCAGGAGCTTTTCAAGAGGAGATATGGTGATAACCCTCCAGAGGTTTTTCAGCTGTGATCTCTGCATTGCGGAGGGGTGGCTAGAAAACGCCTGGGAATCCCAACTCTAAAATTTCATGGGGGGTTGGACTAGATGAGCTTTGGGGGTCCCCTCCGACTCTCGCAGCCCTATGAGATGGAGAGCCCCGGGGGCAGCGCGTTGGGGATGGGAGAGCCAGCTCACCTGAGAAGCCGACCGCGCAGTGCTCCCTGTACCACAGGTTCCCCGTCAGTGCGGCCAGGAGGGTGTTGAGCGCCAGGTGGAAGAGCCCCCCCACGAGGGCCAAGGCCAGGAGCAGGACCCCCGTCCGCAGGCTGCCCACCTCCTGCTCCACCCCGTGGCCCAGCCACAGGAGCGTGGCCATGTTCATGAGGAGGTGGGCAGGGCCCAGGTGGTGGAAGGGGGCCAGGAAGAGTCTCTGCCACTGGCCCCGGTCCCACACCGTCCTCACGCTCAGGCAGGCAGCCCCGGGGGCATGGAGAGGGTGCCAGAAGAGGGCGAGGTTCATGCCCACCAGGGCCAGGGTGGCCCAGGGCACCATGGGTGGGGGCTGCCTGCCCCCAGGCTGGGGGCCAGGAGAGCAAGAGGAGGAATGGGGGAGGGCTCCTTCTGTGACCTCAAGGCTGATGCAGGCCTTTGCGACCTTTGACCCTCCCTCCTCCTCAATCCTAAGGGCCCCACCTGGACCAGCATCAGGCCCCTTTAGGAAGACGCTGCCCCCTCTCCCCGCCCACACCCAAGGAATCCTGGGAGTTGTAGTTCCTTAAGGGCAGCTGAGAGTCTTGAGAAGACCCTCGTACTCCAATTCCCAGAGCCCCCTGGGAAAAGGGGTGGCTTGTTAAGGCAACCCCAGGGCAGGTGAAAGGCAGGACTTCTTTCTCCCTGCATTGTAGGGGGCTGGAATAGATGGCCTTTGGGGGTCCCTTCCAATTCTACAGTTCTATGGTCCTACGCAGCGCAGAGTGGAACTCTCTTCCGGGTGCCACAATTTAAGGAGATTGACAAGCTGGAAGGTGTGCAGAGGAGGGAAAGCGAGAGGATCAAAGGTCTGGAATTTAAGCCTTATGAGGAATGGTTGAAGGAACTGGAAAAGAGGAGAGATTATAGCCATCTTCAAATACCTAGAGCAGCGGTTCTCAACCTGTGGGTCCCCAGATGTTGTTGGGACCACAACTCCCATCATCCCTAGCTAGCAAGACCACAGCTCAGGGATGATGGGAGTTGTAGTCCAACCACATCTGGGGACCCACAAGTTGAGAACTGCTGACCTAGAGCATGTATAGGTTGAGAGTGTTTGCCCCTCCAGCAGATATCAGGCACCTGCAGCCCACTACCAAAATCAGCACAATCGCTTTTGTGACTTTTGTGACTTGTCCCCACAAAACACTTCATCACAGTTTCTTCCTGCCTATTCAAAGGGCCTTTGCTGCACGATACCAAATGTAAGAATTCACTGATAAACGTATCTCTGTGTTAACGGAAAATCTGAGGGCTCCCTTGGACAAAAACAAAGACACCAACCAGAGCAATTGGAAGCAAATCAGCAGCCAGTAGGCTTGGTCTTTATTGAAGAAAAGACTGTTGCAACAGGGTGTTCCCCTCACTTGCAGGAGAGAGGAAAGACCCAGAAAGATGGTGTGCAAGACCTTATAAAAACTTTTGAAATTCCCCTCCTCTAGGTCAAGCCCACCCCCAGAAACATCATGCATACATTACAGAAAGGAGGGGTTGAGGGAGGAGTTGTGGTGGTGACCTGAGTGTCCTGTCACCTGGCTGGTTCCTCCTTTCCCCTGCCCATGAGTCACTTCCAGGAGACAAAGGGGAGTTGGCAGTTTCCTGCCCCCAGAGGGAAGATCTGATCATTGTCCTTTGTTTCAGTCCATGCTGAATCCACTCCCATATGCAAGTTCTTTGTGATCTTGATGGTCTTCTGTCTAGGACCATCAGGGTTGGCATAGCAACTGGGCAGGGCTCCTGTGGATGTGCTGGGATGGTGAAGGGATTATGGCTGACCAGAACCAAGCCACCCCCCTTTGATAGTCCTTGTCATATGGAGTAAAATAAAAATGGAACAGTGCAAATCCAATGTATGGTTGATTTTTCTATGAATTTATAACAGAAGTGTGGCATATGTAGTGTGTGAGTGTGAGTGTGTGAAGTTTGTACAAACTGAATGATTGGGGTGGGGGGGTTCCTGCTACAGTTCCCCCCTTCGGAGATAAGATTGCAAAGGTGGCTACTTTGCAATCCTTTTCTCCGCACAATTTAAGGTGGTAAATATTAACCTGCTATTCTCCGTCCCAGATGCGTGTGTCCATGTGAACCTGAAAGGGACTTGGATGTCACGCTTCTTAAGGATATTTGCATAGAAATATAACAGTGTAACAGTGCACATAGTTAGACATAGGCTATCACGTAAGATTAATATTTTGTTGCTCAGTTACTTGTGGTATTCTAGCACCTTGGAAGAAATATTTTCTCAATAGTGGTCTATGCTTTACATTTAGCGGGAAGGTCCACCAATGACTGAAAAATGCAGTTTGCTTTGTCCCCCGCCATTTTTGTGTTCTCAGGTGTCAAGGTAGCTCTTCTGTGGTCTCACATCGGCATGGTGTCACAGCAGTGGCAATCCCTGGTGAATCCACTTAGGGCTTTCACATTAACCATGTTGCCTGGCACTCACCACAGCTGGCACAGGTTTAGGACACGTCATGAGAGATATGTCTTTGCCTTGGCCATTCTATGGGATTTTATTATTATAGGCTCTGGTCTTGCAGTCATGGGAAGTTGCTCACTTGCACTTTAAGGACCAAAAGCTAATTGCAGCCTGGATACACTTGCCCAATTCAAACTGAGTCCAATTTGAATTTTTCTTGCCCCATGGTTCTCAACTTTTCTGTTAAAACAGAACCATCCAAATAAGTCAATTTAACTCTATAAGGGATTATTCCTGCTAAACCAAAGCATATACACCTTCCTGAAGCTTCTCCTTGGTAAAGCGAGTTTTAGCACATTTTTAAATGGGTAGGGAAGTTGGCAGAGTGCCAGGTGAAACAACGAAATGTGGTTATAAATTTATCTAATTCTAAACATTTGACTACACAATAGCCTGACCTATTAGAACGCATAAACTGTATGAGAATCCTCCACTGGGGTGTAAGGAATAAGACATTAAACATAAAAACAATTACACACAAAATAGCCCCGATTTGTGGAAATAACACACTGTCAGACACATTTCAACATTCCTACGTAATAACACATAATACAAAACAAACTAATTAAATATCAGTTGCATATCTCGAGACAATTGGGATATTTTATGTATGTATCTTTTGAATCCTGGAGCACAGTCTTGAGGTTCAAAAGTGAGAAGATGTCCTTGCAATTCAACTCCACCCCCCTTTGTCAGGCCCACTCCCCCGGCAGTCTATATCCTTTGAAAGAGATAGCTGTGGGCACTTTGAAACTTTGGTGTCTGTTGTTGTTGCAGGTCTTGTGGTGGCGAAGCTTTTCATTGGATCTGTAGTAACACATTTGTAGAAGTGATATCCTGTAAGGGGCAGGGTTTTGAGGACTTAAAAGACAGAGTTAGAAAAGGGAAGGGGCAAAAGGCAAAAAGGATGTCCTTCAGTTTCCGTTGGAAGCTGCAAATAATAAAAATCTTAGTGGATTAAGCATTTCATTCATTCCAATATTATTATCACATTTCCATATAATTACTGTTATTATCTGCCAAGTTTGTTTGCTTTCCTTCACTTAGTTTGGCTGTGGAAGAAACGGAGGGACAAAACCTTTGTTAATTTGAACACAATTGGCAAGTTATTAAACATTTTGCTTATGTGGGTCCGAGTTCACGTATCCTGTTTTAAAGGGAAATTTTTATTTCCTTTGAAAATCTCTGTCAGGAATGCTGTTCCTATAATGCACACAAAGCCTGTTATAAAAGTTAAATCCCATTGGGGGTGGGAGAACTAGTCAAGAGTGGAACTCACAGTGGGAGCGCTTTGATATTTACCTGTGAAAAGAATTTGGCATGTTAAGATTTGAAACCTGGAAACCTCTTGACTTTTGATGGGCTAGTACTTGACCCTTTTGTCTTACGTAGCCCCTGGAGCAAAGGACACATTAAGGGTGATTTCCCTCAATGGTTCCAAGTTTTACATAAGGAAATTTGGATAAGTTTCTCCCTGCAGCCCAAGCTCTCGAAACCTCCTCTCCCCCCTTACAGTTCCCCCCTTCCTCTCTCTTTCTCTCTCTCTCTCTCTCTTTCCTCCCTCCCCCCTTTTTTTTAGCTGATCTAGCCTCTGTGTATGTGCAGAGTTCATGTCTCAGCAAACCTTTTATACTATTGAAAATGTTGAATCTTTGGGCTAAATTACCATTTGAGTAAGGGAAGGGAAGGGTAAGGAGTAGATTTTAAAAATAGGGTTAGATTTTAAAACAAAAAAGAGAAACTCAGCGATTCAAGTATTCACCAAAGCTAGCAATTGCAGCCCAAGCAAAGGGACTGCTTCCTTTATGTACAGGAAAGGGCTAATATCCCTCTGGCCATTCGCGGAACAATGCCACGCCCTTATATATGGGAAAAAATGGCCAGAGAGTCAGAATTCATAGGATTTTTTTTTAACATTCTCAGTCATTTCAGCCTTACCATTTGCAGACAAAATTTTCCTGCCCTTTATTTACAGGATGGTCAAGGCTACTCAATTATATGTCAAGGCTCATTCTACTTGATTATATGAATTTGTATGTGCTTAAACTCTGAGTAGACTTTTAAGTCTGATTTTTGTAAATAATAGACAAAATGATAAACACTGTAATCACTCAAATGCCTGATATCACCAGTTCTGCTTCAAAACATCACAGCTTTCACCTCACACCTTTTAAAACTAAAGAGCAAAGCTAGGCTGAATTTCAACTCCATCACCACACCAGAATTTAAGAATTACCCTCCAATGCTTGCAGACACATGTCCTTCCACACAGCCAGAAATTGGGAGAGTTGAAAAGGGACCCTGGGGTCATCTAGTCCAACCCTCCAAAATATAGGGTTCATAGCAAGTTTTCACAGCAAGATTTGTACTACCAAAGAGACATACACATTTAAGTACAGATTTACAACTGGGAAAGGAAACATCTATGCTCCTATCATGTACTAAGGAAGAGGAAAATAAAAGTACCCAACTTTATAAGGAACCCTTTTAGCAGATCTTGAAGCTAGTTTGAGTGAGAGTTTACTTCCTTAGACTAAAGAGTGCAAGTTTCTAGAGAAATTATCTTTAAAGGAAGATTGAAGTGAACATTTTTTCTAAGATAGGGAGAGGGTCTTTATTAAGCATAGTTAAAACAGCCATAGATTTGATTTTAAAGGGAATACAAAAGTGAACAATTTTTATTTCCTTGAACTTGCAGAGGAATAGCAAGCCTATTTTAGATTATTATTATTTTTAATAACTACACATAGGAAAGTGAGATGCAGGGTACCTTAGGAAAGATTGCTCCCCCCTCTTTGCAGTTTCCTTTAAAGGAAGCTTACTCGGGAGTAAATTTACCTGGCACAGAAGTAAGAAGGGGAAAAAACCTGAAAGATACAGAATGAAACAGGGGGGGGCATTTTC